TCCATCACGTCCAAAGCGCCGTATCGTGACTGCAACCGGTGAGCAGGGGGGGGCTGCGAGAGCGTCCAGAAGGTCCATAAGGCCCATAAGGTCCAGAGCATCCAGCAGGGGCTCGGAGCAGACGCCGATGACCCATGGCGCGCTCCAGGTACCCGGAAGGCGGTCGTTGCAGACGGCAAGGGAAGCTCACGGAGGTTTTCTGGCCTGAGCGGCCGGAGGTAACTTGGTGGTAGTTGCGCCTTGTCCACCCCATTGGCTGCTGCGCGTTTGTTGGATTGCTCTACTGGGGGAGTTCCCGTCCCATCCAATGGAGCCGCACGCGATGGATGGGCCCCCATGCCGCTGGAGCTGGGCCCGGAATAGCGCTCGCAGGGCTTAAAGGTTGGAACGGAGCAGTTGAGGGTAGCGCCCATGCGGGTTTGTTACAACGCCTCCATGTTGGATGGAACTTGAAGCTGTGTAAAAGCGCACAAGGACCTACAGGGCCTTGGTCACAGAAGTCACAGAACCTACAGGGGCTGTTGCTGGGAGGGGTCGAGGGCATCTGGAGAAGAGGGGCGGTTCGTTGATTAGGCAGGCATGGATGGATGGATCACCTCATGGATGCACTCGGCAGGACAGGCGCCAGGCGCTCACCGAGATTGGCAGGCACTCGGTGGTACCAGATGATAAGCAGCGCGTGCGGCGAGCTACACCGGGGCGCCCTTGATCCGGACGGAGACTCGAGGTACCCTACACGCAGTCGATGCTGTGCATCATGTACCCCCATACCGAAACTTCAAGATTATCGATACTGTACCTACCTACCTAGTACCGCACGTTCCGCAGAAGCAGGAACCACCATAGAACCAACCGCCCGGCATGTTGCGAAATTCTCAGGTACGAAATACTTCGCACATGTACCCCTCCCTCGACAACGTACTTGAACCTCCTACGAGGTCCTCTCCTACAACTGCAGCACAACAAGGAACGCGCAGCTAAAAAGGGAAGCAGATATCCCAGCATCAAATTTACCATCACCCAACCACGGACAGCGGCAATGATGAAACTCAACTCTACGCCCGTACCGGCGGTTCGATGATTCGCATCCCAAAAATACGCAGTCGCCGCTGCAGCTCGACTCACACCCCTGAAAGGGGGGCGTAGGTCTCGCGATGGCCTCTGGAAGCTGGGCATGGCAGGGTCGGGAAAGCCTCACGCCCCTATATCCTAGTCACCCAACGCAGGCCTCATCAGAGAAGAGGAGCTAGTGATGCCATCATCCATGCTCCATGCTCCCGTGGTCGCACACAAACTCGTCGGCCGACACTCTTGACGCTGCTCGCTCAGCCAGCTGGTACGGCCACAGACCAAATCCATGACCAGTGCCTCTCTCTGGTGACTGCAAGTGAGACAATTTGTCGTAGCACCGTACTTGGTTCTAACATTTGTGCGCCCAACCAGTTTCCTTTGCTCCAGTCACCCGGATGCCCTCTCCGGCGGACTACACACAATTGTGTGCCAGCAGAGACAAGCTGACGCACACACGCGCACCCGCTCTTCACGATGATTCGACCTTGGTCTCTTTTTTTCTCCATCGTTCTTCACTGCCTCCTCTCTGCTCCGGCCTTCGGCTCAAAGTGCTGGCAAATGCCGAGCTCTACCAGAAGCCCCCAACTTGAATCGAGGCGAGGCTAGCAAATAAGGGCATCTCTCCAACAGCCGGCAACCGGTAAGGGACTCCGCACGGCGGAGGCTTGCTGCTCTCTGGCCGTCTGCTCGGCGGTATCCCAAAATCTCAAGTCTGTCTGCCTTGCTCTCGGATCTGGCGCAATGCCCCAATGCTCGGCTCTCGTGTCGGTTGATACGTCAGCACCACAAAGGATCGAGGCCTTGCCTCCGCATCTTTTCCTCCCTCCCGGCTACGCACATGATATGATGTAGCCCCCTATGGTAAGGCGGCCCAGGTAGACAACGTGTTTGAAAGGCATAGGCTCTGCCAAGAGATGGTTTTTATTTGCCTTTACCCCCCGAGGCCTTCATGGACTACTACGAGCTACTTCGTCTGCGGCAGTAACATAAGGCCCTCTATGGCAGCCCGGTGAATTCACGGCCCCGGCTGCATGTAAACATAATTCAGGCATCATTATTGATGAGCAAGTTTTCTATGGCTGGATATACTTCCATCCACAAACTTCCTACGCACAAAGTATGGCTAAGTTGTTATGGGTTATAGGAACGAGCCATGATCCACTCGCGGGGATTCTGCAGCCTGAGAGCATCCCACTTCGAACAATAGAGTTCCCTGCGGCCAGTTACCCCCTGAAACACGCCTTCTCCTAGACTGTGCCAAGCCCAGGCATTCGTCGCTCATCATTTACCTGCGAGAGCCTGGCCGTTCCTTGAGGACCAACGTGGTCGTATTCGATATTGCAACTTCACATTTGATAAGGAGGCCACAGTTGATTTGTGGAAAGGCAACCATACTGGTTGCAGCGCAGAGTTCCGAAAACGCTTTTCAAAGCCTTTGGTATCCCATATGATCCAGCAGTGGTCCCCTGTTTTCAGATATGCCGTCATTTTCAAACCAGCATATCACGAAGCTGCTGTATAACGAACAACACATGTTCTTCGTATCTGCTATCAAGACATCCTACATCTGCTACAATTACTGCTTTTGTCTTCACCCCCTACCATCAGAGCAAAGATTGTTACGTGTCTGGCCGGATGAAGTCAAACATCCCAAGTTGAAGCATGGTCGCCTCTATCTCCCCCTCCTTCTGCCCTTGGCGCAATTTATGGCCGCTGTATGTTGGCAGTATGTCGTACATCATTGTCATCTACGCGAGAACTCACCCCTTTCTACATAGACACCCGGGAAGGAGTCAAGCCAAGGCAAGTTTTTATTAACCGATATCCCAGCTGCATTGCAATTAGTGTTTGGCTCCTGCTAGGAGATGCCGGGTACATTGGTGGCAATACTGTATGGATGCCTTGAAGGGAGAGAGCTTGCCGATAGCCACCTAGTCACGGCCGAAGTCTCAACAGGCTGTCGGCCATGCCGATCCAGTTCTCTGACCATGCTGCAACATGGACCGTCTTCAACTTACTCATATGTTGATTTATCATTTGACAGCTGGAACATTTCTAGAGCCGTTCACGTCACTCAAGGCCTTTGGCTATCTCCTGACTCCCAAGCTTGCTCGCTTCGCGTTACCACATCGGGCTACTTAGCCTCATGGTTCCACGTAGCCGATGAGGCAAGTAATACGATGACCAGCATTTTGTCCGGGAGTGATGGGGGCAACTGCTATCTACCGTGAGCTGAGCCCCTACGTTCCTCGCTCCAGCTCAACCCACACAATAAGGTACCCAGCGTTGCCATCAAAGTGTTGAGGGGCAGGGCAGTAGCACGGCCAATTCGGATCACAATGCTCTCTATTCCTGACACTTCAACTTTATTTGCTGTCGGATTTGAGCAAATGAAACGAAATCGAAAGTACTGGGCCATAACAGAATCTCTGTGCCAAAGATACAAATACAAAGGGAGTGTGCCTATGGATTTGGCTGTTTTCATCATCTTCATCATATCGTCATCAAGGCTTCCAAGACGGCATGTCGGCTGGCCGTCAACGTCACGGCACAGAGGACTTGCAGCCAAAGACTAGGCTCATCTCGATCAGCACTCAAGAATAAGGCATCCAACCCGCTCATGCCATTTCAGCGGAAGGCATATGCCACCCTCCGGGCCTAGGCTACTCTGTGGTACTCGCCCAAACAGCCTAAGCTATGAAATGACGCGCCTGCAAACTCTAGGTTGGACAGCTTGGATCCATGTTTGTTTAGGACACATCATCAGTCAGTGAAGCTGAGCCCATTGCGGGATCGGACGGTCTCGGATTTTCTTCTGGCGCCTTTACCAGGCCAAAACCGCGGACAGAGTGCGTTTATAGCGCCGGCTGCGTACCTTACACTCGACGGAAGCTGACAATTGGTCTTCGTCGATGGACCGTACCTGAAGGGAAGGAAGCTGTACCAGTACAGGGCACGATAACAGGGTCAAGTGGCGGTTGGGGGCTCAAAGGGGGCTGTTGGTCAAATCAACACACCAACTTCCTCGCGAATCTGGGAGAACATTTACATAGAATGGCGAAGCCATGAGAGCAGCCAAGAGGCACGAGAGTTTAGGGTGCATGGCCTCCTCCTTCGAGACCAAGGCAACCTATAGAATCGGAACGGCCACGTTACAGCTGGAGGCTGACTCCACGGGGAACACGGAGAGAACATGCGCAGTTCCTTGTTGCCCAGGTCCGCAGAGGAGATGTGGGAAAGAGGGAGTATGCGGGAGACGCGGGGAGCAGCTGTGACTTTGTTTTGACGGTCTGTGATTACGAACGGGCTCTTGGTTGAAACAAGGCCCCTCAAGCTCGTTATTTCGCACGCGTTGATGAGGGCTACCCCAGCCATGGTCGGGTGGAAGAATCAACAACACATGGCATCGTGGGAGGTAAAACTGCCGTACACCAACACGGCATGTACTTGGATATGAAGCACGGTCTGGAGAAGGCACAACCACCGGCGACAAATATCTGCTGGGCTTCTAGACCCGTGGTGGCGCATGCAAGTAGCCGGGCCTGCTCATGAAGAGCAGCAAACGGTCGGTTTTGCAAGCAGAGGAGGCGGGAATGGGTGCCCGTCTCCTGGCCACCCCTTTGTTCCCCTCGGAGTCCGTCCGTATAAGACGAACGAGATACGTTCTCTGGTGCTGCTACAAACAGTACCTTAAATGATGGAGGTGGCGGAACAGGAAGGCCAATCAGCTTTGGACGAAGCGGGCCTAGTCCGGCCTTGTGGCTCCTCAGGCTTCGGCCGGCGGGGCTTTTCCAGGTTTCAAACGACTGCTGGAGCCTGGAGTCGAGTCATCGTTGGTAAAGGCAGTGAGTATATGAGCGGTTCGCAACTCGCGTCCTGGTTCCTGCAAGCTTCCGGTTACACAAACACGTTATTTTGGCTTTCCTGGCATGCCTAAGAAAAGGCAGCATCTCAAGCCTTTCAAGCCAGCGTCGACGGCATTTCCGACGCCCGGGTCTTCGTCCAACGCAGCTGGTGAGTGTGTCGGCTGCCCTCATGGCTCATGGCTCATGTGCTCTCACCCCGAGTGTTCTCTCTGCGCTTCATGCCGGACTGTTGACGGATACTGACCGCCGAACCCACAGGCAAGGCTCCGAGGAGTGTGAACGAGCTTCTGGCCAGCTTGCGGCACGCCTCTCTGGATCCATCCGCACCGCGACAACTGCCCACCGTCACACCATCTGTGCCGCCAGCCCTCAGGGAGATACTGCAGATCCCAGACACTCCAGTCCCCGCACCCAGGCGGCAGCACAGGCAGAGGCTGGACAACAATGGCCGCCGCCTCCCAGCTGGCCCCCCTCCCCCACGAAGCTGGGTTGCTTCCAGGAGTGGTACTACGCATCCCCAGGGCCAACTGTCGCGGTCGACCGTGAGCCGGTGTGGTCTTGCTGAGTCGGCCTTACCAGGCACCTACCTGCCAGCCTCGCGGAGTCTCATCGACATTATCCTAAGGAGAATTGCTGTCGACTGGGAGGTTCACCGCGTGTATCACCAGCACTATCTGTTTTATATACCCGCGCATCTGAAATCTGCACTCCTTCGATGGGTTGGCATTGCGAGTCCGGGAGGCTTGTCGGTAGAAGATCTCAGACTCATCTTACTCCCTTCTCCAGACGACCTGGAGGAAGAGGAACGCGGTGGCTTTTCTGAGCATCACTCCGAGCCCCAAGTCGCCGTCAATCCAGAGGTCAATTACTTGGACCTCTCGGGCGCCTTGGGTCGTTCCCTGACCCTCAAAGAGGTCTCCGACCTCCTGTTTCCATCAAGGAAACAAGAGGATGCAAGGGAGCTGCAGGAATCTTGGGACGAGAGCGAGAGTGTCCCCAGCCCTCCGCGCGCGCTTTTACCGAACCTGACGCATCTGTCGCTCGCTCTTGACCCCCAGTTGGCCTCGGAAGCGTCATGGAGACAGCTGCTGGCTCTGTCGTCGAAGCTCACCACCGTCACCCATTTGAGCCTCGCCTACTGGCCCGATCCAACTCTTACGCCACGAGCCCGTCTCTCCACTGTTGCCACGCCGCAGGGCCAGAATATCGCGTACGGAGGAACAAGCTACTATTCTCATTCTATAGACCACGATTGGAGTGAGGCTCTGTTGGTTCTCAGAATGCTCAGCAGAAACCTCTATGCGCTAGAGTTTCTCGATCTCACTGGATGCACTCCATGGTTCAAGGCTTTGATGCTGCGTTCGGACCATGACTACGTAGACTGGGTCGGGGCATGGGGCAAAGTGACGCTCCTCCGGATACTCACCGGGTGGACACCTGGCGATGATGCCCTTCCTTCAGAGCAGATTGCTTATAGAGAGGCTATAGATGTGGCTGCTAGTGTAGAGAAGCATATCAGAACTGTGCGCGCAGGAAAGGGTCGGATCATCACAGTGGAAAGAAATAGGCTGGATTTGTAGATGTGTTTCAAGTATGTATAGACGTAGGCATGGCGTTTTCTCTTTGGAACTTTTTCCAATCTTCGTCCTACCCGGTTGAGCCAGTAAAGCGGCACGAGAATATGTCTTGAACGAATATAGCGGCTGTCTTTACCCACCTGACATGATGGTCGAAGGCTGCTAAAAGACAACTGTAGCTCGTCTCTTCTTTTTCACCTTGGGCGACCACAGCACAGCATGGTTTCTAGTTGAGTCCTCCGCGGCCATTTGCCTCCCAAAGAGCCTTGAACTTGCCATTGCCAGCAGACTGCAACAATTCTCGCGGCGATCCAACCTCGACAACGCGGCCCTTGTCCATGACGACAACGCGATCGAAGTCGAGGATGGTTTCCAAATGATGTGCGATGGAAATGACCGTATGGGACTGGAAGTGCGTGTTGATTGTCATACGGACCATTTGCTCGGTCTCCATATCCAAACTGTTCAATTGCCGGTCATTAGTTTGATGGCATTCCGGCGTGGTATTGTAGGGATGTCATGATGGAAGCTTTGGTGGTTTTTACCTGCTGCTGGCTTCGTCCAAGAGCACGACTTTACCACGATGTCTCTTCAGGACAGCTCTCGCGAGGAAGAACAGCTGTTTCTGTCCATGGCTCAGCATGTCCTCTTCAAAGGTAACGTCAAGACCGCCCCTGGAGTCGATGGCGGCCCAGAGATTGACTGCATGGAGAGCGTCGATGATGGCTTCTTCGGGATACGAGTCTGAGGGATCGATGTTTTGGCGGATGGTCCCCGGGAGGACGAATTGGTCTTGAGTGACGGTGATGAGACGAGAGCGAATGGTTTCACGGGAGATGGTATTCAGTTGGATGGAATCGATGGTGAGAGTGCCGGAGGATGGGTCGAGGAGGCGAAGGAGGGCTAATAGGAGAGATGACTTGCCACTATGGAAAATGGATGCATGGACTGATGGTTAGAAGGACAGCAACACGGTGTACCCGAGTTAAGAAGAAGGTGGGAGAAGGGAAATTAAATCATACCTGCCTGTACGCCCACATATTCCTACTTTCTCGCCGGGCTTCATTTCCAGGGTAACGCCATCGAGAGCCTTGATGCCACCGTCCTCGTCATACGACGCCTCCAGATCCCGGATGACAATGTGTCCTTGATGTGGCCAATGAGCCGGCACCTCTCGATCCTCGCCTGGTAGGCTCTCGTTGGGAGTTTCTTCAGCGAACTGCTTGATGCGTGCGACAGCCCCAATGGAAGTCTCGATCGAGGTCCAAAACTGGATGAGCATATTCAGCGTCTCGCTCATGGAAATCAGCTGAACGAGTGACACGCCCGTGAGTCCCACGGACACAGAACCCCGGAGCTTGACAGAGAATCCGACAACAAGAAGAGCCAGGGCGGTGGTAGTGAGATCCAAGACGAGGACGAGCCATCGCTGGACCATGATGAGCAGGTAAAACGGCTTCTGTGACCGGTCAACGAGCTGGTGGTTCTTGAGAATGGCCTGCTTCTGCCATCCGAACGCGCGGATGGTGGAGATGCCCGCGAGCGTCTCCATGAACTGCGTGTACACGGGTGCTTTTTCTTCGAGATCTAGGAGACGGAGTTGGCGCGAGGTGCGGAGGTAGCCACGCTGGAGGAAGTAGTACAGGGCGGCGAGGAAGGGGAAGCTGATGGCGACATAGTAAGATGAGGCGGCGAGGAGGCCTGCTCTGGCGAGGACACCGAAGAAGCCTGCGCTCAGTGTTTTCTTGGATGAGTTTGGTAGATCATGGGGATGTGTAAGGGGATGATACTGACTTGCTATTGTTACCACGAGGGCGAGAGGGAGGTTTTTGTCCAGGATACCAATGTCTTGAGAGAATCTAGGGCCCATGTGAGTAAGTTGAAGCTTATAAAGGGGGGAGGCTCGTTACTTGCCTTGTAGTGATGGCACCCAGATCGGTCGTAGTAAAGAGAGACAGCGGTGCGCTAGGATCGATGAGTATGAGATGGATAAGCATACATACGTGGGATTGTGGAGGTTCTCACTTGACAACTGCAGATAGGAGCCTTTGGTGAAGAGAAATTCCAGACTTTGCCGCCACAACGACGAGAACGAACCTGTTTCTGTCAGCACCAGAGCTTTCTTCGTCTACTTCGCCAGAGGTATATATGCTTCGCTTACCATATGAGCAGAGCAAACCAGAACACGCCGATAATCTGTAACGCAGCGTAAATACCAAGATAATATCCCGAGTGGTTACCTCCTTGACGGTTCGAATCTGTCCAGAAATTGAGCCAAACAGCTGCGCTGTGCATTAGCTGGCCAACCTTTTCCAAATCAACCGCAGCCATGTGAGATCGCTTGGGGCCTCGACTTACTCGGAAAGCTCTGAAGAAAAGCCCAAACAACCTCTATAACGAGCAGGGTAGTGATGAAGAACGTCCCAATGCTACCAAAGTAATACTTATAGACCGTCGAGTCTCCGAGTTGCCTGCGCTTGTCCTCCTTGACCTCAACTTGTTTGGCCTTGTATTCCATTTTCGGTGTGGGCTCACTGTCTCTGGATTGCGAGAAGATCTCATCTTGACCCGAGTCAGAAGTTCTACCAATGGGCTTGTCGGCAGTCAAAGTTTGAACATATCCGCCTGTTGCTTGGAGCTGCGCGAGGGATCCTTGTTCCGTGATCTTTTCGTGGCCCAAAGCTATGATGAGGTCTGCTGACGCAAGGAATTCGACTGGACAAAAGCATTAGCACATCTTAGGTATCTTTGAAGCAAAGAAAAGCGCACCAGTCTGTGTAGCAAGAACGACGGTGGTCTCCCATTGTCTGAACAGGCCCGTAGAGGAGAACAGGTTCTTAAAGATTCGCTGTGAGGTAGCATTATCCAGCCCACTGAAGATGTCATCAAACAAGGCAATACGCGGCCGAGAGTACACGGCCCTGGCCAGCGCCTTTTGGGTGTGAAGTCGTAGAATCAGCTGCTCTGCTCCGATGTATATGAGAAATGGCAGACTCACGACACGCTGTTTCTGACCACCGCTAAGAGCAAGTCCCTTACTGCCAACGACTGTGAAGTCGCCCTGAGGAAGCTGCCAAAAATCGTCTTCAAGCTCACACGCTCTAATTGTTTGATCGTACAAGTCCTGATTGAAATGAGAGTATCCGATGATGTTGTCCCGGATCGATTGATTCTAAGTAAAAGACTCAGCTGGGATTGACTTTCCAAAGCGGAAGAGATGTTATCACTTACCAGAATCCAAGGAGTCTGCTCACACCAAGAAAGACGGCTGCTAGCCAAGAAGACTTTCCCACTGAAGTGAGGAACTTCTCCCAAGAGTCCCTTGAGCAAAGTCGTCTTGCCAGATGCCACAGGTCCGATCACGAGCGCAAAGTGGCCGCGTTTGAGAGAGAAGCTGATGTTGCTCAAGACCTGGTGCTCTGGTGACCAGGCGAACGTAGCATCCTCAACGTCAACAGCAGTAGTGTAAGTGGCTGCAACACTTGATGAAGAAGCATGACCAGTGGGAGAATTCAGAGGCTGAAGCTCGATCAGACCAGCATCTTCCCCAGTTGCGGCAGACGGACCGAACACATCAGCCGTTTCCACAGTCCGATACTCCTCTCTCGCAGCCTTGACAAGAAAGGCCTGGATACGACTAAACGCACCAAATGCAGCACTCAAATCAAGCACCACCTCAAATACCCAGAACAAGGGTTGCGCAAGCAGCGTGATTAGGGAAAGCGCAGAAAACATGCGCGTAGCGTCAAGCTCTTGGCCCGTCGCCGCGGTGATGCCCTGGTACATGGCAAAGGCCAGGACCGGCGAGAGAAGCAGCGGAATTTGGGCCACGGATGAGGTTACTGCTCCCACGACTCTGAAGGGCTTGGAAGCGGAAATCTCTTGGGCACGGAGAGAGGCGATGGTTGCCGACAGGTGCTTTGATAGGCCGGACATTTTGATGCTTTTGATGTGGCCGATCATGGCAGACGTTATACCTTTTATATGGTGAGCTCAGAAACAAAAAGAAGAGTGAGATACAAGTGATGGTATGTATGAACGTATGACTTACCGACTCGCCTCTGAGTCTTCTCAAGCCAGCCAACCTGGTACTTGCCCGCCAGCGGCGAAACAAACATGGTCGCCACGAGCGAAAGAACGGAGACGATGATGGGCCCTGCTGCGGCATATCCAATCTGCTTGCTCAAGAGCCACGTTGCAATACCAATCTGGAAGACGTTTGCCCAGAACTCGTGGATTTCTCTCATAGCACGACCAATGACATCGACCTGTTAACAGGATGAGCCTCCACATCAGCAAAACAGCAGAATTGCGGACAGGGAAGAAGAGATAGAGGGTCAAATAGAGGGAGTTTCACTTACATCAGAAGACATGAGAGTCAACGCAGCAGAATCATCAGTCGCAACAACACTCACATCCGTAACCTTTGTAAACACGGCCGAAACAAGGATCCCCCTTAGCATCGTCACGCACCGCCCATTCTGATGCCAGTAAAGCGCCTGCGTGGCCGCAATGCCCAGGTACACGAGTCCATAGGCCCCGACGAGCCCGTAGCCAATGCTGTCCGGCTGCGTCTCGTCGTTGAGGAAGCCGAGAAAGCGCGTCAGCACCAGGGGCTGGCAGATGGTAAAGGCAAGGAGGGCCAACCGCGGAACAATGACGGAAATGAGAGCAGAGCGGAGGGTAATGATGCAGCAGAATATGAGGCGATGCTTGCTCGCCTGGGTGGAGGGAGATGCTGGATAGAAGATGGGAATCGTCCGAGTTAGTAATGGTGTACTTGACGAGGCTCGACAAGTTACAGCTCGATGAGCTTTCTACGAATTATGACTTTAAGGTCTTTATGGTTGTGTTTGTATTTGGCTTTACGACTATCTAATAGGGGGTTTGAAGGGGGAAGTAACCAACCTTTTCGCCAGTGCCACCAAAATCTCTCGTTCAGTCCCGAAACGCCCATCTTCTCGTCCAGAGGAAACAAGTCGGCCGGCTGAAGCAGACGCTTGAATCCGGTCCGGAGAAGCGGAGCAACCCAAGCAAAGACAGCGCGGTTATATAAACCAGACGTCTCCTCAGGAGCCAGAGACTGCCGGCCCACAACATGGCCAGACTTTTCTCTTGCCTCGAGCACGAGTAGCGCCGCCTTGAGGCCAAACGAAGCCGTGAGAACAGCCTGAATGGCCGTGCTGACGGCTGCCCTGGAGAGGGAGAGCCACACGGTTCGTAAAACGGCGGCATCGAGCAGCAGAGATACGAGCAGGAAGACATTCAGCAGCGACGAGGGGGCAAGGGAACGGGCATGTTCATAATACGAGAGGGCACAGGACATGAGACTCGAGGCAAAGGAGACACTTGCAGCAGCAATAGACACGCCGTTCAGACGCGCAGGGCCGTTGTGAGTAGCCCAGAGGGCAATCAAGACCAGTTGAAGAGCTGCGAGGCAAGCCGTGACAGCCTGTGGTGGTAAGGGGAGAAGGCGCATTTTGTTAATTCTCAACGCCCTTAGTCTTCGAGGGCGATGTCCACTCGAGGAGCGGGATGCAGGATGGGCGGCTTACCAGTTTGATCGCACGCGACACATGATCGGTGACTTTGACCGACGCCTTACGCAGCTGAATGAGTCGCAGCGGAGCCACGAGAATGAGCAGCGACGCGGGAAGAAGGACAAAGATAGACTGCTCAAAGACGAGGGTGAAATCGAAACCGCCGCGACATGCCGCGTCGACAACAGGGCCGAAGGCAGCGTCTGCGGTTGGAGCACAGAGCGGAGCTGATATGTTCATGATGTGCAGATAAGATGTGGATTAGAAGTAGAGGCGAAGTGAGTGGTTCAGATGAAGGGGAGGGAGTAATAGAAGGAGAGGAAGACGGAAGAGGATGAGACGAGTTATGTACGAGGAGCGGTTAGGCTCTAAAGGAGGGGCCAAGGATTTGCTGGCTAATATTGCATATTGCATTGGTCCTGCTCCTACTCCGCATGGGGAAGGAAGCAGGTCCTTTTGTCGAGGCGTGTTGAATCCTTGCTATCGGCAATAGCTTAAGTCCTCTGCTACAACAGCTTCACAGGTGCCATTCAGGCAGATATCTGGACAGGCGTAGAGTTTCATCCAGCAGCAGTGCTTCGCTGCAGATATTGTGTCACAATCCCAGCTTCATACGAACATACGTCTCTTGTCTTTAACGATTTGCTTCTGTATTCGTCATGCTGTACGGCATTCTATCCCGGGCAGTGCATCTCTAGGCAGGTAACAACATGTAGAACCTCCTCTTGCTGCAGCACAAAACTGCTGCCTCCACGTCTACCTCAGGTATGGCCCATTTACTCGGGAGTCTTGTTGGGGTCGAAGTCGTACTTTTCCTTGAGCGACTCGACGAACTCGACATACTTTTGCTGCGCAACAGCCGGCTCGGTGATGCCCTCCTCCTCGTAGGCCTGCTCCCAGGCCTTCCACTTGGCGCGAGCCTATAGTAGACAGATCAACGTCAGCGCCGTGGACAGTAATAGACACAAAGGCAGCGAGCACAGTAGTAGAGGGGTATGGAGAGGAGAGTCCTGTTGCGTAGAATCATGTGTTGCGTACCTCGAAGGAGAACCGTGAAGGCTCGTCAGACTTCTTGAACTCGAAGCCCTTGCCAATCTTGAAAAGAGCTACAACGACTGGTATCAGCATCTTCCAAAGCACGTCATTGCTTCCAAGATGAAAAGGGCCGTCGCGTACCGTAGAGGCGCAAAAGGTCGTCGTTGCTGGGCTTCTTGGTCAACTGCTTGACCTCAACCAGCGCCTTGCTGAACTCGGGGGACTCGGGGGCAGACATGATGACTATCGATTGATTGTCAGATATGATGAGAGAAAGGAAAGAAGAAAAGAACGGGTACCTTGGGATCCAGAAGAAAAGCTTCATACAAGTACCGACTAAAGCTCGCTGGTCTCGGCCGGCGGCGGGGTAACGCCAACAGCTGAAGCTAATTCAGGCAATAGCAGCTCGTTTTACCACTGGTTATTAAAGGGGGGTTCCAAGGCCGAAAAGGAGGGGCAAATGACGAACATGAACGCTTTGTTGGGATCGTGCGATTGGCTTGTTGAGGGTCACGTACAGAAGGCCGCAATCACATGTTGGAGGCAGATGCAATGCCGAGTATCTGGTCTATTATTTGGTGATTTATCCAGGTGGGATGCGACACTGCGAAGCAGACAGTGATGCGATGGAATCTATAACAAACCAGTATCCAGATCGAGAGTGTAAGAGAAGGAAATGCCATAAGCGAAGGAGGCCGAAGCCTGTCAGCCGTCAGCCTCTCCTCCTCGTAAGCAGTGACATAGGACCAACTTCGCCTCGATTAAAACTTCATCTATCAATAAGTGTACAATTTATATGCCGAAAATCACCGTCGACCAACATGCCATCTGATTCAAGCTCAAAACAACCACCCGAAATTCACTACGAGATTCCCGCCACTGCTCAGCTCCTCTTCTCCTCCTCAATCTCCCTCCGCAGCTGCTCCAGGACCTGTTCTCGAGACCGCAAGTGCGCCTCCAGGCCATCCACCTGTTCACGGACCGTCTCCAAGTCGGCCGATATGCTCTTCAAGTTGCCACCAACGGCGGCCTTGCCCTTGCCCTCTTCCAAGTCCCTCAGCTCCCGACGCTTGTAGTCCAAAAGCTGTTCAAGCTCTCGCTTGACGAGTGCCGGCTTGGAATCACGCTTCCCGCCCTTCTTTCTCTCCGCAATCTCTTCGACCTTCCTAATCTTCTCTTCCAGGTCTTGCAGCTGGCGCTTGAGCCGGACCTCCTCCCAGTCCTCCGTCTTCTCCGTCGAAAAGTCGGTGCCCGCTGTCTTGAAGCCGCTGCGACCCAGCCTTGTCAGATATTGGTCGCCAAACTTTGCCTTGCGGCCCGTCGACGTAGTGTCATCTGCCTTGGTCGCCCACCGTGACGACACACCACCCCTTTGGTTGTCGACCTGGTAGTCGATCTGGTTGCGCTCGAAGCTTGACCGTAGTGAGGCCGGAACTGTTCGGGGGATTCGGTAGCCTTCGTGTCGGTTGTTGAGAATGTGAAGAAATGCAAGACATGCGTCCTTGTTGATGCTTGGTGAAGCCGATGGGTTAATGAGGTTCCAGGCGGATCGGATGTCCGTATCGGGGACGTCTAGCGACTCGTAGAGGTCCTCGAGGGCCGAGACTATCCATATGGTCAACGTCTGCCGGCTAAGAACAGGGGCAAGAGGGCTTCTAACATGATACTTCTCCTCGCATGTCTCGGCTTTCCTGATAGATCTGCTCGTACTTGGCCTTGTCTTCAGGCTTCATATACCATTCAAATCCATCTTTCAAGCCGGGCGTGTCGTCCTCGTCTTCGACTTGCTCAAACTGTGGCTGCTTTCCTGTGATGGCTTTCGTCGCCTGCACCAGATGGGCTTTGGACTCGGGGATCATCCAGTCAGGGAGCGTCTTCGGTACATCGGCAAACTCCTGGCGCGCGCGAACAAGGTTGTCAGTATTTCAGAACGCGTCTCCGAGCTCCGCGGGTTCCGTAGCTTACCCCGTTGAGAATGTCAAAGATGAGTCGCATAGCAACGCAAAACTCTTCGAAGTCGAGGTTTCCATCATTGTCCACGTCGGCCAGGTCCCAGACCTTCTCTAGCTGATCATCGCGAAGACCACTGTTCTTGAGGACGGGCGCAGCCTGGTCGCCAGTGAGGAACTGTCCACCACCTGTCCTATCCACAAAGATGTTCCAGTATGTTTCGATTTCCTTCTGCTCAATCTTGGGAGGCATCGTCGACGGAGCTCGGATCCGAGGCTTGTGCGGATTCGGTGATCGGGAGAGGTTGATTCGGTCAATGGGGGATTCGGTCCAGGGGAACCAATCGCTTGGTCGCAAATGAGAGGCGAAAAGACAATCGCAGGCTCCTCAAACACCACGCAAAGAAATCGCGAATCGCAAAGACGGCCGTAAGAGACGCAAGTGAGCGAACGGGGTGCAGGACAAGGAGTGACGAAGCTTTGGTGCTACTAATGAATGCTAGAGGGAATGCAGTGCAGCCAAGGCGCTGGAGATGCCAAAAGGGTACGGGGAGCGATGTACATGTACGTACCTGAACGGGGCGCATGTGCCTGAGCCCGGATTGGCGGAGTCTAGCGCCCCGTTTGGGCGATCTGCTCATGTGCATGCATGCATTGTACAATTGCCTTCGATCGACTGGAGCAAAGGACGCTTATTGCACACAAGAAGATGAATTCGGATGTGTTCTGTACCGCAGTAGACATTATAATTGAAAACCAACCCTACAAAGCCAAATGAAATTGAAACGAGACAATACAAGTCTCCCGTGCTAAAGAACTTGAAGACGCAGTTGGACTTGACTCTGAGCGTTATAACAGAGCGATTTACATCCAACCAATCGTATTCGCTCATTATAATCTGCTCCACAACTCGCCAGGGGTCCGGATAGAGGGTCTTTTCCTTTTTTTGCTAAGCTGGGCCATAATTTCATCGCATATTTAAACCTCGACGCCCATCGCCACCGACAAAGGCTGAAGCATTCATTTCCTTTCTAATTGCGAGGCGTTCTGATTATCTGGTCGGAGTCTTTCTTTCTTTTTCTTTCTCAGCCTCTTTGAAACAGGAAGCAGCCATGTCGACGACGACGACGACGACCACAACCACCACTCAGGCGCAGCCGATCACGGCCGAGACCATCCTCCGCCTCTTTCCCGACATCGACACCACCAGCGAGGCGCTGTCTGGCCACGATGAGGAGCAGATCCGTTTGATGGACGAGGTCTGCATTGTGACGGACGAGAACGATGCGCCAATTGGCACTGCCAGCAAGAAGATTTGTACGGATCCCCTCTTCCTCTACCTCTGCCCAGCCCGTCCTTCTCGACTAACAAACTCTTGCCCAACGTAGGCCACTTGATGACCAACATCGACAAGGGCCTCCTGCACCGCGCCTTTTCAGTCTTCCTCTTCAACGACAAGAACGAGCTGCTCCTCCAGCAGCGCGCGTCGGAAAAGATCACCTTCCCCGACATGTGGACCAACACCTGCTGCTCCCACCCTCTGAGCATCCCCACCGAGACCGGCGCCAACCTGGTCGACTCCATTGCCGGAGCGAAGCGAGCGGCGCAGCGCAAGCTGGATCACGAGCTGGGCATCAAGAAGGAGCAGGTTCCCTTTGAGGACTTTCACTTCCTGACTCGAATCCACTACAAGGCCCCTAGCGACGGCAAATGGGGCGAGCACGAGAGTACGATTCATCTACCCGACCTAGTATATGGATAGAACATGAGCTAACCTTGCGTATAGTCGACTACATCCTCTTCATCAAGGCCAACGTCGACGTCAACCCCAACCCCAACGAAGTCCAGGCCACCCAGTACGTTACCGCCGACGGCCTCAAGAAGCTCTTCGAGGACCCCAGCCTCAAGTTCACTCCCTGGTTCAAGCTCATCTGCAACTCGATGCTCTTTGAGTGGTGGGCGAGCCTCGATTCCGGCCTGGAGAAGTACACCAACGAGCAGGAGATTCGACGAATGCTGTAAATGGGGTTTAATACGAATACGATGGGTTGTAATACGAATAAGCGTGCGAAAATAGACACTTTCTGAGAGGGTTTTACAATGATGGGAGATGATGCATGTCGAAACGCCGAGGCTGCACGTTTGCGTGACAGCCCTCAATTGGGTCATGATAATTGTTTGTTGCTCTAGAAGAAGAGTAGAATTAGATACCAAAATGCGATGATCAAAATATTACGGAATTGGCTCTGCGTAAAATTCTCGAAAGCGTACACATATCAGCAATATCTCTTTTGCCCAGACCTCGAAATCACTCTGTACTCCCAGGATTGTCATTGTCAAACTTCCTTATGGGCAAAGATAAGACTGCCGAGCAAGTTTTCGTATACGCATACACTCTGTGTGGCTTTTCCGCGGAGACAGAATCTTATCTACGTGAGGCTCCCGTGCAACGTGAACCATGTAGCATTAATGAATGGAGGAGTGGCGTTTCCATTGCTGATTGAGACAAATCCGCGGTGGGAAGTCTCATGCGGGCGAAACTTTATAGGACGTGCACGCACTCAGCCGTACTCGTATGCGAATTCGTATACCAAGTATACCGGAATAGGTACCCTAAAGCTATTTTTTGAAACAGAGGCTTTCAAAACCAGCTATGAGAACTTCATAAGACAAACAAGTTTGAGACCGTATCTTAGATATATTCATTGAAGAAGGAAGCCTTAGTAGTACTTGGTCTTCTTGTACTGGTCTCCAGGAGGTATTTATCCATGGCAACCCATTATATTGTCGTGCTACCTTTCTGTAGGAGAAGCTATCACGATATTGTATTACCAAGTTTATTCTCTCTGACTTTTATGAGAACGAAAAGAGTTTTCTGTCTGCTTCTAGTCATCTACTCGAACCATTCTTGTTTCTCAGCAAAATGCGACAAAAGTCAGACTTCCAGTGACGCACATCTCAGGCGAAGAATGCGGAGTGCATATGAGTGAACTCATTCATTCACATGCTGATCGCCTTGGGGCATCACATCTCACCTCCAAACAACCGTTTACCCTCCCTACCGGCCATTCCCGCAACACTAATTAATAACAGAAACGCCATTGATTGCTAGCCCTTTCCCACCCATCCACCATGCACACATTAAGAGTACTACTTGGAGCAATACATACAGTTCACACGATGTACGAGTACAGCATGTATGTATGTAAGTTGCCGGTCACGAACCGTCTACCCCGGAGCCTCATCCCTTTCCCCGCAAACCGAGACTGCCGAATCCAGCACCCTCTCTGTCACTTCTCAACTTGGCTGATGGCCAATATTGCCCGTTCTTCGACGCACATGCACGAAGCATCGCACATGATGATAAAGAGATAAGGGAAACGTGATTCAAGTTGCACCGGCCAGCCTCTCGCCTCATGCCACGTTTTGTAGTTTCGGAGATGCCCTGTTCCATGTGTAAAGGTGGCTGCCCACCCAGATCAGCTCCCCCACGTTCGTTTTCGACAAGTCTGCTTTTACATAATGCTGATGCTGGACTGTTCGCTCTGAGATATCTACAATACTATTTCTCATATCAGATTACTATCAACCACTGGCTATCGATAAAAACAAAAGTAGGTGCGTATAGACCAGCCACTCGGTGTCTCGTAGCACTCAAACACGCGGTACAATCGGCCATCGGCCCGCGCCACCAGCCTCAACCTTCTTACGTCTGGAACGGCATCAGTCAACCGGGTCGGCGCCCTCCATAAATCAAGTCCCAGCGGGCTAGTGGGCCAATTTCCTGGGGGAGGCTCCAGGAAATGCGCCCTTAGCGCTGGGCCGCCCGTTCATCCGCTGGATAGGCAAACAGGGTCCCAATTCTGGTGTTACTAGCAGCTGACGTTGAAGGCCGGGCTGAGCGAGGTTCGTATCAGAGCGGCGAACTGCGTGGAGGAGAAGACTCCGCATCTTGGCTATCAATGGGGGGGAGTGCAAGATAGCAACCTGTTACGGTTAGACCTGGGGAAGGATCTAGATAACGAGACCGGTTGACGACGATGCAGGTCTTACAGTGCACTGGCACATTGGATGGTGATGAATACGTAATTGTCAACTGGGTTTACCTCCCGTACACTATTTTGTCGTTGGCATTTCTGAATCAGATCTCATATCAAATTACAAGACACATCACGTTGATAGTCTCAAACCTTAAGCTCACCGTAGCACGCAAGCCATCAACCACTGAACACCAAATAGAAAATGCAAAACAAAGTGAGCCTTACGTTGACACACCGGGCATACAGTACAGGAATCATCCCACGATACTTCCCCTCCCTCCCCCAACTCCAGCCGCGGCGGCGCATCATCTGACCCTCAACCTCGGCCACCCGCCCAATCACGGAATCGCCCTCGCTCGGCCAACCTCCCATGTTTCTGCTTCCCTTTCCATTCGTACGGACAACTGTTCGGCCGGGCCAAGCCGGTGTGGACCGCTCACTATCTCTGTTCGGTGCTCTGCGTCTGTTATCTCTGTTAGTGGAAACTTGCCCCCGGCTTCTCGGTGGCGTCCGGTCTTCCGCTTGTCAGATATCCACTAATAGACTGATGTCCTGCTTCGTTGATGCTTCTGTTTGTTGCGACTTCGGCAAGCGTGTGTGTGCGTATGCCCTGTACATTGTATGTAATCCGTCGACGAGGATTAAATACCCGGCTGCCGATCCGTGTCAGATCTCCATTTCATCTGCTCTGCCACCACAAGTCTTCCCAAACCTTTCTTCCTCAACACTCTACTTGGCCTCTTATCTTCTTATCCCATCTGATCTGATCTGATCTGTTTCGGCAAAGAAGTATCGGGGCCATCTCCCGCCCATCCCATCTATAGTAACCTTTCATACGTCCATTCTACCGACGCATTACCTGACAACCAGAGATCGAAGCGAAAGACACACACGGGGAAGGGATAGAAAAGAGAGACTCATAACTAAGCCTCCTAGGTTAACAAAACTTTGAAGAGCTTGGGAAAGAGGCCATCCTTTTTGTATCCCGCTCTGCTGGCTGTTGTTTAACCCTTTCTCACTTACAACCGCATTGATTACAATTCTTGTTATTCTGACTATTACCACTCGTCGTCTCCAACGTCGCCTCCAACCAAACCTCATCTTGTCCCACTGTGGTCCCGTCTCTATCTTCACCCTCTCTGCATAGACGATATCCTTCCCGGGTCGTCGTCAGTGAAGTGATTGATTGCTTGACCGGTGATTCATACCGAACCGCCCTCCATCAAAAGCCAACGAAACTCCATCCTCGCCCTGATCTACTTCTTCATCTTTCACCAATCTCTCTCTTCAACCCTCTATTCTTTCCCATCCATTGAACGGTCCTAAGGCCTTAAACACCACATTGATGTCGGTTGACCTACGCGACTGCCTCAATTGCCTGCAGCACCCCTCCAGGTTTATGCCCGTGTCGAGATCTCAGCTCTCAAGAGTCCATACGGGTGATAGCGCACAGAATAGTATACGTGAGTACCTTTGCGTGTGAAAGATAACCTTTTCCATCATGAAAACAATATCACTAAAGCTGGACGCGCCTGTGGTTGCGTATTCCCACTTATACAGGCAGCATCATCGAGTGAATAAGTCGAAACCATCTGAACCTCAAAGCACTACAAGAACTCGACGAGAAAGAGACAAGTCAGCCCAGCATGGCGCACGTCATCAGTAAAACAAACATCACCACCTCCTCCTCGACCGTCACCGTCGTGGACCACCGCCGCTCCCTCGTGCCCCAGGCCTGGGAGAAGTCGGTCCGCAGGATCGGGCTGGCCGAGTGCGAGCAGGCGGGCATCTCCCTCGCCCACGCCTTCGCCGCCGACGCCCTGAGCCTGTACCTGCTCGACGGCGGCGAGGCGGACCGCTACTCGGACGAGGCCAAGTGGAAGCTCCACGTGCGCATCATGACCTATCTTGTCTCGGCCCATTGCTACAGCGGCGTCGTCACGACCATTGGTCCGGATTATGACGCCGTGGCCTTGTGGTGAGTCTTGAAAAACCCCTGTATCACCATTGCAGTCGGAGACTATGACTAAACTGTTCCTTCAGGATGCCTCCTGGGACGCACATGGATGACTGGTGGACCATCTTCCGAAGCGGCATGTGGCGCCTCTACTACCAGCTCGGTGCAGAGGGCCGCAAGCGCTACTACGAGGACGTTCTGCCTCTCCTGCACGAGACCATGGACGAGGTCATGGGAGACCGCGAGTACTACTATCTTGCGTACATTGGCACCAAGCCCAGTGCCCGGGGCAAGGGCTATGCGAAGAAGCTCATCATGGACATGGCCGCAAAGGTGAGAAGAAGCGCCTTGAGCTTGTATATAAGAGATGAGATGGATTGTAACTCATCAATGACCAGGCCGATGCCGAGAACCGCGCCATGTACCTCGAGTCCAGCTCCCGCGAAAACATCACCTACTACGAGCGCTTCGGCTTCCAGTACCGCAAGGAAATCTCCTTCAAGCGCGGCCCGGTGCCCGTCCCGCTCTTCATCATGGTGCGCGAGCCCGTCGCAGCCAAGGTTGCCGAGGAAGCCGTGCCGATGATGGATCAGATTGAGATTGTCAAGGTGTAAGTCGCCGATGTTCGTGACAAGCCTAAGCGACGACGTCGTGTAAGTCTCCTGTTGGAGACTTGGAAGGAGTTGTCAAGTGAGGCAGAAGCTTGGTGTCTGCTTGGCTTGCTTCTTCCCCCCCTTTTCGTTCTTACTATCCTTCAAACGCCCCCTTCTGAAATGTATGTTGCAAGGAAACGACTGCTTCCTTGCGTTTTTGAACGTTTTTACTTTTCGTCTTTTATTGTTTTCATGTTCGTACGCTCATTATATCTTGCTGCTGCTTTTGCTTTTTGCAACTGTATGAAAGGCCTACTCTCACAATGGCCCAGCCCTGTCTCTACCGTACAATACATACCGATATCATGAACTAGAGATGTATGTGCTAGATGGTCTAATATTCCAACACCGCCCATGTCTCCTCGTCGATTGTGGTATATATCAACCCCAGTCCCATGAGCTCGTCCGCCGCCTCCATCACATCCCGCAGCCCCAGCCCCAGCTCCGCCGTGAGCTTATTCAAGTGCACTCCGTCAGTGCCGTCCGATGACTTCTTGAGGTACATAAACATGTTCTTCGCCTTGTTGCTGCACCCCGAGAGCTTGCTGGCCGTCTGTGCCGCTGCCGCTCCGCCGCCGGCATTGTATCCGTCACCGCCGTCGACGAACATGCTGTCCCCGTTGGCGTCTCCTGCGTTGGGTCCGCCGACGGCGCCGCGGGTGTAGAACAGGTGTACGTATGTCGCCTCAAGCATGTGGTAGTTGACCTCGTTAAAGTCCGTCACCGGCCGGATGACGTGAGCGCCGACGTGCCGCTTGTTGGAGAAGGACTTGAGGCGGCCCCAAACGCGGATGTGGGAGTCAATCTCGAAGCCGGGCTCTGCGTCGCTCTGCTTGTCGACGTCGATCCACTTCTTGACGTCGATCTGGCCCGTGCCGTCGTCGACCTTGATTGTGAGGTTCGTCTGTTGCGGGTTTATGCTGCGGACCTGGCCGACAAATGTGATTTGCGTGATGGGGGCGCCGTCGACTTTGAAGTCGGCGCCGGAGTAGGGCTCCTCTGCGTCGAGGATCTGCTTGATAGTCAAGGGCCGTAATGATTCGTCCTGGTATGACTGTTTGCACGCATGTCAGCTCTGGGTAATTCGTCTGCAGTATAGTCAAGCTTCACCAACCTTGCCGCCGCCTTGGCTGCCTTGCTGTGAACCGCCTCCGGCAAAAAAGCCGCCGGAGTCATCGCCGCCCTGGGCGCCGTAGCTGGTCTTTGAGTATCCGCCGTATGCAGCTGTGGAATAGAGTTCGTATTAGCAAGGACAAGTAAACCGTATCAACGAGGCTGCCTTACACATTATGTCAAGATTTTGTTTGGTGATGATTCTTGGTTTTTCTTAACAGAGGGCGACGCGTTCGAAGCGCGACTCGAGTTTAATGGATTTTGCCCCGCGACAGGCTACAGCGACAAAGTGGGCTTGCTGATGCGCGGAAGAGGCGCTGAGTCAGCAGCGAAGTACGATACAGCATTGGGACCAAGACGGCGGCTCACTGAATCTCAGTGGCTGTGGCTGTGGCTGGTATGATGATACGCAACTTCACATCATCATGTTTACTTCGTGTCTCTTCCGTGATAATAAGATTCAAGGTTATTGGTACCATTTGATGATTACTAGGTTGCTGGTTTCATGAAAATGGTATTCATCACCTATCATGGGTTCATCTTCCGCTAATCCCTCGGTAGTTGATACTAGCATAGATGCATGTGGTCGAGCCACCGCAAACACGTAAACATAAGGTACATGTACTGACACTCATGCCAGGTCAACCGCCACAGCTCAAACATGTAAACCCGGGAATGGAATGTCCGGACTGGCATCTCCGGCCATCACAAAGCCGACCTCCTCCCTTGCCATTGATGTTATTTGCTGCCGTACTGACCAATCCAACTTGTCAACCATTATCATCACCATCATCATCACGAGAGCGCGGCATCTCCATCCCCCGCCGGCCAATAGGCGCTCTCCACCATCAGCCTCGGCAAGATTTAGCCAGCCGGGGTCGCATAGACGGAACTGACTCGAAGCTGCCACTAAAGCCACTGGACTGGACGGACCGCTACCGCTCTGCGACCGCTGCTACGTTATGCCATAAGCCGGGCCTTGACATCAACAACAGCTCGTCGCTTCTCTGCCCAAATGCTTCCACCGCGTTCCGCCCTCTTGCGAAGCATCACCATCTGATACCCCGAAGCGTCGTCCTTGTTCCGCCTCTTCATCTCCATAGCCATTGTTGTTTCCGTCTGTTTCAGCGCATCGCTTCTTCTGCTTTGCGCTTCAGCCTCTTGCTTCTTGCGCTACTCCAACCACCCTGAACCACCACAGCAATCGCATCGCCATGGGAAGATCCCTGACCGCGACACTTCCGCTAATTCCTCTGCCGCGCGGAACGGTCCTGCTGCCCGGCCTCGCCTATCGAATCACCGTCAACTCCAGCCGGCCCGACCTCCCGGCCCTCCTCGCCCACGTGTACGAGCTCGCCGCATCAAAGGGCCCCGATGGCCGCATCGACACCATCCCCATAGCATGTGTCCCGGTCTCGTCTCCGCTGGTCGGTCCGGACGGCCAGCTGCTCATCACCAACGGCGAGGACATTGACAGCGCCCGCATCGAGCCCGTCAACCCGGGCACTGCGAAGAAGGACGACCTGTTCGGCTTCGGAGTCGCGGCCAAGATTGTCGGCATTGACGGCCGCGGGTCCGGCGAGTTTGCGCTGCGTGTCGAGGGCTCAAGCAGAGTGAGGGTAGACTCCTTCACTCGCGAGCGGCCCTTTTTCGAGGCCACAGTCACCTACTATGAAGACGAGAGTATGTCTCTCTGCCCATCTCATCCACGTCATTTGAACAAACAGGCCCCATGGCTTGACTGTTGCTAACACATTGTGCTATAGTCGACGTCACCGATAAGCAGCTGCAAGACTTGTTCAGCCTGCTCAAGCTGCGCTCACGAGAGCTCGTCACAATTCTTCGCATCTCCTCTCTGCTGCCTCGCACAGGCGGCCCCTCCCTCTCACCCGCAGTCACAAAGCGATTAGAGATGCTCATCATCAGAAGAGAATTAAAGGAGGCTGGAATGCTCGCCGACTTCATGGCCAACCTTCTAGACGCCACTCACGAAGAGAAGCTCGGTGTCCTGGCCGCTCTTGATCCCAAGGTCCGGCTCACAAAGGTCATTGAGCTGTTGGAACGTCAGGTGGGGGGCATCAAGAACAACTTCAAGATCACTACATTCACAACGGTCCCCGTTCAAATCATTGATCGGTTGAACGAGAATCCATCTAGAAGGCTGCCGAATAATATGATGCCTCCGATGGGCGGCATGGGGCTTTTGCCACCCCCTGGGGGACAAGATCAAAGCGAAGACCAGGATGCTAGTGAACTCGATGAGCTAAAGAAGAAGCTGCAGGCGGCAAAACTTCCGCCAGACGCTGCCAAGTCCGTAGACAGGGAGCTGCGGCGGCTGCAGAGGATGCCGCCCATGAACCAGGAGTACCAGGTGACAAGGAATTGGCTCGAGACGATATCCGAAATCCCCTGGACGACCACTACAAATGACCGCCTGGGGCCCGATACGTTAATAAAGGCCCGGCAACAGCTTGATCACGACCACTACGGCCTGGACAAGGTCAAGAGGAGGCTCATCGAGTACCTGGCTGTATTGCGCCTCAAGCAATCCATCAACGACGATTTGGAGGAGCAGATCCGCAAGGCGGAAGCTGATGCGGCTGCCGCCGACAAAACTCTCACGGATGGCACCATCAGAGACACTAAGCCAGAGGAGGTTGTCAAGAACAGCGTTAGTCGTAAGGAGGCATCAGACTCCGAACTCACCAAGCTCCAAGTGCTCAAGTCGAAGCGCGCCGTCGACAAGTCTCCCATCATGCTGCTCATTGGGCCCCCGGGTGTCGGCAAGACAAGCCTGGCCAAGTCGGTTGCGACTGCTCTGGGCCGCAAGTTCCACCGCATCTCCTTAGGCGGCGTCCGTGACGAGGCAGAAATCCGTGGCCACAGGCGGACATACGTGGCGGCCATGCCAGGGCTCATCGTACAGGGCCTGAGGAAGGTCGGTGTTGCGAATCCCGTCTTCCTGCTCGACGAGATCGACAAGATTGGCTCGGCAAGCGTCCATGGGGATCCCTCGGCCGCCATGCTGGAAGTTCTGGACCCCGAGCAGAACCACAGCTTCCAGGACCACTACGTGGGCATGCCCGTCGATCTGTCCAAGGTCCTCTTTATTGCCACCGCCAACAGTCTCGACACCATTCCCGGCCCCCTGCTGGACCGCATGGAGATGATCTACCTCCCCGGCTACACCACGCTTGAGAAGCGCCACATCGCCATCCAGCACCTGATTCCGAAGCAGCTCAAGGCCAACGGATTGGCCGAAGACCAAGTCGAGTTCACCCCGGAGGTGGTATCCAAAATTATTGAGTCGTACACCCGTGAGTCAGGGGTTCGCAATCTGGAACGTGAGATTGGCTCTGTATGTCGCGCCAAGGCTGTCGAGTACGCTGAGGCGAGAGACAACGGCACCCTTGACAAGTACCGGCGCCAGGTCACCGTTGACGACCTCGAGAGCATCCTGGGCATCGAGAAGTATGAGGAGGAAATTGCCGAAAAGACGAGCCGCCCGGGCATCGTCACGGGGCTTGTCGCCTACAGCACCGGCGGCAACGGCAGCATCCTCTTCATTGAGGTGGCCGACATGCCCGGCAACGGACGCGTCCAGCTTACCGGCAAGCTGGGCGATGTTCTCAAGGAGAGTGTGGAGGTTGCTCTCACATGGGTCAAAGCGCATGCGTATGAGCTCGGCCTCACTTCCGACCCGCACGTCGACATCATGAAGGATCGCAGCATTCACGTCCACTGTCCTTCCGGAGCAATTCCCAAGGACGGACCCAGCAGTGGCATCGGTCAAGCCATTGCCCTGATTTCGCTCTTCTCTGGCAAGCCGGTGCCACCTACAATGGCCATGACGGTACGTCTTCACTGCCGACCTTTTTGCTTCCCCGTGTCATACCATGCAATTTATCTCTCTAATCTTCCTTACTCTCATCCGATATGTGTCCCAGCACAATAAAATCTTTGACCGGCGTAACTAACGTGACATGTAACACAGGGCGAGATATCCCTCCGCGGCCGGGTCACCGCTGTCGGAGGTATCAAGGAAAAACTCATCGGTGCCCTCCGAGCGGGGGTTAAGACGGTGTTACTGCCAGCGCAGAACCGCAAGGACGTCAAGGACCTGCCTCAGGAGGTCAAGGACGGGTTGGAGATTTTGTATGTTAGGTGAGTACTAACCATTCTCTTCCCTTCTCATTCTAAACTATCTTGCCCCCTTTCTATGTTTGTTTGGTCTTCTGTCTCCTCACCCCGCCCCTCTTCTTTCCTCGCCTCCAATCTTCATCTTCATCTCTATCTCGATCCCCCGCCGGCAAGATGCAGTAACGCCCTTGCGGCTACGCACCTTGCCTAGCTCATCCAAACCGCAGAGCAAGAGAAGACAGTGGAATGGAAAGAGAGAACAACGAGAAATGCAGTGTTACTGACTTTGGTGGTCAAACAGCCATATTTGGGATGCGATCCGACTGGTCTGGCCCGATTCCCACTGGGCCGAGGACCACCAATTTGCCGGCGTCGAAAGCCGTCTGTAAGGGATGAGTGTTTTCACCACCACTGTTCACTACCGTATCATCACCATGATCTATCACACATCTCCCGTTGGCGTCCCGGGATGTTCCGCCCCAATCTGTACTGTGTCTTGCATATCACATCAGATTCCGCTTTGTAATCAGATAAATCATCTAGCAAAACCGGCAACCATCATGCACGGGGTCATGTACATACGTATGCAAGGGAGAGAGCTGGCTTGAAGCCTCAGTCTTGGCATATACTACCACTACAACTACTACTTTGTGTGGCTTGGAAATGGAGCGGATCTAAGACAATATGCCATCAGATCCCTTGAAGGGGCCATTTTGCACGCGGAAATCTAGCCGAGCTGAGCTGCGCTCACGTTTTCCTTTTTGGATTCACGCCCCCCTCCTTTAGAGGCAATAGAACAACATGTCATGTCGTATGTTGCTTCTTTGCATATCATGGGATATCCCTGAGTTCATGTCTGCACCATGATTGTTATGTTGTCACGGAGTAGTAGTCATCAGTGTTGCAGTATCAGTCAGTGTCAACGGGGCGAGTCGTCGTCCGAACTCTCATCGTCAAAGGGCCGTGCATGTGTTCCTTTAACTCACCGTACTCTCCGAAGCGGTCTCTCTGTTTTCGTGTGATCATGTCACTGCATCACCGGCGCCACAGGAAGCGAGTTGCATCCTACTAGTACTCGCATTTTTTGTGTTCAATGGCTTGGATATCCTATATCCCCCATAACACCGCCGGGGCGATTGGGTGATGCTCCAGGAAGAGATGCACTTCTCCTTTGCGTGTGAGATATCCTCATGTCCATAGGCTGCGATACCTGCTTCTGTGCTCTGATATACACGCTTACATGGTCTCCAGGGGGACCATGTGCTGCGGCGTTGAAGACACATGGACGAAATGGCGTGAGAGTAAGACAGCAGCACAAAGATTAGGCACCATCTAGTGATTCATAGTGAGACACTAAGGGATCTAGGGAGAAAGGGGGAAGAGGAAAGAGAGATGAGGATGATGATGATGATGATGATGATGAAAGGAAGAGGGATCGGTGCCGTTTCAATACAGGCAAGAATAAGAGCTGAGAGTCAGGAAGGCGTAAAACCCAGTCCTTCACCGCGATATCATCTTCGGAAGTGTACGCCGTTAGTTCGTTGGGCGACACGATCTAGGCGGATCCATCAGCTGCCTATAGCGAGTCAAGTGATCACACGCATGTCCATCTGTGTCTGTGGTCGACTTGCATCATCTCAGCTCTCAAATGAGACACAGATGCGAGACTAGCAAGCCTGTGTTGTCAAAACTTCCCTCGGTGTCATAATGTGCGTACTTTGTACGCAGGGGGGTTTGTGTGAGCAGTTGCGCTGTGTATCTTCCTTCAGCTGGACATGGATGGACAACGGAGAGAAAGGAAAGAAACGAGGACTGAACAAGACATTACCAGGTGGACGCAAGGTCAGATACCTGCTCTCTCAGAAATGATGGACAGATTGTAAACGTCTGCAAATGTAATTGCATCCCTTGTAGTTGGTATTCGTCCTCTGTTTGAACTACTTGCTCATCTTGCGCTGACAGCTGAGCTATCTTCTTCTCCGCCTCAGAGCCGTAATCTTCAAAGGTCCATGTCGGGTTGTCGAAGCATGCCTCGTCACGCCCACCCAGAGTTACCAGCTGGAACGGCAAGGGCCGTATGTGTAGCTCGAGTGGCTTGCCGCTGCGGCGTATCCCATACACCCGCACACTGGTTTCGATGCCCTTACATGCTCTTTGCTCTGATAGCTGGATAAACAATCCAATGCAAGCGAGGCCGGGCAGCACCAGCGAAGTGCCCCGTGGTTGTTTGCATGTAGGGTGCAAGACCAGGGAGCCAAGGCCTCAAGAATGCGTCCGGAATTCATACTGATCTTTGCCTTGGCTGACGCCACAACGCAACTCATAGATGCTCAAGCTGCTGCCATGAATCTTCCATGTTAGGGGCCGGTGAAGGGCCGACAAAAAAGCTCCCCAAGGGCCCGGCATCAGAGCACCGCGCACAAGCCGGTGATGATAAACATGAGCCTCGTTTCGGCCCTTTCGGGCAGGAAGTTTCGGGCTGCAACTTCAGATTTGAGAAGTATGTTATTCTTCACCAATGTAACGAGCCTAAAACAGCGCAATTCCGTATGATCAAGTATGTGCTGCTCATCCTTGGGGTCGCAGTGAGTATCTCTAAGTGCCGCAGGGGATGCCTGTTCACAAAACAGAACGAAGCAATGATACCTGCCACAATAATACCTGCCAGAAGCAATTTGAAAAAGCTCCGACGGCCTCTTACGAGATAGCTTCTGTCAACCAGGGGCTGCATCAACCCAGCACGTGGTGGCCTTGGCGTTAAGGGCTTCACTCTGAGCCAGGTAGAGCAGAAAGCAACCATGATGAGGATGATAGCGTTCTTGTCAAGTTTACAGCTCCAACCAGGTAGCCAGATGTAACACGACGACTGCGTATTATCTCGCTGGCTGTAAGTGAGTCGTCGGCATGAACGTAGTCGGCATTTTGTTGTAGCAATATAAAAAAGCTGGAATCACGCAGAATGAGTTTGCGGTTCATCTGCCTATCATCTTCGCGAAAGAGTGCGTACCGCAGCTGAAAAGATGCGATTATTCCCGTCACTCCTGAGCTGAACAAGAGCTACACTTTCAATCAAACTTTGTATTCGTGCTCCGTGTGCAGTCGGATACTGGGTGTTTGGTGCTTGCCCAATCCTTGTGTTGGCAACCGTCACACCCCTCAAAAGGCTAACACTCAGTCGAGACCATTCCAATGTGGAATGTCCGTCAGTTCCTCTACCCCAGTCACTTCGATGTGGCACTTGTACTGGTACAAGTCCTTCGTAGTATTCGTAGAAAAGCGGGTGTGGACGCCAAGAGAAGTAAGGGAGGACCTTAATGCTTCGATCCGATTGAGCAGCTAAGCTCCGAGTGTGATGCACGCGCGGCGGATTTCTCGTATGAACGTGAGAGTCTGGGCACGCAGTTCGAAATGCCGGAAATTGATAACAAGACCGCCAGCGTTGACCACATCGACGACTGACACGACAGCTGAGGACACAGCTGTACACGGATCGAAAGGGTCCAGGCAGAAAGTGCCGCCGAATAGATACCTAGTTTCACCACACCATGTCTGTGCATGTATGTCCTTGGCACGGGTTCGTCTATCGCATGTATGTAAGATTGAACGATGTAGGAGTATGTCACGGTGGACTCGACAGAAGGGGGCCACACAGCCCCTTCTATAAACCCCCACCCATATCGACGAGATGTGATGACATGCCAATAGACGCTTGTCAGAAAATTTCCGTCTGGATTCCTTGCCGCTAGGGGCAATTGCGCTTCAGATTCCCGTTCCGGCTGCTGCTTATCTTGGTGATTCTCTCTTGGAGTGGTGAAGCCAGTGGGAAACTTTCCCAGGTATTGCGTCGTTAGATGCCAAGCCTCCCCGGACTGATACTCGGAACAAGTGAAGATCGTATTGCTAGCTCCCCAAACATCCACCGGATGCTACGAGGCGGCATGGCTGTTGGTGAGATGTATTCCCCCATGGCCATGCCGCCGCGTGGCTCGATGGATCCCTAGATATGTCGCAAGACATCGTGCAGGTCAAGGCCGGTTCTTTTTTTTTTTGTTCCGTAGGAAAGCCGTGCGCCTTGGGCCGAACGGCAGCTCTGCACAGGGTGTACTTTGCACCTAATACCTTGGTTGAATATGGACCCTAATCTGGAGCCAGGGAGCCCAAACCCTTCGTCAAGCACGGAGCAAATAAGATTGTACGGAGAACGTTGGTGCCATATCGTTGTACTTCGTAATTCAAACTCCCGACGCCGTACTCCGTAGTCGCAACCTAATAAGGCTTGCTAGCCGAGATATGCACCTTCCTACCGGAACCAGACTAGATGCCTGAGACCCCTTGTTGAAAGGCCGAGGTCTAAGCACGCAACATGAGGCCTGGAGTCGCCGCTTTCGTGTCTGTGCCGGCACTCGACCCTCTTGCCAACTGCCTGACAGCAATGGTTAACGATGATGGCAGTAGCAATATGAGGGCTTTTCCCTCATTCAAGTATAGAAAATCGGGGCGAGCCACCGGACTGCAAAAGCTGTGTCTTTTACATATTTCTGATTTGTTCCCCCAGATTCGTTCGAAGACCTATCCCTGTCCCCCCGGGAAATTTAGCTCTTCAATAGTCCCGCGACCACCAGGAAGAAATGGGGTTCCGGCGGGGTGTTGTAGAGGCCGTGGGAAGAAAGGGCCTGGGCCTTCCGAAGCACAGGTGCCCAGCCGGCCCCAGTAGTCTCGTCACTTTGAACGATGTGCTCGTCCACCATGCAGCGTGCAATGGAAAACGTTGGTCTGACTCTGACCCGAGGCCGAGTGCAGGTGTGGGTGCGGGATATCACCTGCTGGATACGGGAGACAATATTTGCAGTCGATGTGCTCGTTGGTCTGTTGTAGAGGAAATCAGGAAGTATACTCTTTGTTTGAGCTTGGGTGTGAGATTTCGTATTACTACCTACTCGTACGAAGTACTAGTAATCCAGCCGGCACATACTAAGCACTGCGCAGACGAGTTCTTAAGTTGTTAGCCTGCCATGGTTGTTCCGCCGGTTACAACGAGTCTCCTGCTGCTTCGCCGGCGTCTTCGCGGAGCAGCTGCCGAGCGTACGAGATCCATTTCTCTCCTGAGTAGCGCTTCTTGTCACGAGCGACCTGTCGATTTCGGCCTGCCGTTCGTTGAGCTCGTGCAGCGGGAGAGATGGGGCTTTACTCCGTATGAACGAAGTACCACGGGAGCAGATGAGGAGATAATGCTCGTACGGAGAATTTCGATTGGAGACGAGAGGGGAGTAGACAAAGCCAAGGCCAGCAGGTGGCGGCAAATTAAGTGCAGCAGGTGTGGGAGGTTCTGGCCTGGCAGGTACCGACTGCTACTAAGGCAAACGGAAGGTAAAGGGTACCTCGTACCTGGCAAATTGGGCGTCGGGACGCCCAACGGCAAGAGTGAAAGCCGCGATTGCCATTCACTCCCTACCTATGCATCACCAGGCTTGGGGCTTCGGTTAAAACAAAATCCCGTACCTGCTGGACTTCAGCCAATGCTGGCCTGGGAGCGACATTCGACGTGCGTTGCCGACATCAACACAGCTTGGGCTTGGGCTTGGGCTTGGGCTATCAGCTCGAGTCTCCGCCCACACGACTGACCTGAACTTTGCTCTGCGCCTAAAGCAAATATTGCTGCAGTCCGTCTGGTGCCTGACCTTGTCTACACAGGGCCGGTGATGGGTAAGTTGCCAAGGCACTTCTGCTAAAGAGGCAATAACGTGCTGACGACATGCAGCTAAGGTGGACAGAGGGCCACCAACGGCGCCGCTCATCAACGCCGGAATAAAGTCCCAAGTGCAGTGCTTTCTGCAGCTACTCGACCCAAGTGCCAAGTAGTGGCAGTTCGTTGCTTTTGTGAATGGACGAGGGGCGAGCCGCGGGATAGGGAGGATCGGTATTCCGTGGCTCTTCCTACTAGCCACCAAGCAATCTCTGGTCTCTGCGTGATTATGGCCAAGGATCGAGTGAATAAGGGGTGTTCCTTGTCGGCAACTTCTCGACCTAACGCATCCAGCATTCCAGGGATTTCACAGGCCGTCTATCATCGCCGACCTTGCATCTCGATGATCACTCCTTACACGGAGCGTACCTGGAAGCTTTCCTTTTCCGCCATGGAGTGCCCACCCAAGTACGAGTACTTTTGACTTTCGACACCCAATCACGCCAAGGATCTCAAATGTTCCCTCCACTATCGCGGTGGCAGGCTTACTTCGTATCTGCTTCGTACACGTACGGAGTACTAGTATGTATGAGCGGCTATCTCTTGCTTCGGCACGCAAAGCACGAGTACTGAGCACAGATTGTGGGGCATACAAGCCAGTTGCTGGTACTACCGAGTACTCGCAAGGATACACGCTCTTCTTTCTCTTGCTTCTTGGACACTCGAAGCAAGACATCGACAGTAGATGCGTTCACATATAGTACCCGCTGGGATGTACCCACGCTATCTGCCAGTTGGTGAGCTTCATCTGCTCTTCGACCCGTAGCGCGGAGCTAGCGAGCTTTGGTTTTGCTAGAGAGCCCCAGCCGGCGACGGCGCCATACTATCCGCTGGTGTCTTTGGGATCCCGGTAACCGGACATGCCTTGATTCCCCGAAGCCAACGGCTGGTTGGTCAAGAAAAGTCTCCTGGGTAATACCTTGTGTCTCGCAGGGTATACTATACCTCAAATACACAGCTGCTGTTCTCGAATCACTGAAGAAAATACGAGAGTTAGAGGCCAAGCAGAAGTGATGAGAGTTAGGAAGCCCTCAGTCTCGATATCTGTTGCTTGCGCTGCCTCGGATCAAGTGAGACTGTCATCGCCACATCAACATTGTCATCCCGCGTCTTTCTACCATCGAGCCGATCTAGTGTTGTTGAGACTATTGGTGTTAGCACAATACTGCGCAAAAGGCCTCATCAACGAGCACAATTCTCCCCCATCAGCTGAGGTGGGATATGCGCATTCCGTCAGTCGCTGGCCCTGAGGTTGAAAGAGCCGCTTTGCTCCAATCGGAAGTCCATCACCATTGGTTTTCACGGAAAAGAGGCCCGAATTTGTGCCTTCGACTAACAAACAAGGGATCAAGGGGGGGCGAGAGCCATGAATGGGCGCCAACTCCTACTAGTAACCAACGAGTTGTCGGGCTCGGGGGATTTAGCCATGCATAGATCATCGCTCCTCTGATTTGACCTTTCTTATTTCTTCCACGGATGACGCATTCGGAAAGGAAACCGAACAAGGAAACGGGGAACGAGCAAACAACACTCTATTCTCGACTATTCTAAAAAAAGGAAAGGGAAGAAAGGATTGTTGATGAGCGAGACAGAGGAATCGGAATGATAACGACGACGAAGACGACGTACAATGCTGTTTTGTACAGCGAGGGAAGACAGAGGCGTCGTTGCCGGAGGGCGAAAACCTGACACTACTACTTGCGTGTCTCTTGACGCTCAATTTGTTTGTGTCCTGCCAGGTGTCGCTTTCGACAACGGCGAGGTTGGCAAGAAGTGAGGTCACGCCTTGTGTGGCAACCTCCGAGTCACGTTGTGACTGGTCCAGAGCCCGAGCCATCGGGTCAGTGACAGCGGTACCGCGGTACACGCAGCTTCCTGCAAGGGTTCATGCAGCTTTTCAGTGGCTTATCTGGGGAGGATTGGGCGCCTGACTGGCATTGGAGCATCGTCGACGGCATCGAAGCGGGTCTTCTCGCAGCCTGCAAGCTACAGCAGCGCTACCTGGCGCCTGGCGACCTCGGAGACTGTCGCCATATCACTCGGGCCCAGCCTTCAGACCATTTCCTGGCAAGCCTGGGTCATCTAGGCCCATCCGCGTTCAAGTCGCCAGTTATGGGGTCCAGAAGGTTTCCAATCTTCATCGCCTCTTATTCATACATACAAACACACCAAGCATCTCCTCACACAACTGCCAGGACGTGCTTGTAAGACGAATATGACATCTGACGAGTGACTTGTGGAATGAGAGGCCCTGGCATATACATACTCAAGCGAGTAAGAGTCTACTTCAGGTATGAGTACCGAACGTTGCCTTTTCCCGACTGAAATATCAACAAGGGCATCGATATTCACGTCGTCTTCGCTAATTGGAGGGGCGGGAGCCAGGGTGAGTCCGTCGGGTGAATTATCAACATCATGTGTCAATATCTGGTTTCGGGATGGCACGGTCGCACTGCTGCACGGGCACCATAGAAGTATGTACTACATACATGTACATGCTTCTCGTGCTGACAGTCATGTTCAAGTGCGCGCAAAGTTTGCACGATTTGCCAGGGCCTTCCCTTTCCTTCTTTTTCTATTCTTCCTCTTCTTCGACACTTGACAAGGCTCTCGCTCTCCTTTCACGCCAGGGGCTCCTCCAGCGGCAATGGGGACTCCTCGTCTGAGACTCTCCGGGCACCAAACTTATCCCATCAGAGGGGCAGCAGCTGGGTGACGGCAAAACTTTGTGTTGCTCAATGGGAGGGAGCTGGTATGTGACCAGTTGTCTAGCGTCTCCCGTCTTCAGCTGCCTTGGGAAACGGAAACGCTTCTTCTCACTGGAACTGGCTTCTTTACATTGAAAGGCCCTCTTCTCGTATGCGAAGCTGAAAAGCGCTGCTTCACATGCATACACTGCACATACTACTACGTACTCCTGTACTATTCCACACGCCTGGCGCAATGGATGGACCAGGGGATCCTAGTTCTGTACTCGACAAAGTACAAGTACGAAGCACGAAGCAGCTGATGTCCTGTGGAGGTCCTGAAATCTAGCCGGGGCCATTCTGCTGCTGCTATCGTCTCCTCTTTCTCTCACCCGCTTAGGCTACCCAGGTGGTCCATGTTACTAGTGCTTTGTACAGAGTCTTACCTCCTCCGTACTCGCAAGTCTAGGCGAGATGTTGATTTGGGTAAGCGGACGGGTTTGGATGGTTCCGCGCTAGCCTCGGGCCTGCTCACGGATGATCCAGGCTTGCTTCTGGCATTGAGCAATGAGACGGGGGAATCATAGGGATGGCAATCTCCTTTTGCCCTTTAGGTGTGGCCGCTTCTTTGAGCGTCATCGTGGCCGACAGAGATGGCGAACAACTGCGTTGATGGGCAACGTTCCTTTACACGACGTACCTTATGCTCAACAAGCCAATGTTCTCCGTACGAAGTGCCTGTACTCGCATGTTGAAGGACCGCGGGCAGAACGGAGAACCGGCTTGGCCTAAATCGGCACCTACCTTATTCAAGTACCCGTTACATTGCCAGGAACGAGCTACTTTTTGACAAGATGGAGAAACTAATCTCGGAAATCTTGGGTCATACCAACCGGCAAGCTGCCACGCATTTGACAAGGGGAGGCGCCGTTCCCAACGCTAAGTGGCAGACCTCCCAAATTGTCCGCGGACCGCATGCTGGCCCGTTCTTTTCCCATCCGAATCTACAACTTGGGAGCACTCGGCCGGATCTTAAAACGACAGGCGATCTTTGAGAGACAGACCAAGGCGAGTCTTGGGGCGGCGCTGGCGAGACCTGGTTTCACCCCTGGGATTCGACGAGAACGAAGGAAGCCAGTCATTCTTCAAGCGCCATGCCCTGGCTTTGTATTGGCACTGTGCCCAACCACACTGTCGAGTCATCTTCGGACAGGGCACATTAAGCCTCGAGAAGCTTCGCACATGCCCCGATTTCATTGTGCGATGCAGACCGGGAGAGAGAAAACCGATTGAAGCGAGGGAACTGCAAGTTTATCAACTGATGGCAAACAGCCATCACATGTTATGGCGAAGAAGACATGATTCGATCTCACTGGGGCAAAGGGCACGGTCAATGCTTGTACTACCAATCTGGAATTGACCTGGGGCCAGCTTTTCCGTTGCCACAATACCAACGATGCCAGTACGTACAACAACGGAACGCACATGGATATCGGAACAGGCTCGGTATTCTTACTACCGGCGGAGTGCATAATCCTACGTCCGCACAGACGGACTCAGGGTGGGATCGGTGACGCCGGGCAGGCGTGGTCTCAGTGGCTGGCGCCTTGTGCTGCCTTGTAAACGCAACAGGCTCGCACTTTGATTCTGTGTCGTCGGACGAAGCCTGGCAATTCGTCGACCAGTGTCTGAGCAGGTCTAGGATCTGCTCTGCATGTTTGAGATCTCCAAATCCCACACATCGACAAAGCCTCAGCTGGCTACGCAATGCGAGGGAGTACGGAACACCAGCCCTTTCCCTCCTCCCCTTGCCTTATGGGGCAGTCTGCAATCGTCGATGCGACTTCAAGCCGATGCAGTTGCAGCACCCTTTATCCCGTGGTGGTATTACTACCTACACATGTACCTGGTACTAGGTGGTGATGGACGTGTGGAAAGCTAATAAGGTAAGTAGCATTTCATTCCATATCCCATAGCCCTTTTATAACACAACTTCTCCGTACGGCTTCGCAGAGACACTGATTTCACTGACCATCTGAGCTTCGTCTTCCCTGCGAGAGGCCCAGTCGTCGCGTGCCCACACTGCCCATACGCAGAACAGCCGAATGATTGGACGGAGTCTTCTTCCGCTCATCCATGCGATAGGCAGGTATGTATGATATCCCAAGAATTCAACGCAGCCTTGCCGCCCAGCCCGCAGCTCTGGGCGCCGGCCAACAGGAAGATAAAGAGGGCGCTGGTAGACGCATGTAGCCATGTTTGGCAAGCAGGACCTGGGCGCAGGGTCCGGCACGGTCCCTAAATAAGCGTCCAGCTCGTGTCATCTCCACCATGGCCTCCGCCATGATGCCACTTCGATTGTTTAGCCTGATGATGGTGCGTCGTAGAAATCTGGCACTCAGCCGGCCCGCTTAAGCAAAGGCGCCCCGTGGACACCCTCCTCTGGTATCTAGGCCCGCTCGGTGGTGGCCCATCCATGATCCACGAGGCCATCCCTCCAATCCCTCATCGCGGCCGTGTCATTTAGCCAGGCCACTACTAATCCCAGCTTTGTTAGCTTCCCCGACTCCCATGCAGGCTCCCTGTCTTTCAAGTGGTTTGGGGCAACGCGAGCTTCTCCAACTCGGAGAGCTCCTTGAAGGTACCACCGCTGCAAGCCTTGTCTCTTGCGTCTGGTGCCCAGGTTGGGGGAGTACGTACTTACGGACTCAAGCAAGTACAGGTACGAGTCCACAGGGTTGGCACCAGACATCGTTCGGGCCCTTCTAAATGTGCCGAGGACTCCAAAATCTTCCTGGCCCTGGCCACTTCCTCTACCTATTAACTGCTTTGACTGATTCGATCATCTCTCCTGGTAGCTCGTTGACTTACTCAAGGATGACAGAGCTCGCTCATCCCCGTACACCCCCTGAAGGCCGTAGATTGTCTTCCACGGTAAAAACGCAACTTGGGCGCTGCCAGCTTACATTTCTAGAACACCAGGACTATCCCGGCATCTGAGGAGGCTTGGATGAGGAGAAATAGTTGAATGACAGGCCTCACTATCGACATCGTCCCCTGTGCCGCCACCTCCCACCCCCCTTCTTGAACCAACGAGAAGGGGAGATATCACCCAGCCAACTACACTTGGCCGTCTCCCGGCTACGGCTCAGGGCTCCGGGACTGCGTCCTAGTCTCTTTCAGCTGGATCTTACCTCTTACTCGCATGTCGCTCTCCACCACCGTTGTTGAACGGCGCTGGTTATCTGGTGCCCCGTCCTGTTCATGGCTATGGCCACCGATCAAATCCTCGTCGCCGACCTTGACTACACCTTCTGCTTGATACCGAGCTCAACCCCAGCTAGCAGCAGCACGCCCTGGACAGCAAGATACACGCCCCTCTCCACCCAACCTCCACAGCTCTCTGCTTGTTTCCCGCCTTTCCCTTCCAAGTCGGCCCCAATCATAGCCGTCTCCAGTGTCTTATTACGCTTGTGAAATCTCACACGCAAGGTGGCCGTCCCTCCTCCCCCCTCGAGACAAGCCAGCGGAGAATTGTCAGATAGGATTGACCGGGCAGGGGATCGCCGTGGAAGAAGCCATGTCCTGTCGTCTCTGATTAACTCGCTGCAATAAGAACATCACTAGACCAGGAACTCGGTCCGTGGGCCCCGTCTTCATCTCAACGCTACCTACCACCACTTGGCCACCTACACTGCTACTGCTGCTACTTGGTAGCTCTTGCGCTTGTAGTCTCCTCGGCGGATAACCCTATTTTCTATGGTCCGACTATCTTGCATCTGGCGACTGGGTCCTATTGATTAGGCCTAAGAGTCGCACAAAAACCGACTGTAAGCCGCCAATCAGCCTCTCTTGGGGCTGATCCCCGTTGTGCCTTTTCCTCTGCCTCGGTCGTTTGAGCCCGCGACTTTGGTCGGGTTCAGCAACTTCAGACTCGCCAGAACCCGTCATTCAGGTCGTGGAACTCTGCGATTTGCTGCGGGTTGCCGTTCCATCTCGATAACCACCGACGACACAACCGCATGCTGTATCACGAAAGGTTCTAATATCTCTGGCTATCAGGTATCACACCGTTCCAGCGGCGTCTGTTTCACGTCGGTTCTCCTCCACCAGCCGGATCTTGGTTCCATTTTGTTTCGAAATCGCTGGCCTGGCATAGCCTCTCAGTGGCGTGGCCGTACCCTGAGCTCAACAAAACGACCTGTTCCTTTCCTTTCCCTTTCTGAGACCAGGCTGCCGAATTATCCACCCTTCTGTGTTCTCCGTGGGAAAACGCGAGTACGGAAAAGATACATATTGGCTCGCAGATGCTCGTCTAAACACCTCCGGACCTTTCCCTCCTCGAAGGAGAACCACGGCGACGCCCTGCTGCGACATTCAGGAGCTCACGCCGCGATATTGCGGCAAAGTTCTACCTGCCGACAACGGACTGCTCCTGGTCTTCAGGTTTCCTAATATTGTTCGACAGGAAGAGCACCTTTCCTTGAGAACTTCTTAGTTCTTCTCAGGGGCTGGTCCAGTACTGGCTTCTCTACATGCTCGGAATTTGAAGTGTGCTGTTGCTGGCAATTGAACCTGCGGCTCTGGATAGTGGCCAGCTTGAGTCCAGACGGAATAATTCTCCATGACATCAATAACACATTCCTCTAATCCGACGCCGCCCCTCCCGCCCGGGCATCATCAGTCTTATCTCAACCCGGCTCGCTGTGCCTTTGACCTCAGCTGGGGCCGTAAAGAGCCCAGCACAGAGGAGTCAGCTGGACGGAGTAGGGCATATCCGTCGCCTCCTATGTCCGGCTCTCCGCCCTTGCCTCTGAGATCGGCTCACGAGGCTGGTAGTAGAGGTGAAGCTCCGAGTTATTATGCTCCCAGACTGTTAGACGGCCTTCGGGGAGGTCCAGCCCAGCCGCTACCCACGAATCACAGAGATCAGCCTTCACCGATAACGAGATCATATCCGCCCGAGCCAACAACGAGGTCGCCGTATTCGTACCCCAGACCCGAAGATGCAGGAAGAATTGTCCCCTATCCTCCTCAGCACCACCATGGGATGCCCCAGGGGATGGCACCAGCACCCTATTTGAACTCAGCATCTTCGAATACGGAAGCGTATCCTGTGCCTGATCGAACACAGGCAGCCGAAACCCAGCCCTTTACATCACCGAAAACACAGAGGAAGACGAAAGGTCATGTTGCTTCGGCTTGCGTGCCCTGCAAGAAAGCTCATCTTAGGTGAGTTCCCAGCGATTGGTGGATGTGTGATTTGGATGCATATCAGGTTTGAATGGCTAACACTAATTCATCTAGATGCGACGGTACGTTGTAATAATCTTGACCTCTGACTTTCCAAGATATAGTTGGCGCTGTTGAGCTGCTGGCCTGATCTTTTGGACGGTGCACATTTTCCAGATTCTACAGTTCTCCAAAGTCCAGCAAGCAGAAATTCGTAGACACTTTGATGGAAGGCGGTCAAAGTGCAAGAATCAATGGAGCGAGTTGACCCAAGGGGTCACTGGGGATACGGAATGAGAAGCCGAACTTTGGAGCTAACAATCGATTTGCAGCACAACGACCCTGTTCTCGATGTCTCGGGAATGGGAAGGAGGATGCTTGTGTCGACGTTCAGCATAAGAAAAGGGGTCGACCACGATTACGAGACGAAAGAGACGCAAGATTCGATCCCACTAGGTACTCACACCCTCAGGATGTGCCTCTCAGGAGACCACTGAGTATATTTCCCTCCGGAGTTGGTGGACTATCGCCCTACGAAGATTCCCTCCGACGAAACTCGTCATTCCGGCCCCTTGACACCCCATCGACCGATGCTACCTCGCGCTCGTACCAGGAGAGGTCTATGGCGCCTGACGCAGCGCACTACAACTCTTCCTACCCGGGTAGTCCGCGTGCCATGGAACCCCTCGCATACTTGAGCATGGATTTTGATATCGTCAAAGCATCCCCCATGTTCATGGAAATCGTCCACGCGTCGAATCCGATAGCGAACAAATTGAGCGACATCGTCACCCCACATCAGGCGAGTTTCCTCAACAACCTCCAGAACCAGCTCTTTGAAGAGCAACGACTGCACGAGCCGAATTACCTACCTCCTATGCTGGGCCGACTGGATCATGCCATCAAAGAATTTGGGTTTACGAGTGAAGATGTTGCCAGATTTCGCCTCAACCACCTCGAATATTTTGGCTTTGTCGGATACGACGGTTACACGAGGACGTTCCCGCTCCGTTTTGGGCTTGCGAAGGAGGGCTCGTTCTATTTCGTTGTGTTCTTGCTGAATCTCCAGCACCATCACCCGCAGCTACCGCCGCCATTACCTTCACAGCAACATACGTCCCAGACACAGCAGTCACAGAATCAGCAGCCTCAATCGCATCCACAACACCAGCAGCATCAGCAGCACCCACAGCAACAGCAAGTGCAACAGCAGCCTCAACAGCACCAGCAGTATCCGCAGCATTCACATCAGAGACAGCATTCACAGCCTGCTCCATACACACAGCCGCCGCAGTCTTCACAACCTACACAGCACTCACGGGAACCTGCCGGCTATCATCAGCCGCCGCCCTCACATCAGCCGGCGTACGGAGATCAGTCGAGCACTTCCTCAGCGGATACCTATCGGCATCGCCTCAGCGAGGGCTCTCTCCGACTGCCACACAATACGGCTGTTTCGAATGCCGGCACAAGCCCAGGTGTTCAGTCTTACTCACAGCCACAATACTCCGGGCCAAGTTACCAGACGTCTCAGAGTGAACATGTCCCTGCCAGCCGGCCTGCAACTCAGCCCTCTTATCAGCTACCCCCTATCCGGGCACCACCTGATCACCGACCTGTGTCCCGAGACGTCGGCTGGCCCAATGGCGAACGATCAAGACGAGTCGATATCGGTGGCTTGCTAGAACAGCCTGGGGATGCTATCAGGCGATGAGGCAGCCTATCAGGTTTACCCGGGAACATTGTTTCCGAATTTGGCGGCTGTTCCAACTCGAAAATTGCCGCTGTACATTGTCATCCTTGTTGAGCGCTTAATCATTGGCGCAGGCGCTTGATTCTCTTCAGGATCTCGAGGTGAATCCACTTTACTATTCAGCATATGAGTGACGTTTGTTGGGTCTTTGTTGCGTCAACGCTTTGTCAATGGACCCAAACACTCAGTTTGATTATATATACTGTCGACAACGGCCGGATCTGGATTTCCAACAGTTTGGTGTCATTTGAATTCTTCTTGCCGTTGCTTGTGTCTCAAATCTGTACACCTTCGCTCCAAGATACTTATTCTTTTATTATTTGCCTATTTCCTTGGTATGGTCGATTATCCGACTTTCATTTCCTTTATTGGGCTATAAGGCAAGAAGGGGCGGGCAGCGAGCGGTATCCTGTTGCAAGGAGATGGGGGGAGGCCAATTGGATTGAATCGAGCGTTTCTGTCATTGATATTTGTTCAGGTTACAAGGAGTTTGCACGCACCAGAATATGTTTTGATGACCAATCCTGCGTCTATTTTATATCATTGATTTTCTTCTTTTGGGTCATCTATTCAACAGGGCCTTGCGAATCTTGAGCGGCAACGGCGGCAGCTTATGGTACAGGGTGTCGCAGTCTGGTTTTTCGAAAGCGTTGTTCTGTTTTCTTCTTTGGTCTATTGAAGATTTTCTGGAGTTGAAGTTTAAGAGGGATCGTGCTGGACAGTTATGGCTGAAAATGAGCGGCCAGTATAGCGGTTAGCAATTCGCTTCCATCTTTTCAATGTAACGAACCCGACGAGCTTTCCCCCCCTGAATTCGATGTCGTGACGCTTATTAACATTTGGCTGGCTAACCTATAAATTCAGGTCCTGAATATACAGGCATGCGGGATGTAGACGCTCCAAATCCTCGGCCTTGGCCGGCAATACCTATGCTTCAGTCTGATCATTGAACAGTTCTTGTATTAGCCTTGTAGTCTATTTTGTCACATCATCAAAAAGCATCTATCGAAGACCCCAAAAGTTCTCATGCTTGTGGCTGGTGCTGGTGAAGTATCGGGTGCCGTCCCAGCGCGTCACGTGCGGACGTGGGATGTTCGCGTAATCATGCAAGTCCTCAGCTCTTTCCTTCCACCGCCATCCACTTCTGTTCCTTGGACAAGTAATTCTAATGGGATGAAATCTCTTCATCCTCATCCATTTTATTCATCGTGCCTCTTTATTCTGTGCGGTTTACTTCCGGCAATTGTTGTGTGACGGGTTGTCCTTCTTCTGGCGTTGTCCAATGATGCTCGGGAGTTCGGGTGTGTACATGTTGCACTTGGTGTTCTGAGTGCCATTTGCTATTGCATTGATTGATCGGATAGGCTTGATTTTGCGCAGGAAATGGACGGGATGGACATTGACAGCGCCCCGAGTGGGACGAAGAGGAAGGCTGTGGACGAAATTGAGTCTCCGAAGCCGGCGCGAAGAATCAGGGTAAGGCATCTCTCTGCCAGCTTCTTTCTCCCTTATACAGACAGCCCTTGAGGACTGTGAAGTGGTATGGAGAGTCGATTCACTGACTCGATCTATGCAACTAGGCCCTTGATCCCGATGTTGTCAACAAGATCGCTGCTGGAGAAATTATTGTCGCGCCGGTCCATGCGCTCAAAGAACTGATTGAGAATGCCGTGGATGCAGGCTCGACGTCACTGGAGATTCTTGTCAAAGACGGAGGCCTGAAGATGCTTCAGATTACGGACAACGGCGGCGGCATCGAGGTACCTTGCCTTCGCCCACAATCTCACATCACCACATGGTAGCTAACACTCTGGGAAGAAAGAGGACCTCGAAATCTTATGCGTGCGGCATACGACGTCCAAAATCTCCACCTTTGAAGACTTATCGTCAATTGCCACATATGGATTCCGCGGCGAGGCTCTGGCCAGCATCAGCCACATTGCACATCTTACCGTCACGACCAAGACCAAGGAGTCATCTGTCGCCTGGCGTGCGCATTACCTGGACGGAAGATTGGCTCCTGCGAAACCAGGGCAGTCCGCGGAACCCAAGGCCGTTGCCGGCCGCCAGGGTACTCAGATCACAGTGGAGGACCTTTTCTTCAATGTGCCAACTCGTCGAAGAGCGTTTCGATCCTACGCTGATGAGTTCAACAAGATCATCGACATGGCGGGGCGTTATGCAATTCACTGCAGAGGGGTTGGCTTCACTTGCAAGAAGGCCGGTGAGGCCACCAATACGCTTTCCATACAAGCGCAAGCAAGCGTGATAGACCGCATTCGACAGATTCATGGTAGCAATGTTGCCAATGAGCTAATAGAGATCTCGGCCTCTGATGACCGATGGGGGTTTTCTGCTAATGGGTATGTCACGAATGCCAACTACCACATCAAGAAGACAACGCTGCTCTTATTCATCAACCACCGCTGTGTTGAGTCGACGTCCATGAAGAAGGCTCTTGAACAGACATACTCCAGCTTCTTGCCCAAGGGTGGCCACCCGTTCATATATCTCAGTCTCGAGATTGACCCAGCTCGAGTGGACGTCAATGTTCACCCTACCAAACGGGAAGTTCACTTCCTCAACGAGGAGGAGATCCTGCAAGCTATTTGCAAGAGCATCGAGGCAGAGCTTGCGAAAGTGGATGCGAGTCGAACATTCATGACGCAGACGCTATTGCCGGGAGCCAAGCCAGTCGAGCCTGATGAGGATGATAGCGACGCACCCTACAAATTCACCACGCCGGCTCTCAGAAAGGTGAGGCGGAATTCGAATGACCTCGTCCGGACCGACACGTCTCAGGGCAAAATCACTGCCATGTTCGCGCCGGCCGGATCCTCCAAACAAGTAGGCTCTCCTGCTCGGGCCGTGGAAGACGAAGCATGGGCTGTTCCAGAGCCGGTAGAATACACTACCGTGGACCGCGACCAGGTTCAATGCCGCCTCAGTAGCATCAAGCAGCTACGCCAGGAGGTGCGAGATGAGATACACCACGAGCTGACGGAAATCATCGCCTCGCATACCTTTGTAGGCGTCGTCGACGAGGAGCGGCGGCTTGCCGCCATTCAGGGGGGTGTGAAGCTGTATCTGATTGACTACGGACACACTTGCTTCGAGTACTTTTACCAGCTGGGGCTGACGGACTTTGGCAACTTTGGGACCATCAATTTTAACCCGCCACTGGATCTCAGGGAAGTGCTCCAGCTGGGTGCTGAAGGTGAAAAGGAGGCTATGGGCATTTCCGGCGAGGGATTTGATGTCGATGTTGTTGTCGAAAAGGTGGCGAATCAACTTATTGAACGGAGAGAGATGCTTCTCGAATACTTTTCGCTCGAGATCACTCCCACGGGGGAACTGATATCGATTCCGCTCCTCGTCAAAGGATATACGCCGTCTATCGGGAAGCTGCCCCGGTTTCTCATTCGTCTCGGGCCCCATGTCGACTGGACTGATGAGAAAGCGTGCTTTCAAACCTTCCTCACGGAATTAGCGACATTCTACGTCCCCGAGCCATTGCCAACGTCTCCTTCGGGCAAGTCGAAAGAGGAAGAAGGGGATTCGGAGGACGAGCAGAAAGAGGAGGAGGATGAGGCCCTTGAAGAGATAAGAACGAGAAGGCAGCATGTCAGATGGGCTGTTGAGCACATCTTCTTCCCCACGTTCAAGTCGCGGCTGGTTGCTACAAAGAAGCTCATGGATGGGGCTGTGTTGGAGGTTGCCAGTTTAAAGGGATTGTACAAAGTGTTTGAACGGTGTTAATCATGGGGCAAGGCGATGTATATGATGGGATATATCGGAGTATCAGTCCGTTCTATATTACGATGCAATGGCGTTTAATGTTTATGTAACTACCCAATCTGCATTATCATGTACCCAAATGCAAGCAAATTGCAGTTGTTGCTTTGCTATCCCCATCACGTGTCCCCTCTACCTCAACGTCACCTCCACCGGCTTATGCTTCTTCTTATACGCCAAGAATCTTGTCAAATTCATGACGACCTCGTCCGCCCTGTGCCTCAGCTCAGACTGGGCGCTCTTGTTGATGCTCTTGGCCATGGCCTTTGCCTTTGCCACCACGCCATCGAGATGCTTCAGGAAGCCGCCCTTCCAGAAAACTTCCGCATCATACGGATACTCTTCGTTGCCGTAAATGTCAAAGACCTGGTTGAACGCCTCCACTGCATCCGCAGCAGGTGTATCCGGAAGGCCCGCAATGACAGTAATGAGGAACGTGCCAATCTCGCGGTTGAGGTCCGTCGGGGAAGGATGCATGGCAAGCTGTCCGAGCACCCCGATGCACTTCACGCCGAGAGCCTGGAAGGGATCCTCCGGGTCGAGGCGGGCGGGCGCCCCCTTCGTCGCCTGGTAGAGTGAGATGAACTTGCGGTGCTCGTTGGGCTGGAGGGGCGTCTCGCCGTGCAGGACGCGGGCGACGGCCCACGCGAGGCTGGTAATTTGCGTGGCGAGGTCGACGTCGGCGGTGTCGGAGGCGAGGGTCGGTGAGATGATTTGCTGCCAGAGGGCGCGGCTGATGGGGGTCCAGGCGTTCTTGATGCCGGCGTTGGAGTCGTCGGCGAGGTCGAAGAGGGAGACGGACCAGGCGATGTTGTTGAGGGCGGAGAGGGCGTGGGCCTGCATCTTGAGCGCGAGATCGTCCGATGGTTGTAGCGTGGCGAGGCGGATGAGCTCGGGGAGGGCGACCTGGATGAGAGCCTTGAGGGTGGGGAGCTCATCGATGTTGTCGTCGCCGTGGTCGCCGCCGGTGACCATGTCCATATCGGCCTCTATTTCGGCCTCGTCCATGTCGTCGTCTTCGTCATCACCTTCGTCGTCTTCATCCTCCTTGTCAGAGAGCACTTCGTCCATGTTTTCGTCATCGTCGCCATCTTCGTCACCGTCCTCCTTTTCGGCTTCAGAAGCTCCCAGCTCCTTTCTGGAAGATGATTGGGGGCCGCTCATTGCAGAGACTAGACTTGTGCCGATGGACGCAAGCGTTTCCAGGGCCAGCTGTTGATATTCCGAAGGACTAGACCAGCTGCTGCCGTTGGCGACGTTCTGCCCGGGCACGTAGCCAGCGATGGCCTTTGTAAGGGTTGGTACAAGGTCTGAGTCGTCGGCAACGTCGGTCTTTGGCGAAACGTTCTTCAGTCCGAGAAGAGAGGCGTAGATGTTGTGAAGAATGGTACAAGCCAAGATGCCATCTCCGCTGACGTCGTTCCTCAGACCTACCAGCGCCTCATAGCAGGTAGTACTGCCACGGCAGGTGAGCTTCTGGGCTAGATCTGAGTTGTCTTCGGAGAGAATCATGAGACAAGCCATGGCGTCTCCGCGGATGTCTGCTATGGGATCTTGCTCATCTTGGGGCCTGTATGAGATGAGTGTGAACAGTAGATTGGTGATGGTCGAGTTGTTGCAGATAGCTTCCAATATCTCCTCGCTGGCCTCGGCCAGGGCTGTTAACAGTGAGACTAAAGATGCAGCAATACTTGAAACGAAGCCTTTTTCAGCTTTGGGCAGCTTCGCAAAGGGGGTTTCTGTTGAGGTAATCTTGTCTTGAATCTGTATTGAATGTCGCTGTTAGAGAGAATAGCTTGAATAATGAGCCAGGGGAAATTTCTTACCAGCTTTGAAGCAAACTCAATCGCCGTCAAAACATCTTGTCTGAACAGATGGACACAGAAGTCAGCCTCTTCCTCCTGGGCCAGGACCTGCAAGATCCCCCAGCCGGCAGCCCGACTCTCAAGAGCAGCGTCTGTCAGCGTTTGGGTAAGAACAGTGTAGACAATCTGTTCTCGCAGCAGCAGCTTGCGGCACTTGGTGTCCTGGATGATGCTGGAGATGAGCGAGGCAGCGGTTGAGCGAGATTTCGGATCGGCGCTTTTGAGGTCGTTGATGATGGGAAGGATCTTGCTTTCTCTCAGAGCGGCGAGTTCAGGGTCTGAGGGAGGCTTGACGGTTTTGGCGACGGGATCGCTGCGGTAGCCGCCCTTGGATTTCTTTGATTTGCCCATTTTCTAATGATTAATGGTGATGAAAAGAGTATAACTGGTATCAATAAAGAATCTGGATAAACCAGAGAGAAAGCGGTATAACGGTATGAGTGTTGTTTGTGTTGTTGAAGCTGCTGTTTACATGGATGAAATCTTTTTCTTCCTTCTAGCACTAAGATCGTTGCTCGTACCCCACCAGCAAAATGGCTGCCCCTCCACAATGATGGACTCGGAAGTGCCAGAGAGTGGGCGGGTATCAGCCACACTAGTCTTCAGTGAACCATCAGCGCTACAGGTCAGTTGCTTCAGGCGCTTTAGAGGGGCTCGATGACCTGTATTTCCAGCGCTCCTCCCGCGCTTCTGTCACCCAACCCGGACGCCAATCCATGTGCCAGCCACAAGCCACCAGCCACTGGACGAATTTCGGCGTGTACATACAGTAAGCTCTTCACAGACTGCGCCACAGTTGCTCTCTAAGCGCCTTCGTTCGTGTAAGGCAGGACCACACAGAGCGGGAACTGCCAGACTAGCAGTAGCTGCTATAAAGCTGCCACAACACCCAGTTCATCTCATTCAATATTACCACTCACCACCGCTCGGGTTTCCTCCAGCGCAGCTCTCGATCGAAGCAACAAGCGCAATTCGAGGCTGAGGCTGTGTCGCCATGTGACGAACTGGTCAGATTTACCTCCCCCTTGACCGGTAGCAATTCGCACACAAGTGGCAAAGCTGAAGCGCCTCACGAACAAACGACATGCCGCCCCCGGCAACCCGCGGCTGGTCTCTGTCGCAGCTCTGGCGCAGCGACGACGAGGAGATGGCCAACAAAAAGGACGATGACATTGGCCTGCCCCGGCACTCTAAGCAATCCGACCAGTGGCAAGCCGCGCCCAAATCGTCCTTACGCTTGTCCGCGGTGCTTCGGCTTATCGTGTATGCTGGTGCTCTCTTCTTGCTGGCATATGGGCTGTTCAGGATCATCGGGCCTGCTCCGGGAGCCTCTTCTCTTGATCCGGAAAATCTGATGCCCTTGTATGGCACTCAACGCCCTCCTCCCAGATATGATGCGCCTCGTATGGAAGAAGAGGGACCTTCGATCAACTCGGCCAAGGCATCAAAGCCACAAAAGCCCCAGGTTGAAACCAAAGGCGGCAGCGATAGCCACCGAGTTGAGAGCAAAGCTGCAGCGGAAACCTCCAAGACATACAATGGGCCGTTGAAGCTCCCGCATCTGGGCAAGTCGCTGCAAGCCATCATGTCAGAGACGTCCGGGAGGCTTGCGAAGAATCGCAATGTCTTATTCACGGCTGCGAGCCTCCAGAGTGCAGCACTTCTGCTCCCAATGGCGTGTGAGATGGCCATGGAGCGCCAGAACTATGTGCATTTTGCTCTGATGAGCAGGAGTGACATCCCGATGAAAGAACTGCTGGCTATCAATGGCCTCGACAAGGGATGCCCCTTGATTGTTCATGGTACGGCGTCTTAGAAGCGGCTCGTGCGCTGGCTATTGATGTTTGGCAATGCTGATGAAACTGACTATATAGATGCTCGTCCCGACCATTCGACGACAGCAACCGAGCCGCGGATGGCACTTTCTGTAGCCCGAGCTCTCTGTAAGTGAAATAGGAGACTAGCTCGTTTAGATGCAGTCACTGACCGGTAGCCCTCTCAAGACTATATGGGTGTTTACATGCACCCCCAAGCGATCATCATAGACTCCTCAAGTACCGAGGAGAAATATTTCCTCTCTGGCATCCATGATGAGATTCAATCCATGCAAGCTACCTTGATTGAGCTCCCAGAAAGGCCCGGGAAGCGATTTGCCTGGCTGTCAAAGCTCGATGCTTCTGCCCTGGCAGGTAAGACAGCGACTTTCCCTCGAACCGGTGTTCGGCTTTTGGCAACGTTCGTGCTAACGATGATTTTCCGAAGCGTGGAACGATGTCAGCTTTGACATTCTGATTCATGCCCCTCATCACGGCACAGGCAACCTCAAGCGGCTACTGAGGTCCCTGGCTCGGGCTGATCTGGCTGGGGTGTCTCCGCCTCACTTGACCATTGAACTTCCATCGAGAATAGATGGAGACCTGAGCAACTTCTTGAGCGGGTATCAATGGCCCCCAAAGGTTCCCGCTGGAGCCCAAAAGCCACGGCTGCTCTCGCTGCGTCACCGTATCCCTCGGCAGAAATTGAGTGAAGAGGAGAGCTCTGTCCGGTTCCTGGAGTCCTTCTGGCCGACGAAACCATCTCACTCTCATGTCTTGGTTCTTTCGCCTCACACTGAGGTCACCCCTCAGTTCTTTCACTGTAAGCTCCATCTTTCCCTCTTCGGTAACAAGGTCCGATTTTACTGACTCTGAAACAGATGTCAAGTATTCGCTGCTGCAGCGAAGATACTCGGATATTGCCACCCAGCAGGAGTGGCAGACCAAACTCTTTGGCATCAGCTTCTCGGCGCCAACAACATATCTTGATGGCAACAGCGAATTTATACCTCCCAAACCACTCGAAGGACATGAGTCAGGCGCAAAAGATACTCCCTTCCTTTGGCAAGCCCCCAGCAGTGATGCAATTCTCATCATGGGCGACAAGTGGGTGGAGCTTCACGGCTATGTGTCTCAGCTTCTGGACAAGCGGCATGCCTGGTCGACGACGCCGGATCTCCTCGCCAAGAAGGAGGTCAGTAAGAAATACCCTGCTTGGCTGGAATACACGCTCCAGCTGTCACGGCTCCGAGGCTACGTCACCCTTTACCCTACCCAGCAAACCGCCAACAGCGTTGTCGGCATTCACAACGATCTGCACGACGTGCCGGAGGAGTATGAAGATGAAGCAACTTCTGGACAAGACTCGATCAAGCTTTCCACGGACTTGTTCGACCCAGCATCTCAGCTGGATATGCTGGCAACGCTTCCGAATGGAGGCGACTTGCCGCTCCTCTACCACATCCCTTGGTTGACCTGGGATGGCCAGGTGGCACAGGATTTCAACATCCGGGAGGCTGCTGCCAAGTACAAGGAGGCGTTCCGCAGCCAGGTCGGACAGTGCAAGGATGAAGGGCCGGAGGCTTTTCACGCCGCTGATCCATTTGCCAGAGATTTGTTCTGCTTTGCTAAGGGTGGGTGATTTTGTAAGGGAGCATGGCGCATGACGGAGTTATGGCGAAATCTGTGACATCTTGTTGCCCTCTTTTGTATCAATGAGCCATGTACAAACACTTCTTGTAGGAAACAGGGGATTCCCATGAGAACATTCTTAAACCGAGGAGGCAAGAGAAACAGTCGTACATCATGTCGCAACATATGGTATTGCTATATCAACTCATCTTTGGCGTACTTTGTCTATCACTAGGAGTATGATGCACGTTCCAATGATTGAAGTGGCTATTATGCCCAACACCTGTGAAGAGCGTAGTCAGCGCACTGCAAGCTTTTGCTTCTGGTCACAGAAAGACTTACGATTTGTGTCTTCCAGCCGGACTGCACAATGGCCGCCCTACGACCATATAGATTGACAGTTCCTACAAATCAGGAGCATTTCAGTTAGCCTCACCAGTCGAACCATTCGTAGGAATGATGGCCAAAAACGAGGTGCAGATGGGGGAATAAAGATAAAACGACGAGGAAAGAAAAACTCACTTATATAGTTCCCCGCCCCCAAAGCCAACGTCACAACGGACAGGACCCAAAAGACGGCCCCCAGCGGCTTGGCCACCTGGCGCTCGAGCTCGCTGGGCGTGCGGTTGATGTGGAACGAGACGGTGATTGCGACGGAGACGATGGCCATGTATATGGATAGGCGGAGGTACGAGAGGAAGGCTGCCCATTACTTTCTGTTTAGCCACACAGTTCACTTGAAGGATTGGAGGGCAGGTTTTACTTCTTTCGTTGGCGCAGTGGTCTCGCGCATCGCTGCTTTCGTTGATGAATAGGAGGGGTCCTGGGAGCGGCCACTGGAAGAAAGCGTTTGATTCATTGGGCCTAGAGTGTTTGTCTGTTAGCCACAGCTTTTTAAAAGATGAAGGGGGGTTCAAAATCATCGCGGAGATATGCGACGAGATGGGAATGAGATAGCAGGAAATGAGAAAGTGTGTATGAATGTTTTGACGTGCCCTAGTTCGCTGACTTCGATGGGTTTATTGAGTGAAGTGAGCGGCGCGCAGCATGCCGTCGTGAGCGTCTCTTCGTCGGACATGGCGGCGGTAAATGCCTATAAATGCTCGCTCATATCATCGGCTTTCCTGTCTGTTGCATATTTGAGAACGTTGCTGTATCCCGTATGCGCTAACTGAGTGGTGATGCGGGATAGTTATGTCGTGGTTTTGAGAAGCGAAGTTGGAAAAGTTGAGATGACGTCGGGTAGAGGCGCGCAAAGGGGCCTCACGTGCGCTACCGGTGTGCGTGTTATGCAGCATCACGAGACGCTTTCATATGCCTCACCATTACTGATTGATTAGATAGACAGCTGTGGTACAAATCTTTTTCATCTTTTCATGCCGAGGAACATGCTTAATCTTATTTTGAAGGTGATAATATCCATGATGACTCCAACTCATAGGTAACGACTTCTCAGTCATTTCATGTATGCCTGCTTCAGACAAATGAGGCAACGCAGCCATCTATACAAAACCTCATCTACAACCCCTACAACAAACATCTAAAACCCCCAAATCTCGTTCCATCTCCCCTCGTCTTCTCTCAGCGCACCATCCAACCTCCCAAACCGCGCAGGCAGTCCCGTATTGGCCTCCGGCAAGCAAATCCATTCCCTAACGCAGTCAGGCACCTCTTCCTTGATGTGCGCAATGCAGATGAGCGCCTGCTGGTCAGACAGCCCCTTCACCTTGACAGTCCCATCCTTGGACTGCTGGCTCTCGACAATCTCCTCGCCCACATACGTCTTTGCTTCTCCCTCCGTAAGGAACAGCGTGCATTTATCGCGGACAGCATCGTCCATGCCGCTAAACGACTCATCCAAGACGACGATATCAGGGCTCTTGATCATGGATCGAATGAACAGCGCCACGCGCTGAGCACTAAATGAAATCTCGCCAAACATGTAGTCATCAGCCCATTTCAGGCCCTCGCTGCCAGCGGCGCTGTTGGGCTTCAGCTCAGGCTCAAACCACCTGAGCGCCGCCTCGACCTTCGCACTCGCTTCGGCATTCAGCTTTGGCTTCGCGCCAAACGTCTCTGCCCAGGCATTCTCAATCACCTGCCTGATGGTGTGGCTCCTCGGCATGTGCTGGTGGACTTCGGGGCTGGAGTGGCCGATGCGAGACTGGATGTCCCAGAACGTGAGCGGCAGCTGTCCCGAGCCTGGTTCGGGAAGACGGCTGCGTCCAAAGAGCTTGATGGGCAAGGAGTATGTCTGCGGGTGGTCTGAGCCAAGCAGAGAAACGATGGTCGTCTTGCCCGAGCCATTGGGGCCAAACACGCCCCAACGCTCACCCCGTCGGACGGTCCAGATCAGGCCAGCCTTGTCACCCTGAGATGTCTTCTGTGACCAGTTTCCTAGAGCAATCTTGTCACCGTATCGGACCTGGCATCCATCCATCTCAACCAGGGGCTCGGCATTGGGATTGATTGGCTTCTGTAGGTGAGATGATGACGATTGAGATGACGCCGAGTTGGCTGTCAAAGCGTTCTTGGACAGAACTCGGCCAATATCAGCCAAGGTGTGAACAGGTAGCTTGTCATCCTCTGTTAAGCCGCCCACTCTTACACCGTGGACATACTTTTTCAAGCCATCCAGCACCACCTCCTTGGGCCCCATTGACTCGATCTGGCAGTCCATCCTCAGGTACACCAAATGCGTAATCCATTCCGGCAGAGGGTCCTGAGGCCTCGCGCTCAGCACCAGCCGCGGGTTTGCCTTTTCGGCAAGAGATTCCAACAGGGGACTCAGTCCAGAAACCGTAGGAGGATCGAGGCCCATGAAAGGCTCATCCAGAAGCAGGACCTCGGGCCTGGTCAGTAGGGCACGGGCTATCCTTGCCCTCCTGCCTTGGCCGTTGCTGAGGAATGTCACGGGCAGATCAAGCAGATGCTCCAACCTGAGATCCTTGACAACGCGCTGCAAAAGCTCAGTAGATATCCCGCCTTCTTCTTCGCCCTCCTGACCTGGTGTCTTGGCAGGGTTCAGCTCCGTGTTACCCAACAAAAAGTCTCTCAGCGAGAAATCGGTAATCTCCCTGCGAGACTCGTACCGCGCAGACAGATACGCCGACGTCGTGACAGCGCCGCCCAATCCTCCCGCCCCCTGCTCAGCGTCAAATCCGACATACTGAATAGCTTTGCTGGGCGTCCTCAGCCTCGCCGGCACAGCATCCGACGACAGATACGGATACGATCTCGCCGTAGGAGGCTCACATATCAATCGTCCTCTTAGTACCTGTAAGAATGTCGTCTTTCCGGACAATGAAGGCCCCACGATGCACCAATTGTGCGGCTGGGGCGTTGACGAGGGCAGCTCAAACTGGAGGTTCTTGAACAGGGCCGGATTGGCATGTGCTGGGTGAGAGTTTGGGTGGTGCCGGTAGAATGTGCCGTTGGCGATGCGAATGATGGGCGCTCGCGCTGAGGCCGGAATCTTGCTGATCATGGCTGATGCTGTTGAGGAGGGACCTCTTCTATGCTTGATTCGTGTTATTGAGACCAAAGAGATGGAGAGATATTGAAAGTGCTATTATACTCCAACTGGAGTTCCATCAAACAGCAATTGGGAATTTGAAAGAACTGAGTAAGGAAAGAAATCCACGTCAAACAGATGACCAGCTTACTCAACCCGCACTTGTTAAAGCGTCACCACTCATCTGCACAGAGTGTACGGATATATGAACATCAACTTTCTCCGCGATCGGGCCCAATTCGATGATACAGCTCTGGGATACCCTTTCGGGTTAGTCGAGCGGATGATGACATAAAAAGATACGTACCCCTCCTTCGCAAAGGGCATGTGGGGACCTCGAAGCTGGGACGCGAGGCTGTTGGAGCCTGTCAAGACATTGAAGCAGCATCACCACCAACCTGCGAATCGCCAAACGACGAACATCTTCCAGTCTCTCTTCGTCCCTCATTGCCTCTTCTTCCAGCCGGCCGCATAAGAACCAGACGAACGAGCGCCTCTTCCCCAGCAACCGCACCTCTCCTCCTCTCATCCGCAAAACATCCTCACAGCCATCATGGTAAATCCATCCATCCATCCATCTCCATCTCTCCTCACTCTCCTCTTCCTCGCCAGCTAACTCGACATCCCCTCTCTTGCGCAGTCCCTCCGAATCGTCCCTGCGGCAAACGGCCCCTCAACCTTCTCCCACACAGACCACACCTCCTCCGCCCCCTCCGCCCCCGGCATCCACGACACCCTCCGCCACGGCGTCGGCCTCTCCCCCTTCGACGCCGCTGCCAACAAGCCCGTCTCGACGCACCCCCTCGAGGCCCGCCTCAAGTCCTGGGAGGCCACCCAGGAGGCCCTCCGCATGGAGTCCCTCCGCCGCACCTTTGGCATCGCCGAGCCCGTCCGCCGCGGCATGGAGCTCAAGATCGTCCGCGACGGCGAGTGGCGGCCCATGGCCCTCGGCGGCGGCCTGCCCAGCGTCCACGAGGACATCCTCAAGGGCCGCGAGGACACCATCACCTGGGACGATGTGTTCACCGGCAGCGAAACGAGGGCTGTGGCTGGCTTCCACGAGGAGATGGAGAAGAAGCTCAAGATTCACTAAGGGGAGCATTGGTCAGCACAGAAAGAAAGAAGAGCAGAGGAAGTCAACGAATCACCATGTACGATGGATAGACAGGCTCGGTTTGAAAGAAGATACCATGCCTTTACATCCCAATCACAGGACATAGACTTAACAAATCATAAAAAAAAAAAGGTTGAAAGCACAAGCAAGACGCAGTATACTTTGAAGGGAACATCACCGTGGTCGTCATATGCATAGTTACGGCATGACATGATACAATATGTTTTGCATTTCTATCCTGCAATAGCAACAGTCACCTCCCACGCTGGAGGCATAGTCCATCGACATTATGAAAGGAGTGTATGAAAGTCGAAGAAGAGGCTACAATTGTACATAGACAAATGATATGATGATGCGCCGGTAATGACTCCCTTATTTTCCCAATTCTTCCGCGTCCTATATTCCCATCGCGCTGCTTCCCTGCATGGCTAAACGTGAAGAGACGAATTCAAGCAGCGCAAATAAAACCACAAACAAAAGGGGCAAACACAGGAAAAGGGTGGGGGCAACACGAAGATGCTGCGAAGAAACAAATATGGATGAGAGACACTGGGCCCTCTTTCGCACGCAGGTAGATCTGAAACGTTGAGCGCTTTCACGCACGCGTCGGTTGATTTTCAGAAGCCCACTTGGGCACCAACCCAGATACCAGTCTCTGAGGACAAAGGTCTATGCAAACAAACACATCCTTATCGTGTCCTGCCATGTGTAATTGCCACCAGAGATTATGAACAAGAGAAGGCATGGGAGAGCGCGACCGCAAGCGCTGTCCATACCACACGCTAAGAACGCTTTATAAGATGACACAGCAGCGCCCCTCTCTCACGCGGTCTCCGTCTGCGGCGCCAGCAGGGAGGCTCTTGCTCCCAGTCTTGGGTTCCTCCTCATCAAGATCCTGGGGCCGGATGCTCATGTGGACCACGTTGGGGCTGTCGTGGCTAAACTGGTATTCTGCAGCCATGGTAAGTAGATGATTCAGATAGATCAAGAAATAGGGAGAAGACGGCTCAAAAAGGTGAGGCAATATAAATAGAGACAAATGAGACTGAAAGGAGGGAACCACACATACTCTTCAGCTGCTCCTTATCATCCAGCAATTTGCCAAAGTGAATGAGCCGTATGCTGGTCGGGCTGGCGGGTTTGGCCTCCCAGTCAGACCTCCACTCGCGCAGAATCAGTTCCTTCAATGTGTAGATGCTGATGCTGAAAGGATCGGGGTTGCCGTTATCGTCCTCGTCCGGCATGGCGACATGTCTTTTGCTCAGATATTTCGCGTCAATTTTGTACGGATGCCGGCTGCCAGAGGCTAGTAGCAGGGTAATGTTGCAGACTGGGCCGCTGTCGGTGCCAGATCCAGCAGGCTTGATCTCCTCGTCAGCTGGGCCGATGGCCATGACTGACTCCTCCTTCTTTTCCTCCTTGGACTTCTCTTCCTTGGACGACACGTCCTTGGGGGCGCGCTCTTGCTCCTTGGGGAGTTCCTGCTGGGCGACCACCTGCTGAGCGGTCTCGGGCTCGGTGATATCGTCTTTGCGGTCGTCCTTCTCCTTGGGAGCTTCTGCTTCGGCCACAGGCTCAGAGGAATTGTCTACCTGCTTGCCTTTTGATGAGGACGCAGCGGGTGCCTCGCTGTCGTCGGTGGATGCAGGGTCGGCCGACGCTGTCGCGTCGACGGGAGCATCCTTGGCCGCATCGGTTGTCGCCTCGTCGCTGGATTTCTCATCGACCTCGGACGTCTGAGGGATATTCTTCATCTGCACAGCACCGGTAGGTTGCTCGAGGCCCGAGTCGTTACCAGGAGCGGCGCTACCACCGATCGTGGTCGAATCCGCAGCAGCCGACATGTTTCAGTAGGGAGTCGGCACAGCGAAGCGTGAGGAATGCGGGATCGGTGCAGCACCACCAAAGGGGTTTGGCGACGTCGGCAAAAGAGCGTATCAAACGGCTCAATTCATCAACGGTGAAGAGGGCGCGTAGAAAAAATAAAAAATGTATGTCGCTGGAGTGGTAACGAGCGTTTCCAATGCAGTCGGGTGGGTTTGACCGTCTCGGCTGGAGACTGGCTGCGCAGGGAGTTTAAGGATAGATAGGATGTCAAAGGGAAAAAGGGAAGAAAGGCACTGCTGGGACAGAGCCAGTCAGTCGACGACTTGGCAGATCAAATCAACGAACCAGCGGCAGGCTCAGCGACCAGCCCAGATCAACTTCCGGGGACACGGGGTGTGGGGGGGAGGAAACGATGAGCGGGACTCCGGCTAGAATGCAAAGAACGAGCGACGAATGCGCTAGCGAGGCCAGGCGCTGGCGAGGTCAAGAATGCTGTTTCTGTCGACTTTGCCCGACGCAGACGGAAAAGTGCACGCCTCCGATCGTTATTCAACGGGCGGAGAGGCGTGGTGTGGGTTAAGTGAGCGCCCAGGTTCGGTGAGCGCCGCCCTTCGTTTTACCCTTTCCGTTTTCCTATTCTTTTGCAGACCTACAGACAGGGGCGGCGGTTAGGAAATAATGAACAATAATGAGCAGCCGCAGAACCAACGGAGCGAGAAGTACTTCGTGCTCGGTACGGTAGACCCGTTATCGCTCTCAGCACGAAGCGGACTCCGTATTCCCAGGTAATCAATCACGACGAGCGGCCGACCAGACCCCTGTCAGTGTAGCGCCGACCAGACAAGCAAATGGTCGCATAGGGACACAGATGAGTGCTATGGCGCGGGGAACAAAAGCTGATAGCCCGGGCCGCCGTGGTACTATGTAACAAATGAATGAAACGGTCGGTAGGTAGTTTATTTGGTGATCGAGACCGCTGGTACGTAGGTGGTGATGTTTAGAATTTGGACGACGGTCGCTGTGTTGCCTCGAGATGAAGAAGACTTTCTTTTTCTGCCGTCTATGGAGTACCAGTCGGTGAGATGATCTAGATGCCAAGTGCTCAGGAAGCACCTTCCTGCTTGATGCCACGAACGATGGTGAGTTGTAGATACTAAACGAAGGGAAGGCGCGCAGCATCACGAGGCACTCCATGTCCAAGGCCGTAATAAACTCAACTATTTCATCAGCCTACAACTCCAGATTCTGCTCTTGGGATTACCATCCTCAAAGCACAATCAGATAAACTTGACCAGCCATGGAATCAGATGCAGAGCTACCGCAAACAAGTGCCAGGCACCTCACGTCTTCCATTTGCCAGCCTCAAATGAGCCACAGCTGCCGCCCTGGCCTGGAGCCGAATCGAATCGAACTCTCAGATCGTAGCTAATCCAGCGCATCGTCGGGCCTTGGCTCTCGCTGCTCCAGCTCAGATGCGGGAGACCTCGTGCAGTTTCTGCCTCTGTGCCACCCAAAGTATGCAAACCCCTTTGCCGGTGGCGCACCAAAAGCACCAAGCTTGCATATCGGCTTCATGATGAGAACTAACATACCAACCCAGCCGCCATTCGGCGACTATCTTCCGCCGTTCATGATGGTTGGCCAGCGGCTAGTGATTCGCCCTGCAGTACAAGTAAACACTTCATCCTGACGCAGCACTTCTTTGTCAAGCCCTAATCTCAACTCACCTCGGCTTCTTCATGCATGATGAGCGAGGCCCCTGTCCCAGCCAACCATCTGCCGCCCTCAACCTTCCCACCCGGGAAGGCGTTGCCGGTTTGAAGCCATCCGTCAAACGCCAGAACCGGGGCAACGATGCACGATTCCATCTCAGCTCAGTCAAAACACTAATGAGCACCCTGTTCGAAATAAACGGAACCACTCGAAACGAGCTGAGCTCATGTCACTCAGGACCCCCCTTCTCAGGAAGTCGGGCGTTTGTCGGATTCGACTCCTTCGTAGCTGGCACTGCGCTCTCCGACTCTCCGACACGGCGTCGCCGTCCTTGACGACATCTCGTACGAAGTACTACTGGCCGTGCTATTTCTTAGAACCTTAGTGCGACTGCATCCTGAGTCTTGACGTCGATTACAAGTACCCTTGAGTAACGATGAAGTCAACCAGCGGCTGTCTGTTGGTGCTCTTCTCCACACCTATCGCCGACAAAAACCACAACGGCGAGCACCGGAAGATGCTTTATACTGTCGATCAACACATCGAACTGCTTAACACAGCACGGTATTCTACATGTACTCATGCGCTTTTACTATGCCCCGTTCACCTTTTCTACGGACCTTTTACTGTACCTCGGGTATGCAGCCTGAGGATGTATTAGCCCGCTGGCGCCATGGAATCTCCCTACACCATACCAGGAACATCACCAGTCTAATGACGCCTCTCTCATTTCAACCCTCCTCCCTCTCGTCTGACAGGCACACAAAACTCTAAACACATCACTGACCAGGGGGAAGATACAAGTACCACCATTCCACACTGCAGCGGAAAGTGAAAACAAACTTTACAGTACGGATTCCAGAAGACGGAGTACGCGATAGCACTCTGAAATCTCCGTTTCGGACGCCTTATAGGTTTTGTATGAGCTCCGCTTGCTGCCGCCGTTCCCGGCGACGATGACCCCACAAGGCTCACGCCTAACATGCGATCAATGGCACAAAGGAGTTGCGCTGGGAATGGCACAGGGATTGGCTGTACGAGCGAGACACGGGAACGAAAAGAGGCACCGTGCTGTGACACTTCCAGATGTCAAAAATGGTGACGAGAGTAAGCTCGCACAACGGCCGCCTATCCTCTTCTTGAGCTTGGGCTCAGGCATGAAGGAGATTACCGTCTTTGATTGTTGGTTCCAGCGGCGTGTGTTCCTTGTAAGCTGACACGGCACAATTCCCAGACCTTTGGCATATTCCCTGTTGGGGCGCAAAACGTTCTGCTACCGAGCTTGCACGAAGTCAAGCAGACATAGGATGAAGTTCGCCGAAAGACGGATCAAGATGGAGATACGAACTGCACGAATGGTAGAATCCAACTTCCAGCTACTCTCTGTATGAAGATGTCTACCGGTACAGGTACGGCCCACAGACATGGGCATTATGTACGTCGATATGAATTAATATCACGATGCCCGAGGATGCCTGCAAAATGCTCCGGCAAACCTCCACCGCGCAGCGCAACGTCCCGCAAATGAACCCATATCAAATCACGCCAATCTCCCAAAGACCCTCTCGCTTCTCCACAACATGCAGAATGCCGTGCTGCGAGTTCCCGAGCTCCACAAGGCGTTTGATGCCCGTGCTTTGAGAAGATGCAAGCAATGCGACGGAGCTTGGAAGGGGGCTCCTTTCTGATGAATCTGTGACTGGTCGTGTGACGAGACGTGGGTTGTTGAATTGCGAGTTGCGAAAACAGAAAGCCACAAGAACAGGTAGCCTATCACGACGAATCATGGTATTGGATCTTCGTCCTATCATAAGGTAGTAGAAATTATGTGAGGATATACATCAAATTATTGTCAGTTGATATAGCGACATTCTAACCAGATCGTACACGCTTGCTCCAGCAAGCCCAAAGTAGGTAAGTAAACTCGTTACAATAAATAACACATGTCAGTTTCATCCCATGATCCGACATCTCTTCGCCATCAGGGCATCACCAAATGCCCTTCCTTGCTGCCTTTGTCCTCGTTTACAAGACCAACAAATCACCGTTGCTTCCCTCGCCATGCGCCGGCTGCAACACAGCTTGTGGCGCCAGGGCATTCACTACATAGCCACTGACATTGCCCCCTCCTCCGCCGTATCCATCGTCTCCGCCGTCTATTCTCATGGCGGCCATCTGCTGCGTCCCAATGCTGGAGAAGTAGGCGTCTGCGTCGTTGACTGCCTGCGCCAGGTTCCCCCCATTGGGGGCAGCTGGCGGTGCGGCGGCGGCGGCAGCGTTGCGCGTCCTGAGATCGATGTTGGTGGGCTGGGTGCCATTGCCAAACATGCTCAGGCTCTTCTGGTTGTCGAGGTCGTTGATGGGCCTCTGCAGCGCCGGAGAAGGAATCAACTTGCGCGGCCTGGCAGAACGGAACACGGACTGCACGGGCTTGAGGTACACCGTCGCCAGGGTGCCGACGTTGAGGCACATTTCCTCCAGCGTCGACGATTCTAGGCGCTCCGACTCGGCTGTGATGGGAGGCTTCTCCCCCATGACGATGCTCTTTGCTGCGTTCATGTCGGTCGACAGCAGTCGCCAGTACATGTAGGCACGGTCACGCAGATCGGGGTTGTCTGTTTCCTCGGTGGCCCACTTGAGAACCTTTGGTACCAGCTCCTGGCCCTTGGTCGGCCTCTGGATGAAAAGCTTGACCGTTGCGGTGAGAAGCGCCAGCTGCACTTCGACGGGTTCCTCCTGGAACGAGTACAAAAAGTCCTCCAGCAGCGCGTCGCTGTTTTCTATGCGGTCTGCATATTGGCCAATGACCCAGACCATGGCAGCCTTGGCCTCTGGCTCATCAAGCGAGTCCAAATGCTCACACAAGGTGCCAATAATGGACTCGTACTGGTTTGGGTACTTGCGGAAGATGTTTCTGATCACCACGGTGGCTTCCTGCACAATGTACGTGACCTTGGTGGCAACCAGCTCCAGCAGCAGATCAATGCATCGTCGGGCCGCGGGTTCAATCTTGATGGCGAGCTTGCCGATGGCGCGGACAGCCTTTCGCACGAAGTGGACGTCGATTTCCGTGGCGTATTCTCTCAGCTCGGTGAGCACCTCATCAATGTTCTTCTCGTTGGCCAGCATAAAGATGAGCTCCAGCTTCGTAACCTTGACGTAGATAGGGTCGTTGTATTTGCAGAAAAAGACTCGGATATCGTTTCTCAGCACCTCGGGCCGTCGTTGCAGAATAAGGAGCGCGTTTCTGAGTGCGAGATACTGCACCTCGGGGCCTTTGGCCAATAGCGTCACCAGAGGAGGAGAAAGCTTCTTGCAGAGTGCCGAGATCTGCTTCTGGTCCGCAATGTAGTTCATCAAGTACAAAATCACTCGGATGCAGGTTAGTACAACTGATGAGTTGGAGTGAGAGAGCCGGGGGGCTATTCGCTCGGCTAACAGAGACGCCTCTCCTGATTCTTGGGGGACATATGACATGAGCGCCTCGAGGATATACGTCTGACCCCATCTTGACTGGTTGTTAGCAAAGCCCGTTGAGAGAAACATGTAGAGCGCCAACTTACTCGGAGCAGTCAGGCAGGATCGCCACCATCTTGGAGGCGTTGGTGTAGTCAATGGTCAGCTTGATGGCATCGCTCCTCTCCCAAATGTCCATCAGTCCAGCCAGGGCACTGGCAACGACGGTAGGGTTGTCATCCCTGAGCAGGGAGTTGAGTCGATCGATCAGATCCGACTGCTCAACCATGTGCCTGTCGTGGTCGTAGAGCTTCGCGACGCAGAAGGCGGCCGTCTTCCGAACGTAGGGGTCCGAGTCCCTCAGCATGTGCTTGACCAATGGAACCGTGGCCGCCACGAACTCGCGCACATGGATGTATGACATGGTCCGTAGAGCGAGCGCTCGCACGAGGGGGTTTGAGTCTTCCATGTCCTGGAATAATAGTTTAGCTTCGCTGGCTTGGGGCCTGTTGATTGTTGTAGTTCACTTACATGTTCCAGAATGGGAATCGCATTGACCGCAATCTCTGGTCGAACACGCGCATAGTTGACCAAGTAGAGAAAGCACCTGTCCACAGCGTCAATGATGAGACTGGCTCGTGTATAAGACATGTTATAACGTCGGATCGAGCATACATCTTCTTAATCTCCAAGCTCGAGATATGCATGCACTGAATGATGTCGGGAAACAGCGCGACCATGTCGTTGTTGCTCATGGTCATGTTGGCCACGATGCGCTTGAGCGCAATCTTCTTGGTCGCATAGTTCTTGTCCTTCTTGCCGCCGCTGTTGAGCTCGAGGCGCAGCTCCGCGACTTTGCCCTGGGTTGATCTTAGCTTATCGAGCGAAAGAGCTGGCATGTAGATGAAGCCGAGGGGGAGAGCCATCGTTGCATCGGTGTGCGCGATCGTGTTTAGTGAGGGAATGTCATTGTCGGAATGGGTAGATGTCGCGGGGTTTGGCGCAACGGCACGCGGCGCAGTTATCGCAGTCTTGTGAAGACCACGGTCAAAGCAGTGTCGTCGTCGTCGCCGCCGTAGAATGCGACTCTGACGACTCCTGATACAGGCGACGACACACCAATGATTCGCTCAACGTTGCGCGCAGGTAGTAAAACAGATAGGAAAGGGAAAGCCAAGGTGACAGAAGGAAAGCACCTGTGTATTTCGAATCGAACGGAGGAGAAGCAACAACAAAGGGGGGGGCAGGCAGAAGACAATAGGGAGAAAGATGGCTTACTCGAGCGAACAGCTTGAAGTCCCCTCCACCTCCGTTGTTAGACATGGTGACGGCAGGCTATTAATCGAAACGGCCTCCTCCCCCGCAGACACAATGCGCCGCCAAATCTGGGTGTGGTTCCGACCGGGTGTTGGCTTCTTGGCTGTGAGGTGGTGGTGTCGCCTGGTCTGGTCTGAATAGTAGTTGCTCCGTACCGAATTAGTCGCAACGTCGTCACGCGGCCGCTGTCACCCCTTGATAGCGAGACTCTGGCAGCTCCCAGTATGGCAACCAACCCAAACAAGCACTCCTAGCGTATAGATATCTTCCGGGATAGCAGAACAAGGCCTTATCGATGCTGCGCCTAAATTCGTGAAACCCGGTGGCGTGTGTGATGCTGCAGGCTTTCGCAACTTGACACACCCACCAACAAGTAGAGCTCACAAAGCTCCAACAACAGACGGCCGAAATGCCACAGTGTGTTTCTATCGCGCGGCCGGTTTCGTGATATCGGCGATTTCGAAGACAAATCTGTACTCCGTTCCGTTGACGAGGTTTGTGTTGTATCGAGGTGAGGGCTGACCAATCGCTGTCGACACGCGCGCCGTTTCGTTTCGCTGTCCGCTTCGGTTTTGCGGTGCTCAGGAAGCTCGTTCGTTCCTCGAAAGGCGTCGCGGTTTCGCAACCAAGAATTATGTAATTCGGGAAGTTTGAAAGGGTCCCTGAGAAGGAGAATTCGAGTTCGATCCGGTCGAGGGGAACAAACAGAATTCAAGAACAAGAAATTTAGCGAAAGGGAATCTCGGTCCCAAAGGTTCGCGCAGCAGCCCCGTCGGGAGGTAATAAGGGAAAAAGGAGGGAAACGCGCCGGCAGGGTCGGTATATGCAGGCCCAAAAGGACCGGTGCGAGGGACCCCCATTTGATTCGGCCGGGGCTATCGATAAGGCCGGGCTGGCTGCAAGCTGCTGCTGGAGGAGCAACCAGGTAATTGGCAACCCACTGCTGACTATCAATCGGGACACGGACAGCAGTGACAGAGACGGACAAGCTCTCGTCGAGCTAATCCCACCTTTTGCATCATCCATTGCTGCGAACGAACAAACGACGACAGGACCGCCAGCACCACTACAGAAGACCAACAGTCAATCCATCCTTGACCAGAACGATTGAAATCGAGTCCATCTTCCAGCACCATGGCTTCCACTCCGGTCGTCCCCGCGCCATACTGGGCCTCCCAGCTCGACTTCCCCCCCATCGCAAAGTCCAAAGTCAACGGCCTCGTCGATCCCCCAGGCTTCTCCGGCGCCCCCAGCGGCCCCAAGGTACGCTCTTCATCTCGTCCTCCTCTTCTTCCTCGTTCTTTTCCTTCAAGTACTGCAAAGACAAAGCTAAAACCACGCCCAGAAAGGCAAAGACGTCAAGACCCAACCCCGAAAACCCCCCTCCCCCGAAGAGCGCGACACCCTCAAGCTGAAAAAGGCCTGGGAGGTCGCCCTCGCCCCCGTAAAGGGCCTCCCCATGACCGCCATCATGATGTACATGTCCGGCAACTCCCTCCAGATCTTCAGCATCATGATGGTCTTCATGGCTTTCAAGAACCCCATCGTCGGCCTCATGGCCACCAACCAGGCCTTTGAGCGCTTCCAGACCGACAGCAACGCCGGGCAGATTCTGCAGACCAAGCTCGTCTACGTCGCGATGCAGTTCTTGGCGCTGGCGGTGGGCATCTGGAAGATTAACTCTATGGGCTTGTTGCCGTATGTTTTTACTCCTTTGAGCGATCATGGACTCAACTTCACTTTGCGTCTTCCATTTGCTAACATGATCTAGGACAACACGATCTGACTGGCTGATGTGGGAACCACTGAGAGAGCCTGTAGAACACGCAATCCTAGCTCTGTAAAACAGGAAAGGGAAGTCTTTGACATTAATAGTATAGTAATAACGACTTTTATGAGACACAACGAACGCTATCAACAGCTCGACTGTCTATTTACCAACGCCACCGCCTTGTGATTCTGGATGCAACCCATGCTTCCAGCAGGTGTATGTAGGATGAAATGGGGAACAAGCATGATAAAAGCAACCAAAGGGGGATATCTGAAAATCTAGCTTCATATCATCGTCAAGGTCATCGCTCATTCCGTTTCTGTCGTTCCAGGTTCTGTGTGCTCGCTGTCAGTGCTGTTTGCCCTCTTTAATTTCTCGGCCCTCCAACGAGGTCCTCGCCTTTCGATAAATCGTAGCCAAGGCAGGCATGCCACCATGAGCAGTGCCAGAAACGTAAAGCACCAGCCCCGACCCATGGCATCAATCATGTAATCCACAACGGCAGTGGCCGCAGCTCCAAACAAGCAACGGACCAGATTGTTGGCCGCCGCTGCCGTAGCCGGCGATCCGGGATACAGATCAACAATGAGTGTGTTGAGTATGCTAAAGGTGCTCGGGACGAGCATGCCGATGGCGAAGACAAGAACAAGCGGCACGGCCACGCTCGTCTCCGCCTGCAAAGCCCAGCCATAGCCGATGACAGCGGCAGCGCCTGCAAGCAAAGAAGGGTAGATGGGTTGGATCCGCGCCGACTCGATGGGGAAGTCTCCAATCTCGTTTCGTCGTCCATGGCTCGGATCGATGCCCAGCTTCTTTGCAATACGGCGGTAATTCCAGTCCACCACATATCCTTGCAGCACAACTGTCAAACAGCACCCAAGGCCGTATGGCAAGAAGCATAAGCCGACTTCCAGCTCATTGTAGTGGTATATCTCCGTGAAGAGCGGGGACAATGTGGCCGCCACCAGAATGAAGTTGCAGTAGATGATGGCCGCAATGAGCAGGATCTGGCTCATCTGCTTGTCAAAGGTAATGACGAGGGTGCCCAATGGATTTGGAAACCGCAATTTTCTCTTGGGTCCAGGTTCTGGTTTTTCGCCCCTTTTCCTCCTCTTCAAAAACTCAATCACGGTAATGTTCCAAGACTGAGGCGGTATTGACCCGTTTCCAACAACGTTTCGACACATTTCGGGAACGGCGATGATCCATGGAACCAGCCATACCGCGACAAAGATGACACAGAACCAGAAGATGGATGGCCAATCGAGGTATTGGGTCAACAGGCCCCCTATCACCGGACCAATGGTCGGCCCAAGGTTGATTCCAACACTGACAAAGCCCATGTACTTCCCCCTCTTAGCGGTCGGTGTGATGTCGGCAACGACAGCGTACGAAAGAGCGAGAGTGCCGCTGCTGCCCGCTGACTGGAGACAGCGCAACACCAGGAGCGCGGCGTAGTTTCGTTGCAAGGCGAGGCCAATGTTGGCACAGATGTAGATAACAAAGGCGACGATGAAAGCGGGTCGACGGCCGGCCATGTCGCCAAAATCTCCAAAGATGGTCGGTGATATCCCTTGGAAGATCATGTACGAGGTCAGGGTGAGGTTGATGAGCGAGATCGAGACGTTGAGCTCCTCGGCCAAGGCGTCCAATGCCGGGAAGTAGATGTGAGCAGTCATTGGGGAGACCACGCTCGCGATAGTCGCCATGATGGTGATCCATATCTTCATGCGCCGGGAAAAGATGCTGTAGGGCTCGTTGATGGCGTTTCTGTTGCCAAGCTCGACATTGTCGATGGTCGTCTCGCCCAGGTTTTGGCTCGCTGGCAGCTCTGCGGCATCCTGATCCGCGAGCTTGCCTCGCAATTGCCGATCAAGGTAGGGCTCCCCGGTTGCCTCGATGTCCGACTCGACCTCTACCGGCAGAGAGCTCTCGCATGTCTCTTTTTCAACCGGCCGTATCGCTTCATCTTGCTTCATGACGATGCATCGGGCAATGGCCGCGTCTTCAACGAGAGGGGGCGATGGACGCGGCGGCAGCACAAGAGGATGATGATTCAGAAAGCAAGAGAAGAGGAGGATAAAGGGATAAGATGCCGGCTTCAGATCGGATAACGTAGCAACGGAGACCAGCTGTGTGTGGACGATCAAAGTTCGGATCCCCACAGATTCGGTCGATGCCCGTTATCACCCCCCGAAAAGCCCGAAAAGCTGGTTTCCTCCTCCAAGGTTGTCTGGTCCAGGGTCACAGGGGTCAAGAGGCCTTGACTCGATTCGGGCCAAATTATCCGTTAGATGCCTTGCATTGCAGCTACGATGAATGCAAGCAGAATCTCAGTATTTCCGGGGAACCATGGCTCAGATGCCGAGAGACGAAGCCAGCGTCCAGGTTGCCGTCTGCTGACCCGAAGACAGTCCGTCTCTTAGAATGAGGATTAGTAGTAGTCGTTTACAGGCTGTCAGGCAGACCCGGGAATAATAGACCAGCCAGGGGAAGAAGGAGGATAAGGTCATAGGAAGCAAAAAGGAACAAAGACCCTGCCATAATTAGCATCACTCCAGCACGCGCCCTTCCTCCTCGGTCGACGTCCGAGCGTTCAAAGAAGGGGGAAAACACCATAAGATCTCTGTTTGCATCCACGAATCAGACCGGTCTGTAGCCGTTAGCTCCCGCCCACACGCAACTCAGTGTTGCTTTGGCATTAGCGTCGATATTCTCCGGTGGCGCATCGTGAATTGTCCCATCTATCCATCCAGCCATTGCCAACAGTAGGTACGCACGGGTGAAGCGTCGACTGGGGATCTGCCTCGGTCCATCAATGTTGGATACCTGCTCAATTGTTTCGTCTCCAGCGTACGAAGTGGTAGCAGTACTACCGTACTTTGTGGTAGTATCCATGAACATGTATGAAGTGAAGTAGGCTTTCTGCAGGCTCGGTGGCTGGACATGCTTATGCCGGCGCCATGCTTGCGACATCCGGACGGGAGGCGGTAACCGCGCCGGGCCGTTGAGGGAAGATTATGTAGCATCACCATGGTTAGGATCGGTATAACATCTGCAATCCACACGGGCAGTCTCGCAGAATTCTCCTGGAGTTCGTGATCGAGGACGCACTTCGTACACGAACTCAACCAACATCGTCGGTCTCTCAGCTGGTGGGCCATTCGCTCAGCACTTGCAGACAAGACAGTCCACTTCCTGAATCGTAGAGGCAAACTGACGTCGAGGAACGGCGGGAATAGTCCGGGCCACAGCCGCTTGTGGACCGATTGTGTCTCACGGCATCCGTAACAGCAATCGATGGCCGGATGGATCAGAAAGTCGAGGTTGTGCGTTTGCGGGTGGATGCTCTGCTGACTAAGCACAATCGCAACTCTGCCAGCAATGAGCTTACACCATACGTAGCTCCATCAAGTTGGCGATGTCGATGACGTGCATGCAACAACTTTGGCGACAAGGTCTTTCTCGGGCGCGATTGACTGTCGCTGGATAACTCTTGGCGAGATGGACGGCTCAAGCTTTGCGATACCGGCGGATGTGAATATCACAGAGCAGTTCAACGAGCTGCTTCGGCAACATCGCGCGCCGCCGGTCGTCAAGAAGGTGTCTCTGGAGGACCTTGACAGCTTTCTACAGGAGGCATACCGAATTGTCAGTCATTCTTCACTGCAGATACAACCCGATCAAGTCTAGAAACTGACTACTTCCTTTAGAACTCACACATTACAAACCTACACCAGCAACTCAAGGATGTACGGCAAGCATATCTCTCGACGGCGCAACCCCGCCGCGCACAAGTCCGACTCGCCCAGAACCAGCCACGAGTCCTCTCCGACCGAGAACGAGAAGAAATCGACGCCAATGCGAAGCAGATGATTCGGGAGCTCAACGCGAGCATACGATCGCTGGACGAAGCCGAACAGCTCCGCCGAGAGACCGAGGCGGCCATCATCCGTAAAAAGTACACAAAGGGGCTGGGCGCCCTCGGCTCGTGGGCATCCGGTGGCCTCGCCAGCAGTAAATCCGCGGAGCATGCCGCAGCCAAGGCGCAAGCTCTGCAGTTGGGAGGCTATCGGGACGGCGTGCTGTGGTTTCTGCGGCAGCGGCTGGAGCTGTGTTGTCGCACGCAGCAAGACATGATGGAGACGAGACTGCGCAGAGAGCTGGAGAAGAGCCGAAGCATGCTGCCGATGGGGGATTTGGCAGAGTTTGCCCCGACGGCTTACAAACCGCAGCGGCAGGCGACGTCGGGACACACCATGGCCCCTGGCACCGAAGAATCATCTGCTCCGATTACAGAGGGTTTGACAGACGAACAGGTTCAGATGTTTGAGGAGGGCAACCAAAGCATGATGGAGCACTACGAGAGCACGTTGGACAAAGTGAGGTAGGTCAAGGCCGCTTAGACTCTGCTCAAACCCTCAGACGCCGTTGGAAATACTGATAGAAGCCGTTACAGAACCGCGGAAAAGTCTCTGCTAGAGATTTCGGAGCTCCAGACGCTGCTGGTAAACAACCTCACAGCGCAGTCCGAGAATATCGAATTGCTCGTGGCCGATTCGGCGTCGATGGCGGATAACGTTGGTGGAGGAAACAAGCAGCTCAAAAAGGCCACCCAGCGGCCGAGCACGGCACGATATACATTTTTTGCGGCCAGCGGGTTGTGTGCATTCCTGATACTGTGGGACCTGATTATATGAAGAAGAGTTGGAATGATTTGTCTACGGTAACATAGCATCGAAGAATCCAATGCCGGCATTAACAAACATGCTTTGGGGTCTTACATCTCGTAAAAGGGGAATTCGAGTCTGGAGCCGTTCAATGGCCCATGGGGTCAACTAGGGGAGAGACGGCGGCATGTGAAAACGAGACCGGGCCCCAACACGAGCCGCCATTATGCGGGGGTCCATTAAACTTTGCTGTCCACGAGGCTTGAGGGGGGCGTTTCCGAGCCTGGTACCTGACTCTACAGTCAACAGGGCCGGGAAGCTAATGTCAAAGAGGGTATTTGCGGACTGTGACGATGGGCAATTATGTGTCATTCGACGAAAAGGAGGAGCTCTATCTGGGGATCCGTGGCTTGCAGCGGGTGTGTTTGTGTCCAATCGGGTGGAGTTGAGTCGTCTTGAAATCCGGGGTTCGAAAAAGTATCGGCTGGCTTTATGCATTACCTTACTCAGGCCCTGCTTTGAAATTCGGCTGGTTCATTTCCAACTGTTTGAGCAGCTGTGATAACAATCGTCCCTCTCGTATGAGAAATGACAACAACTAGGTAAGCTATGGGGTTATGAGGAGTAACAGGAGGGAAATGGCGAGTGGTCTCATGATGCAGCCTTTTGATCATCAACTTGCCTCTAAGCGTACCCAGAAACAAGGGTTCTATAAATGTCCTTGTACCCAATACTACGGAATGCTACTAAATCTGGCAAATTAAGGTGCCCATCTATTCGTACCATCTACTCCGTGTGGTCTTGAAAGTACAGAGACCGGCCGGCTCAGCTGCCCGTGCAAGCCGAAGGCCTCGGCCAAACCACTAACAAGCCGTGGAGTTGCACATGGCATGACGACAGATAAAAAGCGGCCCAACTGCCCGAGATGCATGAGTCCAACGTCCCAATGCGTCTTACCATGTTCCTTCAAAATTGCTGCTGCTCGGACTAAATTGCCTCTATAACTTCCAAGGGTACTTCCTACGGACTCAATACGGAGTTTTTGTGTTGCGCTCGTCCGACCCTTTTGGCCGTTTTCGTAACCCGTGTTCATTACTTGGCTGCCTTGAGGCCTGTCTGATTACAAGGTATGAATGCCTCCAGCAAGGCCTGGTGATGAGACGACCGCTTCCCATCGTCCGCTCCTTTCCACCGCGTTCACATCTCGAAGCGGTAACAAAGGGGAAAAGAAAGAAAGAAAGGAGACTAGAACAGACTTGCTGACTGCATCACTGCCCAAGGGTCTCTGTCAAATCTCCTGAATATCAGCGCTGCAAGCCGCCCATCACCATCACAAGCCAAGCAGGCACCAAACAAACCAACGCAAGCGAACCCTTTCACTTGTCCGGCGATAACAAAGCCCAGCTTCCCGTCCCGACCGCCTCCAAGCCCTGGGCCTCCGTGCAGCACGCATCAGATCCCGTGGCCACCCCCTGATATCGTCAGCTCGAGGCTTTTGCTCCGTCTCAAGCTCGTCCGGGAGTCGGAACCCCCAAGTCGCAAGGTATTGAAGGTAAGCTTTCGAGGTCTGGTGACGTGCAGGCACCAGCAGGATTAGCGGGCACCACAGGGGACTTGCTCCAGCGCCTCTCCACCATTTCTCCAGGGCATTTCTCCAGCGGCGATTCAGCCCCAGCCCGCTCCCCCGTTCCAGGTTCCTTCAGGGTTCTACCAGGTTCCCGCAGTGGCTGCAGCTGCCCTGTCCTGGGACTTTAGCCGTCTCCAAACCCCACCATCCCACCATCAGACCACTGGAAGCGCACGTATTGTGTCGAGTCACTCTCGCTCGTGCCTGGAACGTTTGACTTCCCGTCTGCTGGTCGTTCCATTAACTTGTACATATTAGACGACATCCCACCAAGAACCGCCACCATGGCTCCTCCATCATCATCATCAGCGTCATCGCCCTCTCAACCCTCTCCTCAAACAACCTCTCAACCTACATCTCAGTCTCAGTCTCAACCTCAAGCCAAATCCGCTTCGTCTGCCTCTTCTCCTCCTCTCGCCCGCCTTCACAACATTGCGAGCCACATCTCTCCCGCAATGGCCTCCACCACCAACTTCCCGCCAGACACGGTGCCCCAGGCGCCTGAGGATCCCCTCTTTGGCCTTGCCCGCGCCTACAAGGCTGACCCCAGCCCGAACAAAGTCGATCTGGTATGTTGCAAGCTCCTGTTATTGATCCGTCTTCTTTCCTGTTGTATTCCTTCTCCTTTTCATGTCCATTGCTTTCCCCTCATTCTCCTCATCATGCCCCTCGTTCCCGCGCGGCCGTCACTCGGCTCGACTCTTCTGTCGCAATCGCGGTTGCGACGTCGGAGCCCACAAATCCGCCCAAAGCTTGACTAATAGATACCGCCTCGAATAACGGACTTGTTACTGATCCTCCTGCTTACTCTAGGGAATTGGTGCCTACCGAGACAACAATGCGAAGCCCTGGGTTCTGCCTGTGGTAAAAAAGGTACGGTGTCTTCTTCTTGCTCCTGTCCCGTCCAGAGAGTTAGGCGCTGCGATGCGATCCATCGATGATGCATGCCTAGCTCCTCTTGCTTCTGATGCTAGTAATAAGCTCAATCGGCGCAGCCATCATTGGTCCGCTTGCGGCTCTTCCTCTACCTCGCATATCAAGGCATTGATTCGCTGACCCACTGCTCGCTGCAACAACAGGCTGATGACATTCTCCGAAACAACCCCGAGTTGAACCACGAATATGCCCCGATCGCCGGTATCGAGAGCTTCACCAGCAAGGCCGCGGAGCTCATGCTCGGCGCCGATTCGCCTGCCCTCGCGGACCGCCGCGTGACATCTGTGCAAACCATCTCGGGCACCGGTGCCGTTCACCTGGGCGCCCTGTTCCTCGCCAAGTTCTACAAGGGCAACCGCACCGTCTATGTGTCAAATCCCACATGGGCAAACCACCACCAGATCTTCAACAATGTCGGCATCACCGTCGCCCAGTATCCCTACTTCAGCAAGGAAACCCGCGGACTGGACTTTGAGGGAATGACGGCGGCCATTTCAGCGGCCCCCGAACGCTCCATCATCCTGCTCCACCCCTGCGCGCACAACCCTACCGGCGTCGACCCAACACCCGATCAGTGGAAGCAGTTGGCCGTCATCATCCGCGAGAAGAAGCACTTTCCCTTCTTCGACTGCGCCTACCAGGGCTTTGCCTCTGGCGACCTTGCACGAGATGCCAGCGCCGTGCGCTACTTTGTCGAGCAGGGCTTCGAGCTCGTAGTTGCTCAGAGCTTCGCCAAGAACTTTGGTCTTTACGGAGAGCGAGCTGGCTGCTTCCACTTCGTGGGCGCTCCCGCCGCCGACGCCGCCGAGACTGTCACCAGAGTCGCATCTCAGCTCGCCATCCTGCAGCGATCAGAAATCTCCAACCCTCCCCTGTACGGCGCAAGGATAGCCAGCACCGTGCTCAACGACCCCCAACTCTTCGCGGAGTGGGAGGAGAACCTCAGGACCATGTCGGGCCGCATCATTGATATGCGCAAAGCTCTCCGATCCAAGCTTGAGGAGCTCGAGACGCCAGGCACCTGGAACCACATCACAGATCAGATTGGCATGTTCAGCTTTACCGGTCTGACAGAACCCCAGGTGATGAAGCTCCGCGAGGAGTATCACATCTACATGACCAAGAATGGGCGAATCAGCATGGCTGGGCTGAATACCCACAACATTGATCATGTGGCTCAGGCTATTCGAAAAGTGGTTGGCGAGACGCAGTAATTGTATGATACGGTATAATAGATGGGTTCTCAGGCGTGTGGCTTCATGAAGACCGCCACGAGCTAGGGAGCAGGTTTGTTTTTATAAGGGTGCTTTTATCTCTTTTGTTCTTTTCCCATGACAGTGGGTATAGATGCAGCTATAAATGGCATACGAGGTCCTGAAAGGCCCTGAACTTTTGTTGTTTCTCAACGAACAGCACACACACACACATGATTGTATTCGCCGTGGTGACCCATGATGCTACTCGTGATGGAGAATGAAGACCCGCTTCCCCAGATTCTTGCAGATGCGATTTCGATCGGAACTGGGTTCCGGCGCATGGCCTGTGGGACATTTCAATGGAGCTTTGTGCCTAGTCATACCGTGCTGATATGACACCGCCCAGTACTGCGCTGGACGACTTGATGAATGGTGTTTGATCGGGATGCGGTCAATAAGAACGAGTTCAGGCACCGTCAGTGAAGGAGAAGGGGGACAAACATACGAACCTCGTGGGACTGGCCCAAATCCATCGAGCGGGGACTATATATATGCGTATAGGCACAGACAAGATAAAACAAGGATGTTCGATTAGGCTAGATCTCAAATGCTCTTTACCGTGGGAAGCATGGCGTGGTATCGTTTGGCACATGGGTATAGAAGCAGATGCTTGTTCTCTTATAATTGGGCCCAGAGAGCGATGGGTAGTGAAGACAGAGAGCTGTCAAGCAACTTTATCCTCAGTGAGGTGGATGTTCCATGGCTTCTGTATGTTTATAATCAACCAGTAGCTTGGATTGGGATGCGATAAAGCATCATCCACCTAGTTGGAAACTTTACAAATCGTGAAGCCTGGTGTCAGGAGTAAAGAGACACAGCCCTCCTTCTACAATGCGACAGGGCTTCATACAAAACGTCTACAGTATGTTAACTAACCATACATAGGGGACTTCAGTACTCCTTTCACTGCTATAGAAGGAGGGGAATTGATAGTTTGAACAGATTATATGCAGACGATGGTGAATTTTATAAATAAGAAGAGGAGGACCAAGAAGCGCTCAAGGGTAAGCTCAATGGGCTCCCTATGCCGCCTTCGCCGACCTCTCAATCACAATTATGTATACAAAATGGATTGAAAAGTGTTATGCTTAATTCATAACAATATGTTGATATGGCATGGGTAGAAAGTATCTCAGCATTATTTCCAGTTCCTCACATGCCCTTGCAGTCTAGTACATGATCCAAACTAATCCGCCACACAAAGAATCTCATATCATGAGTCTGACTTTTCACCTGTCTCATCATACAGACGATCTCCCAACGTAATATCTAAAGACACTCATACAATAACACATTAATGATACTACTAAGCCTCCAATACGGGGACACTAATACTTACCTCCTTGCCTCCCTACTCCCCCCCCACATCCGAGAACCAGGCTTCGGCGATTGTTATCAAACCATGACAGCCATGACACAGTCAATATCCACAACTCCCGTTGCCTTTTCCCGCGCTTCCTATTCTTTCTGTGTCTCACTTGACTAGTGGGCAAACAAATGCACACCCTTCACGCCCGACAGATTTCGGAGCGATAAGAAGGAACTTTGTATATTTGCATGAGGAAACCGGAGAGCATCAGCTCCAGCCCCCCAGAACGCCGATTCAAACACGGACAGTAACCCTCATCTCTGTCCGTGTTTCATAGCAATCAAATGTCCTTCTTAGGTTTAAACTCTTGAGATTGTCCTCCAGAGCGTAGTTTTATCTGAGTCAACCATCATGGTTGTATCCCGATCAATGACACTTCAGAGAGACAGGGGGCCTAAACAACGCCCATAAAAAATAAAAAATAAATAAAAGAAAAATGTGAAAAAACCAAGATAGACTGACTACGGTGCGTGTAGGCCACATATTCAGCCTCCTGTACATTGTACACAAAACATGGGATCCATTCAGCAATAAACGCAAACATCCCTGTGCGGCTGATCCGAGCCCTGTCAACCAGGTTGGACGGTACGCATGTGTCCGTGTCCATGCACTCGTCCATGTAGGTATCTCCTACACTCTCACCCTGGTCAAACAGCCATCTGAGTGCGTCTCAGCCTGATTTTCTTCCAAAATTTGCATCCACGCAGGAGCATATGATGGACGCCACGCAGTATCCAGCTCCAAGACATTAATGTTTTCCGTCGAAGCGGTGAACAGAGTACCATGTTTCACGCCCTCATGCAAACCTCGTCTCGTCCGCAAAAAGGACATCCCCCATGACATTACCACATACTCAGGTGCCTATCCCTGTCAGTCTCGGATCTAGATTCCTCGTGGCCAAGAAAGTTAATATAATCACAAGGGGAGAGATAAACCATGGCCTTCGAGAAGCCCACTTGACGTCGTAGCAAACCAGATCTGTCTCACCGAATTGCCATGTAACCAAGCGGACGAAACATGTCATTTTCAAATGGGGCTGAGACAGACCTCACAGGCAATAGCATCATGCAAATGTACGAGAGGGCCCGCCAACCCGGATGAAAAAATCTCGATCGTCACGCATAGTTGGGGGCGACGGGAAGTGACGAGGGTATCGGCACGCCCAGGTTATGGGTGGGTGTATGTGTAACCGGCGATTGGGATAGTTTTCCATTCCCGTCAACGGGCCCTAGAAGGATTCAAAGGAAAGTACAGGTGTCATTGGGCAAATGTAGGCAAAGTCAACACTTCTATGGGTGTGAAGACCTTTGCAACATTTGACATATATGGAAAGGAAACGCGGTGCAAGCTGCTTGTAATGCTATTAAACGGGTGGTGTTACACAAAGAAATCCAAGTAAACATTGCAGTCCCTCAACGAGCATCAACCAAGCTGAATCTGAAAAGTAGGTACCACAACTCTAATGCAACGCTGGCGATGGAAACCATTAGTTGGAACCCGCCTACTAATTCTACATTTGAAAACTCCATGGAGCAAAAGTACGCATAAAACGTGAAGAGAAGGAACATAGCTAGAATATGCGCATCCGGGCGTTGATATCAGCCAAAGATGGTCAAATAACGCTCCATGACTTTGAGAGAAGATAGCAATTGAAATCTCAAGTAGGTGCTATGTCGGCAGACCACGAGCTCGCAAAGCACAGTCTTGAACATCATCAATAGTGTCCTCCACCCGGCCATTCAAGGGGAAGATCATCAATGGCAGAACAAATCCTGGCGAAATGCGCCGGCATCCAGGTGTCGTATAGGTTCCTGGTAAAGCGGTACGCAGCCCACCTGTCGCAGCCAGGATCAGAAAAGTCAAATGAGTGAATCATCTTTCGATAGAAGTTTGTGACGTCCCCATGAATAACCGGGTAATGCACCGATATCTCCACCCGGCGATGATTATGTGCTATGGAAAAGCCCAAGATCTGGCGGTGCACCTCGGCCTCACGGCATACTCCGCGGAAGAGCTCAACGACGCCGCGCATGGCCACTGACATGTTGTGTACGTTCTGACGCTCGGCCAAGGCAATGGGCCCGATTTCCAATGAGAAACAGGGGAAGTACATCTCAGGCGTGGCCATCATGGGCGAGGTCTCCGCCGCGCAGATCTGGTCGAAGAAATCCGTAGCTTTGAAAAACTGCTCTTCGGTGAAGGCCTCGGAAGAGAACCCAACGCCGTAGCTGGGCTGCGGCTGAAGGCGGATGACTGGTTGCGAGCTTGACCACACCTCGTCTGTGGATTCGCACAAGAATCCCAGATGGGGATTGTCATTAGCGAGAAGGTCAACTGACGGCGCAATCAGAGGAGTGATGTCGCGAAATAGCGTTATCTCGTTTTTGGACCTGATCCTCTCGCAAGTTTCGCCAACGATATCGTCGTCAAATAAGGACTTTAGGGGAAGCGGCTGCTCTCTTTCAAGCAGATCCTTGTAGAGTGCCGTCGCCTCTGCACCAAGGCCCTCTGAATCCTCGCTCATATACGTTCCGCACCGATTGAACTCATACTGCCATGAGGGATCTCGAAAAGGAACACTCTTGTGCTCCCTAGGCCACATGAACCTGGGCAGCGCATAGCAATCGCTGTCAGACTCGGAGTTAAGGGATAGAGAGGGTTCCCCTCGGCCCCTGCTGAGCAAAGCTTGCCAGTCAGCATAGGTTTTGCAATATGGCTCAGAAACACCGGTTTCCTTGTCAATTGCCTCCAAAGTTGCGGCTCCATGGCTAACAGAGCGAGGAGACATCTGGCGAACGCTTGGATTGTCGTTGCTTGCATCCAGGGTGCTCGTCTCGGTGGGAACACGATCCCAGGTGCTCGTGCCGTCACGGCTGGCTTCCGTGGTGCTCGATTCTTCTTCTGCTGCTGCCGCAGCAACATCTAGAACCGTCTGTGTATGTAGTGCTCCCATCCGACATTCTGTGTAACGCCGCACGGTCTCAGAAGCCGCTCTCTTCTCTTCTTCGCTTGCACATTCAGCCGCCGCATCGGCCAAGTCGGCAATCGTGGCAGCCTTCTCGTTGACGAATATTATGCCAGTGATAGATCTTTTCACAGCCGCACAGAAGGTCATGTTGGCAGTCATATCGGCCGCCTCAGCGTCGTTGCGAGAACCGGAAGTCTGCCGCCTCTTCGTACCGTGATCATTGTTGGAGCTGTCGCAAACGGGGCTTAGACTCTCACGAGATCGCTTCTTGGTGCGCTCGGGCCCGGTGCCAGCCCCTTCCAGGATCGGCGGCAACGGCTGTGGAGGATAGCCTTGGCCAACATGGTGCTGCTTTTGCTGCTGCTCTTGCTCTTGTGGTGAAGAAGCTTCCATTATCGTGATGATGATACTGGAAGATGATGGAGATATTAACGAAGTTCTGAGGTTTCGAGTGATTAAATGGGCGTCTTCGAACAAAGAGAAGACGCAAGAATGATGTCTGAAGAAGAAGGGAATGGCAATCGATGGCAGAGGTCGGCTTAAATGGACGAGTCTGATGTAAGTCGTGCCCGTGAGCAAGCAAAAAGAAAGGAGAAACAGAGTCTCAGACGCGGCTCACGAAATAAAGCAGGAGCCCTGCCTGTCCTGCTCCAAAATATGTATCGTCTGTCGTTTTCTCTTGCTCTTGCCTTCCTCTCCATGTCTCTCCTTCTCGAGCCTCGCTCCCTTAACGAAGACGCCCAATTGTAATCGGGCTCCGCTCCCCGCCCCCATGGTGCCTTCCGACTTTCGCTGCCAAGTTTTTGTGTCACCTTACCTCGGCCATAAGATACCTTAGCCAAGCTGTACGAGTACTTACCTCACGCTCTGCGACACCTCACCACTGTGTTGGTTAGCCTCGGAATACCAAGTACCTGGTACCAGGTAACAGAGACAAGCAGCGAAAGGACAGCAGCCAGGCATGTGCGGCTGGCCAGCAAGAATGCTCCAAGGCAAGGAGGAGAGTGCTTTGGGGGCAGGAGCGACAGTAGTCCGGCACTCATTGGTCTTGGGTGGGGCCGGAACCTTGGGCCTCTGCCGCGCCGGGAGATCCACTCCGTCGCCCTTTCCCTCCGATTCTTGGTACATACCAGGTACGGAGTACGCCAGGCACGTTCAGGTACTGTAAAACATCAGCTTCCGGTTCCAAACTGAACTTGTGAAGATGAGTGGAGAGCACGGCTTGAATTGCGGCACCATCACGCCAGGCTGTGCCAGCACGCAGGTTTTGCTTGTACGCCTCCTGAAAAGCCACTAAAATCAAAAGCGACGAGATCTGTTGCTTCTGTTTTCGCTCATTGTCCCTTGCGTACAACACGCAGCTGCGGCAAGCAAGTGTGGCCCGCGACTTCTGAACAAGGGGGGGGCGTGTTATTGCGGCAAGACCTGTCAAGAGGCAACAACCACGATCCACCTCTGGTACCCTCCCCTTGCCTTGACCCCAACAAGACTCCAAAGCTCTTGCCTCTTTCACACCGATCACACGGGCAGGCACGAGGTGCGGCGACCTGCATTAGCTCGCCCCATCCTTCCTCGCAGCGCCAAAGCGGAGTACTTGTTCCTGTACTGGTAGCACCTCCAAGGCGCGGAGATGCCTTGGTTCGAATACCCTCAACTCACACACGGCACGCCAGTACCAGTCAATCACGGATAGCGGCTCTGGATGTATTTTCTGTTGTCTCCTTGCTCAGATGGAGCAGTCAGTACCTTCGGTTAAGGATGGCTTACGTTGACCTCTCTTGTGTCTCGATTTCCTTAGACCGGCGGGTTGTGTAAGTCCATCAAGACTGTCTACCAACATTTTGACTTATGCAAAGCTCGCACATTTTTCATAAACAAAGGATTGGGCGCGTCTATCTGAGTAATAAACAACCTATCTGGGACAAGAGCTATTCCAAACTTATTGCCAGGCGTAGTCCTACCTAGTAGTCCTATTGTACCCAGGAAGCATACCAGCTTCCGCCAAGTCCTTTTCTAATGGGGTCCGTATCATGTAGTATCTGTTCGCCTAGCCGCTACTTCTCTAAAAGACTTTACGCTCTGGTTATGAAAACAAAAGGAAAAGAATGAAGTCCTTCCGTAGGAGCGTCTGCCTAGGCCGCCTGGCCAACATCAGACATATGCTCAATGTCTCCTTCTGGACGGGGAAAGTCAAGTTAGCTTTGATGACGAGATACCGTAAATTCCTGGAGTGGTCAAGTCACTTACCAGAGTTCACGACCCACGCCTTGATCCTATCCATTGACAGCTCCGATAAACGCACCGACCCCTTTGGCTTGTGCTTCTTTTCCGAACCCATAGCGAGGTGTGCATCCATCTCGACCCATGCATGAGAGTAGATGTGTTTGCCCGAGGGATCCATCTCTGTGGCAGCCCATCGGAACATGTCGCCAACGGCTCTCTTGGATGCTCTGTAATCCATCTTGTGATCAGGCTCTCCCACGCCGCGAGGTGGTGTGTAAATGTGCGAATCGGCCTCGAACTGCTTCCAAGAGGTCGTCAACACACGAGGCTCATGGGTCAGCTCGATTCGGCTACGCGTCGTCCATGTGAATCCTGAGTACACCCACTCATGTCTCTGGCACTGAAGATGGCCTCGCAACATTAGCTCGACTTCCTCGACATCAACAGCGCCAAATGGGCGGAAGGGAGTGCTTGGTAGATTGCGGAAGTGTATACCGCCCTTCCAAGCGTTCCAGTACTCATGGCGAAGCCGCCACAAGTCTGCTCGCGAGACCTGGTTTCCCTGCACATACGGGCCAGATCCAGGGAGATCCATGAAGGACTGAGGGGAGTCGGTCCAAACAGCAACTTCCGGCATAAACTTCGTCGGCACATGAGTATACAGTTTCTCAAGGAAGGGGATAATAGCCAAGACGGTGTCTGTGGTACCACAGGCAAGCAGGCCATACCACAGGGGGGCAACGCTGGGTCTTCGCAGAGCAAGCACATGGCTGAGCGTCTCAAGGTCCCCAGTCTCAATCAGAGGTTGAATCTCTTCAATGATGGGGGTACACCAAGAGCTGGCTAGGTTGCAATCAATTGCGGGCTCCCAAAAAACAGACCAAAGAGCGGAGCCAATGAAGGTAGGGTTGGAGCTGAGAACCATGTAGTATGATAAGAGGCGGAACTCTTTGTCGATGAGCGAAGAGGGTGGAGGAGCGTCTTCCAGCTTGACAAGATGCGGCTTCGGCAGTTGAATCGTCGACATCATTCTGTCATGAAGTGGAATGGTCAACGCCATTGCGAGTGCCAGCCTTGCCTGGCCCTCCAGATTGTACAGGGCGGCAAATCGAGCAAGGAAGGCAGCTGCCTGCCTGCTGGAAGGGGGCTTGATATCAGGCGATAGTGGCTCGGTGCGTGGGCTCTTGATGGAAAATTTGACGTTGCCCGTGTACTTGATAGCCCACACCGGCTGCTTGGCGCGGGAAGCCTTCCAACCTTGACCCGGGGAAAGGAGGGCTGACCACCAGCGATATTCTTCATCGCTGGCCTCGCCGAGGTCAACCGTGAACTCGTTGTCTGCGGATGACGCAGTGGAAGGAGGAGCAGTTGCTTTTTTGTAGACGAAGGAAGTCCTCTGCTGTTCAAGCAAGAAGACACTCAGAATATAGGACCAAGCGAAAAACATGATAGCAAGGCCATTGGACTGGCTGTCCGAGAATGTAAAGCTGCTGCGATCCGACACCTCACATTCTGTGAGATCATGCTTCATAAGATCCCATCGTCGTTTCATGCCAAGGCGGAGGGGATGAAGCACATTGCTAGGAGCCGTCTTTGGGGCCTCTGCGAGATGCCATCTGGCATATCCCGCGAGCTCAGAGGTGCCCTCCATGTCATCGGGCATCTTGGGGCCGTGCTTGGCTAGGCTGGCCAGATCAAGTGTATCACGGCTGAGTGACATGGAGTGAGCGGTTGCGACGAGCCCCTGCCAATGACTTTTACTGAAGCCAAAGGCAGAGGCACTCTTCTCTGCAGTGGGGACCACCTTGTCGAAGTGAGCGTTGGCCGAGTCGACGCTGGTGATGGGGGTCAGTGGGACGCTGCCAGATGAAGACATCTTGGCAGCAGGTGGTTCTCTGTAGTTCTTGATGATTCTGAGTTTTGACGACGGAGGTCGTAAAGCAGGACTTGATCGTGGTGTAAGTGACACGTAAAAGTACCCAGCGTCTTGTGAAGCGTGAAGCGTTGCGATGGTGTAAGGACGTAAACTTGCAAAACCCAGAGTTTGAGGCTGGATATCAACCCTCAGGCCCGAATCCCAGCTTCTTAAATACCTAAACTCACGTACCGGTTCATAAGGTTGTGCCATTCTACCGCCGTACCAAGTACATAGATCAAGTACTCCGTACTCCGTACGCATGTGCCGGCCTCTGTCTCGCCCATGCATTTAATTAATGTACGCCACGAGTCCCATTGTCACAGGCCGATTGACGTGGCACAAGTCACAGGGCCGCTGCCTTGGCAATCCAGCTGAAACGATCAGCATGCAGAGAGTGGTCTAGGTCCTGTCCTCGACTTCCTTGCTGTGAACCTGTCTCTGTCTAGAGCTCGCTTCTGCAGTCCTGGTCGAGGCGCTTCCCCGATGTTCATACCGTCTTTATCTTTGGTCGTCTTCTTACTAAGATAAATTGGAATCGGGGGGCGTGTGCGTGTCCGATATCCCGTTGGGTGACAGAGGTGGGGAGTGACTGGTGGTGATGCTCATGGTTGTAAAGAAAGCAAAAGTCCTGGTACCAGCACTTGATACCCTGGTCCACCAGCCTGTTCCATCCTCGGGATGCAAAGGTCTCGAGCTGAATGCCTCTCCCTTCTTCTTTTCCCTCCCATTTTGCTGACACGCGCACCGAACCGTGCCGTATTTGCAATCGCGGTAGTGCTTCGTAGCAGGGGGGCCTAGAACTTGGATTCCTGCGTGAGGTGCAGCTTACATGGATTGGGAGAACACCACAACGACGGCCAGGGAAAGCATACCCTGCATGGGTGTGTACTTGTGGGTAATGGCACACTTGAGATGCGTCTGTAAGTGCTCCGTACCAGCAAACTCGTACACGAGGTGTGCTCCGCGCCCCGTGTCCGCACTCGTACGGCATGACATCTTGTAATACCACTTCGAAGCCTGTGTCGTTCTTTCACCAAGCTAGACACCGAGCCGCACTAATTTGGTTCGTACACAAAGACCGAGATTAGCGATCGCAAAGCTCCTCAGCCGCAAAGAACATCGGACATATCATTGGACATACCTTGTCGTATTTCTCCGGACCCCATACTCCGTACAGAGTACGCTGGACCAAGAGAGATGCCATCTCTTAGGAAATTTATGCAGCCTTGGCGGAGCACTCACGTTTGCTGGTCCATGTACCCCCCTTGCTTCGTAGATGCACGCCACTCTCCCCAGAATCATCCACACATCCTAGTGCCACCCACCAAGCAGTGCAGCAGATGATAGCATGGCATAGTCGATGCCATGCACTTCGGTTGCATGCAATTCCTGCCTTCCATCATGGCAAGCACCCGTCAGCTTGCTTGGGCTCGTTCCTTAGCCGGTGGAGGTCAGAGGGAGACAGATTCCTCCCCGTTTCTAGTGCCGCGGGAGCTGCCGTACACAGCATCTCCTGACGTGAATATTAGCTTCGTGCTGAATTGTTAGATCCCCCTAGCCAGAGCACATCGTGGTGTATCCACTGATCTGCCCAGGAGACGATCGGCTTTAAAAAGCCTAAGAGGAGATTACAGGCATTGAAGCGCCTCCACCACAAGGCTCACCCAGAAGAGCACACCTAGTACCAAATGGGAACAACAGGCATGAGACCACCTATTCAAAGGCCTTTCCCAGGCGGCTAACGGAAAGCACAAGGTGTGCTTCTCTCGTACATAGGTCGGAGGGCAAACCGACTAATGCCGGGGACGTCGGATTGGAGCGATTAAGGAGCATGTGGACGCGGGGGGGAGGGTCGCCGGTGAGGCAACCGCATTTCTCTCCGGTCTCAATCCTGGTCGGTCCTTTGGTCGGTCGATTGGCAGCAGTAGCTGCGTCCTCTCTGTTTGCTTTTTCTGTCTCGCCCGCTCAGAATGGTACGATGTGTGGCTGGGAAGAGTTGGAGCTGCATAAGGCACTTGTTGAGGGGTATTGGCATATCAGCACGCGGGTACAGAGCGGCTCTGACTGGTTCCGGGCCAATTCGTGATGTCTCCGGACACGTGTAATGCTGCCCGTCGTTCTGGAGCAGGCAAGATGCATCCCACGAGCAGCTCGGTTGCGTTCAGAAGGCAGAAGCCAGCATCGAGCAGAGTCTTGGGAAGAGGTGCCCCTGGGATCCTAGACTCACCGCCATGCCGTGCGGCTGTGAAGTTTCCATCCGTGGCTGTTTGCCCGAGCTCATCTCCACCGTGATCATGCAGTTTCATGCAGAGCGTTTGTGATAAGAGTTCGAATAGGCCAGGTAAGCGGCTCGGTCAAGACGGACACTATATCCACTGCTGCAGGGAGAGCGGAATCCTCCAGAGGCCGGTCGCATACGGCGAGGGCTGGGGGAAAGAGCTCGTGTACTTTTGCACTGCCCTTGCTCGAATCGCCGATGATATGGCGTAGATGAATAGCAGCACGCCTGCTTTTCCTGTCTTGACGACAGGACTGTCGCTGATCCTAGGTAGACCCTCATAACCCCTGTCGTCTGCCGCCTTGTTTGCTTTTTTGCGGAGAGCTAGTGCCTTTGGCCACCACTCCAACCAGGCCTTCTCCCCTAGCCTGTCTCAGTTGAGTATTTCCCACCAGGCGTCCTCTGCTCTGGAGGGACTTACTTCCTCTCTGCTGCCAATATCATGTGGAGTGGACTCCTCGTGTGTGTTAGAGCCGTTGCAGACCGTGCGTGAGAGCCATCTGGACCACTGTGGTGAAATCAAACTGACTTTTCCCGGAGCATGATTGGAACGTCTGCGTCGCCGAAATCGCCCATATTCCTTCGGTTGCGACCACGCCTCTGCCTGTATATGTGTGAGTTGGGACGAGCTGACATGAGTCTTGGTGGTAGACGGAGCTGGTCCGAGGAGTTGTACTTCGTACTTCGTCCGAGTATGCGCCTTGTAATGGCAGTATGATAGATCATCTGCTCGGCTCGAAGCACCGGCAATGACAGCCCGTCACCACGCATCGAAGTGGGATTGGATACTTGGTGGCAGTTGTGTACCAACACGCTCTGACTCGCATAAGCCTCCTGGGCGAGTGTCCAATCGATGTCTGGTCTTCAAGGTCGAATGCTTCATCTCATGTATGTTATCCGTCTGTCCCCCTCTTTTCCTGATGAACCGATTTCACCATGACTCCGTCAATCAACGGCATCGTTCCCACGGTCACTCTGCACTTGCAGCCCAACTAATAATAGCCTTTGAGCGTTGGTAATCCCGCATCTTTGCCGTTGTTTGAGCTTGTAGAGTAGGATAGTTCACACTTGTGTAAGATGAGAAGAGAGCCGAATATCATTCCTTGGTGAAGTCAAGATCAATATCGGAGGCAAGTAATCATGATAGCGGTAGAACTGGGCAAGAACTTCCTTCCAGTTGTTGGGCACTTGCAGCTGCCTCTACCTTACCTTTCTTGAGGCTCGAACTCGGATATCGGGTACGTACCCCGGTACCTTGATAGCTCGAGCAGCGACGAATAGCCGAAGTTCCCACGAGGTTTTCGCGGCGCCCGGCAATACGTCACCGCACAGCCACAGCCTCGTGCCTCTCATCAAGGACATCTGCTTGCTATTACCTGTACTTCTTGGATAGCTGTTTTCAGAAGCATTGCGCAAGCTTCCACCTCACCGACCCGGACCTGGTGATCCATCTCCCTTGACACGCGAATAAACTGACGTCTCCTACTATTCTCGAACCTACTATTCTCGAACCTTTTTCGCTCCACCTCAGTTTCCAGCTAGAGCTGTCACCTAGAGCGCGTGTGCGACGATCCCTCTTCCGCGAGACTCGAAATCCACGCATCTGCGACAACCTCCGTCTTCACCAATACCGATCCCAAGGTCGCTTTATGATTTTACCCACTCAATTCGAAGCTATGGAACTCTCCGATATCTTGTATGCTGCTGGCTCATGGGCGTCATTTGCGCGAATCAGATGAGCTATCTTTGCTAACAGTTGCGCCTCGGTGCGCTGTAGCCGCATTGTTAACCTGGCCGTGGCCGGTATCACAGTTTTGGGAGGCGTTTTCCACATCTTCCCCGTTGGTTTGTAGGTTTCCCTCTCTCTCGGAAGAGATGTGTGATCTCGCAGCTGGCTCGCTGGGTGCGACTAAAGGCGATGCTGAAGCTTGTCTTGCGGGGTTACCTTAGATCACGACCGATGGAGCTGACTGCTATTTCGCTATAGCCAGAACCTTATCCTCGGCATCTACATGATTGTCTTTGGTCTTGCTATTGCCCTGCTAGGTATGAGCCTTCTTTGGCTAGGTCCTCGTTGAATCTATGTTTTACTAACAATTCGCAGAGTTCCAAATCCCCCCTCAGGTTTCGAGATACGCCAACTTCCTCTTCTCCTTCATCGGCCGTGGTATCTGTACGTTTCGAACTCCCTCTTATCGGCTTGATCTGAACGGACATCCTGACAACATTGCACAGTCTATATCCTTATTGGAGGCCTTCTCCTCGGCGGCCGTCTTATTAGCAACATTGCCGGTGGCGCTGTTGGCATCATCGGTCTCAGCTACGTCGCCCTTGAGTTCATCCCCTCGATCGAACCTCCGAGCAACATGCGAGAGGCTGAAGTCGGCTGGGGCGCTGAGCAGGTCTAAGCAGACATTTACCGGCTTAAACGGGGTCACAGACGGCATACAGTTTTACTGGGATAGCGTTCATCTTTCCTCGTGGTGTAAAGACCCGGGGTCGAGCTGAGATTGAAAGGGTGGCATTATGGGAGGAATTTTCGCAATGGTGGCATGGAAAGGCACAGGAGACTTGTGTGTGTTACGGTGCGATGTAGTCGGGGATATTTTTCCTGTCAGCTGGTAACAAGTGATTGTGTGCGATAGGTTTTACAGGTTTTACAGGCTTTGATGCCAACATCACAAGCAGAGACAATACATGATATGACAATGAAATAGTTTGATCAAATTCGTGACAAGACTCATTATAATAATACAGTTGGGCTTGCAAGCCTTTGTCTCCCCCTTTCCTTACTGCTTCTTCCACTGCCCGGCATCCTCCACCCCCTTAGAGACACTGTTCAGTCCGCCCTCGAGCCCCGTCCCAATCGAGCCCACGGCATCTCCCACAGGCCGGCCAGCATCGCCGGTGACGCTCGACACTGTGTCTCCGACGCCCCGGGTTGCCGCGCCGGCGACTCCTCCAACAGTGCGGCCCAGGCCGCCGACTGTGTTGCCCAGGACGCTTGTGGCGAATTGCGCGGTGCCGGTCACCTGGTCGGTGACATTGCCAGAGTTGGCCTTTTGGGTGTTGTCGTTTGAAGACATGTTGTGTTGTTGAGTTGTTGTGTAGGTAGTTGTTGTTGATGTGTGATTGATAGTGTGACTGAAGATTTGTGAGATGATGCTTTTATCTTCTTTGAGTTGAAATGTAACAGTTCGAAAGCAAAAGCTTCGAGAATGAAAGGGGTCGCCAGATATAAATACATCTTCATCCCCTTGAGCTTACACAATGCTGGTGATCGGCATCGTGGCGGATGACGTCAAGGCAACGTGCAAGAAACGATCCTTCTTGCCTTCCATGGGCTTTTACGTACGATCTGCTTCTTTCATGACGTTTTAGTGTGCCTGCCATCAAGATTTAGGGGTCATGTCGATGGTTGCTTATTGGATGCGTGAGATTGGGGGTCCGTTTGTTGGGGTGCCTGGAAATCGTGCCTAGGTTAAGAACGAAGGCTGTATTAATGGAACGGTTGTTTATTTGGCGATGCCTAAGTTGATAGAATTCGTAGAATATCAGGGGTCTTTTGAGATATATGCTGTGCTTGCAGTTGTTTGCAGCTCAGGTGGACTTGTACAAGAAGCTGTAATTGTTCTCCCTTTTCTTCAAGCCATATTTGTTATTTGCTTCTCAAGAAAGAGACGATCTGATAACAACAGCCATTAAGAAGAGTCAATTCAATTGCTCTGAATGGCATGTGAAGGATGATTCGCATCTGCATGTGAATGTGGCGACGTTTCTGCATACAGTATCGTCAACTGAGCTACCACACTATCAGATACCTAGTTAAACGTCGCCCCAACGATCTATCCCAGCTAAGATCATATCATCTGACATTCTTACACTTCATGGTTTGTTTATTTGGCATGTGATGGATCCTGATTTACAATCACAATCGGACTGAATCCACATTGTCCTGCATGTGTGTTTCGCAGATTCCCATCTACGGCACGATCATCAGGGCAGTCACTTGAGAAGGACTTCATTGGCAAGCCGCATAGGGCCCAATTCAACCTAAGCTATCGAGTGGCAATATCACAAGCATCGCTTTCTTCATCTGCGCATTCACATGTCCATTCACATCGTAGACTGGGGTCTCGTGGTCGTTGGTCCAAACGCTCAGTTCGTCTTTTCATTCATGTATCCTCATCAACCACCAGTAAACAGATCGTCTAAGTCTCGATTTAGCTTCTAAGGCTTGCAACGGTGCATGTAACGGGGATACAGGCAGCAATCTCTAACGGTGTGCTGCTTGCAAAGCCAGGCAAGGAATCGCTCCAGGCCCAGGCCGTAGCCTCCGTGAGGAGAGCTTCCATACCTAAAGGGGGGGAATACGTTAGCCAATCAACTTTGCAAAACTCTGAACGGAACTGCAGCGTGTAGTAACTTACTTTCGCTGGTCAGTGTACCAGTAGTAGGCCTCAGGGTCAATGCCCTCGCGCTTGTACGCGGCCATCAACTCGTCGTAGTCGTCCATTCTCATCGATCCACCGACAATTTCGCCGACACCAGGCATCAGGCAGTCAACACTCTCGGTAACGCGAGGATCAGTCTTGTCTTTCGACATGTAGAATGACTTGATCTCAGCCGGGAAATGGGTCAAGAAGATGGGCTTGTTGATAATGTCCGTCATACGACGCTCCGCAGCCTCGGCGATGTCGTCTCCGAAGGCATGGGGCTTGCCCTCCTCGTTGGGAATGTCATGCTCGACAAGCCAGTCAATGGCCTCCGAGTACTTCATTCGCATAAACGGCCGCTCCGGGAGCTTGAACTCAGGGTTCATGGCCTTGATCTTCTCGGCAATGACAGGGTCCGCCATGACCAGTTCGAGCACGCGGCACATGATGTGCTCAATGTGGGACAACAGGTCGTCAAAGGTGATGAAGTCAAGCTCAGCCTCGACATGGGTGAACTCGGACAAGTGTCGTCGGGTCAGGGACTTTTCGGCTCGGAAAGACTTCTCGATACAGTAAACGTGGCCCATTGAGGGCAAGCACGTCTCCAGGTACAGTTGAGAAGACTGTGTGAGGTAGGCATCCTCGCCATAGTAGTCGAACTTGAACAGAGTCGCACCGCCTTCGACCTGAGTCTGGACGAGGGCAGGAGGGCTGACTTTGCGGAATCTCAGCTCCTTGTAGGCCTGGTTGAAGGCGTACTCGACGGCGTCGCGGACAATCATGACGCCTGAGGCGACTTCGCCACGAAGTGTAAGGTGTCGCTGGTCGAGAAGCATGGCCTGCTCGGCATCCGCCTGGACTCGGTTGGTAATAGCATCGTCGCCGCCGGGTGCCTTCCAGTGCTTGGGGATCTTGAAGAAGTCGGCGTGCAACTCGCGGTTGAGGGGAGCTCGGGCACCGGCGGGGACTTCGCGCATCTCTCCCAGGATCTCCATCGACGTCTCACGGGTGAGAGTCACGGCATCGTAGGTCTTTGCCAGCTGGCCGGAAATGACCACCTGCATGAAGCCATAGCCGTCTCTCAGGGTGACGAACATGACATCCTTCTGCTTGCGCTCACGGTGCACGCGACCAAAGACGCGCACGCGAGTGCCCTTGCTCTCAGGGTCGTCCACCTTGCGCAGCTTGATGTGATCGCCAACCTCGTCCAGTCCAATTCGGACAGCAGCAGGCAGGCTGGGGTCCTCAGTGATGACAATCGCCTTGGCAGCCTCGAGAGCCTTGGCCCGCTCCTCTTCCTCCTTCTTGCGCCTGACCACCAGCTCCTGCTCCTTGGCCGCCTTCTTCTTCTGCACCTCGAAGAAGTTGACCGCCTTCTTCAGGGCAGCCTTGGCAACGGGCTTCCACTCCTTGGCGGCCTCATCCTCGGTGTTCTGCGACTTGCGGGTCAGGTACTGGCCCTCGGCGGGACGCTGGAGATAGGCGAATTGCAGCGTCTTGTAGGGCGACTCTTCGGTGCCGGTCTGGGTGACCTCGTCCTTGCCAATGTCCTCGTCGATGTAGATTGTCGCCATCTTGGGCAGACCACTCGCGATCGTCCGTGATCCTAACGCCTTTGGAGGTTTTGCTTGCAAGAATCAGGTTCCAAAAGATGCGGGGCGGCCGATGCGATATTGCGGTTGAGTCACAAAGAAATTGGCAGCAAACTCCAGTTGGACCCTTATCTTTTCTTATCACCCCGCCGGAAGTCGCTCGGGCGGCTGTTGGGTTACCGCCCGACGTTGACCCGGAGACCCTTATCTGAAAGAAGCAGGTTGGTCGAGCACGATGTTTCAATCTCGAGTCTTTATCAAGGAGGTGAGATGACTCTTGATATGAGAATCCCCTTTGTCAATAACTATACCAATTGTTTACGAGATCCATATCTGGATCAAACGCAAGGACGCTGTCTGAGGGCATGTTCATCTCCCATAGTGTCTCGTACCCATCCTACAGGTACCTTATACTAGCCCGTCTGCTCATGCCTTGTACAAAGTCTCTTGTGTAGTGAGTCAAACTTCCCCTGATGTTGGATCGCGAACACGGACATTATGTGGTAGTATTGACGATTCGTACCGAGGCTACTCTATTTGAAGCAACAAGATCCAGAATATCGCTACCCAATGTTGAACTCGCTAGCACCACTCATGAGCATCCTACTCTTACGCATGAGCATGGCCCTCGCCGGCTTCGTGGGCTCCTGCCTATCACTGTCCTCGTCACTATCTTCATCCTTCTTGGCGCCCTTGGCCCCCTTGGCCGTCCTCTTCCCTGAATCTTTGTTCCCCTTCTGCGCCTTGCGATCTATACCAGCTCCAATACCTCCGGGCGGGTCACGTAATCCATAGGCTTTCGCAACGTGTCCCAGATGCAACTCAGTGATGTCGAAGTGAACGCGCTCTTCTCGAGTATGTGTCGCATATGCTCTGATGTGAGACTTGAATCCGTTCCTCGCCATTTCAAGTCGCTTAGGATCGATAAGAAGTCGTTGTTCCAAGTGAAGCTGTAGAGTTTCTGCCTTTTCGTGATAGTTCTTCCCATCTTCGGGCTTAGCCGTTGTTTCTACGGGAAACTCCAATTTCGTCATAAAGCCCTTCTGCAGTACAGACTCGTATGACAGTGGCGTCGGTGATCCAGAGGCCTTGAGGAGCTCAATGTAGCCCTCCTCTGTGCCTGGAAGGAGGAAGATGACTGCATCACCAGACCTTCCAGCTCGCGCTGTTCGTCCAATTCGATGGATGTGATCGGCAAAGCTGAAGGCAGGGTCATATTCAATGACCAGATCAACCGAAGGAATGTCCAGACCACGAGACGAGACATCTGTGGTGATCAGGAGAGAGGGGGACTTGCAAGCCGAGAATGATCGCAAGGTCGCCGTGCGAACTGGCTGCGAAAGAGAACCATGCATCCTGTGCAGCACCACCTCGGGGCTTGCAGGAGACGTGATATATGCCGCCTTTGCAACGGTCTTGGACGTGTTCTCTGCGTCCTTGGAAGCTGGCGGAGGTACATCCCCGCTGTCGGGGATCTTTAGAAGTTCGTAATGGAAGTCGACGGTGTCGGCACAGGACATGAAGATGATGGCCTTCATTGTGTGACCACGGCGAGAAAACACAGACTTGAGGTAGGCTATGAGCGTGACCAGCCTCAGCTTCGCAGGCACAATGATATGCGACTGGTGCAACTGCGCTGGAGCTTTGTGAACAGCTTGGTCATCCTTCTTTTCAGAGACGGTCTCATCGCCCTTTTCGGCAGCCAAAAATGTAGCGTCAGCAAGACTCATCTCGCCAAGCTTCTGTACGTTCATCTTCATAGTAGCAGAGCACAGGACGGTGACTCTTCGATCCGGGAGGGGCTCGAGAGACACTCCAGAAGAAAGCGTTTTTGACAGTTGCACTTGTTTGAGAGCATTGATGGCTTTCTTCAGATCCTCTTCGAATCCCAGATCCATCAGTCGGTCTCCTTCGTCAAGAATAAGCCATCTTACAGTGCCCAGGTTGAGAGCCTTGGTATTATCGATGTGATCGGCCAATCGTCCGGGGGTTGCGACCAAGAAGTTGACGCCCTTCCGCAGACGGGCTTTCTCTGCCTTCTTGGACTCTCCACCAGTGATGGCGGTGGAAACCAACCATGGGAACGGCCTGATTAGCTGCTCTAGCACTGTATGTGTCTGCTTGGCAAGTTCACGTGTCGGCGCAACTATGATAGCGAAGATACCCGAGTCTCGGTGAATCTGCTTCTCGCCGCTTCCGCTGAGGAGGAGAACTCGGTGCAATATGGGAAGAAGGTAGGCAAATGTTTTTCCAGAGCCCGTCTCGGCCTGGACAAAGGCATCTGAGCTGCTCGACAGCATGTGTGGGATGACTTTCTGTTGAATTGCGGTCGGGCGTTCAAGGTTCATCTTGGCGAGCGCCTCGACGAGTCGGGAGGATATTGTCAATGATCCAAAATTAGCGACTGTCAGCAGTGGCGCGTTTGTCGGCTCTGGTTCCTTCCACTCGGTCTCGTCTTCAAACGTCGTCTTCTGCTCCGGGTTGAAGGAGAATAGGCGAGAAACGACTTGGCGACCCGGTCCGGGGCCCTTCTTCTGCCCGGGGGCGTGGCCATGGTCTGCCGTTTTCTTTCGTGGGTAATCTCCGCCGTGTTCTGAATCGTCTTCGGTGCGTCTTCCAGGTCCATGGCCATCCAATTTCTGTCTCTTTGCGGATCGCTGGTCGTCACCATGACTTCCTTTCTCGGCTGTTGGACGTGAGCCGAGTTTTGCGCTCTTCTGCGCCCGCTTCCGATCTCTCCAGTTTCCACCTGTGAACTTGACTTGCGGCTTGAGCGGTCCACCTCCCAGCTCAAAGTTCATAAGCATTCCATCGTCAGCCATGTTGGGAGCGGCCTTGTCGCGTTGACGATTAATTACCTTGGGACGGGAAGTCGAGCTTTGAATGGCCCGTTTCCCATCGAAGTGCAATTGGTTTTTTCGCTTCCTAGAGAAAAAGCTTATCGATAGAGAAAATCGATAGAGCGGTTAGATATCGGTGATAAGCTGCGGGTCGATGCGGGAAAAGCTCCACTAATTTTAGTTGCTGTCTAAGCAGCCTGTGTGCTTCTCTCATTGGCTGAAATGGCTCGTTACGTCTCTGACGTTTCCTGGAGCCACGTGACCAAAGCAAGCGCAAAAACAGTTCATTAATATCTAGCGCTTGCTGACTTTCCCCTTCTCACCTTCTCCTCTTCCATCCCCATTTCGCGCTACCCACTCATATCCGTTTGGCGTTTCAACGCCACACTTCCCTCCCATCACCAAGTTGCGCCATGCACTAACGCGTGTGCTTCGATCTCCTTTTTTGGTTCTATTGTTGCTTCAATCTTTCAGCCCATGTTCCCCCGCTGGGTTTATTTGACGACACGATGACACGCCTTCCATACACCGATCCCGACGATGAACCAACTCAGCCTTTTTCTTCGCCCGGGTCAGTCTCTATAGACTGGCTGTCGTCAAGCAAGGCGACACTCTCTATGGGATGGCGGCCATGTGTTTGAGCGGATGAATACCTTCGCTTCTCAACCCAGATCGCCCCTTCGCCATTGCCTCACACAGGACAACAGTTCTTGTCATACCCAGCCGGGTATGCGGTACCGCTCGACTCAGTGGAGTTCCATAGACTGATTGTCTCTGTCAAGCAAGACCGGAAAAATCTCCTTCACATACTCAACACGCTTGTGTATCCTAGCCTGGGTACATAAAGTCTGTTGAAATGGAAGGGGTCTTGTATGGGTTGGAGCCGAGCGCTAGCAATAACGCTCCTCAACTTCAGTTTGACAGTGGCGCTGATGTCTATGGGATGGCGGCCATGTTGTTGAGCGGATGGAACTGTTTACTGTTTCCCCTCCCAGTGCAGCAATTCTTGTCATACCCAACCGGGTATGCGGTACCACTTTACTCCATGGAGTCCTATAGACTGGCTGTCTTTGTCAAGCAAGGCCTGAAAATTCTCCCTCACATAGTCAACAGGCTTATGTGCTGTGGGAGTGGTCTTGTGGGAGTAGATCCTATCTATCTCCGTTGACACTGGCGGTTAGTCTATGGGATGGCGGCCATGTGGTGAAGTGGATGGAATTGTTCACTGGTATCATTTCCCCTACAACTGCCATGCTCCCACTTCACCTCGTCCACTGCTTTGTATGAGAACTAACCTTTGACAGCCCGAGCAACGATCATCACCGTTCGTCTCATGACGCTCAACCTTCCCATGACTCATTCAATGCCGTCGATGTTGGCGATGACAATGCCATAATCTCCGCCAGTCCAGGAAGACAGATGGAAGCTTCCGAGGTCGATATCTCCTGCTTGAAAAATATAGTGACGTGGAGGGATGTGAACGACCGAGCGCAACACAGCGACAACGTCAATCTTGATGTCTACGCGGATGTTTCGACCAACACGGCGATTTTCAAGCTGTACTGCGACGTCCGTTTCAAGGGCAAGAAAGGCAACAAAGGCAACAACATTCAAACTATCTACTTGTTTATATATCCTGAGAAAATTCGGACTGTGACGTTGAACTCAAACGTTGACTCGCTTGCCCCTTTCTCCTCTCTTCGATTTTCTTTGACACAGCCACCCTCTCTGATCGTACCAGGAGAGCATATTATGCAGTGTAAGCCGCAGACCAAAGGCCTGTTTGGTTTAATGCACTCTTTGGCCGAAGTCACCGATTTCACCATTCAGTTGAATAACTCCATCGTGACTACACCGTTAATATCCTCTTTGGAGCGGATTGTCCATCTTTTCTCTGTTGCTACGGATCGACCGCGCACGAATGCGAGATGTGCCAACATTGCCTCCTTATACAGTGGCAGGGGAGGCAAGATCGTCAATGTCGATGCGGCTGTCGCCAAGGCAGGAGAGCCAGAAGAAGCAAGCGAAGAATTTCTGCCTGAATATACTGCATCGACAAGTGGTCAAGCGTCTCGTAAGTAGAATTACAGTTTGGTTCAATGTCTCCAGACGTTTGTGCATTTTTCAACGCCTAACCAAGGGGACTCTAGATAAGCGCCAGCGCAAAGATTCCAGTCCTAGCGAGCCGCGCTCTCCTGCACCTCATGAACGCATGCTTTTGCTTCTCGAGTCCATGTGCACCAGCATCGGCCGAATGGAAACTCGGTTAGACAGCATGGAAGGCCGCTTAAACAGCATGGAAGGCCGATTAGACGGCATGGAAGGTCGCTTTGGTCAATTAAACAGCCGATTAGACGGTATGGAAAACCGCTTTGAGCAACTGGAAAGCAACGTGTTGGATGCGATACAGTGCAACTACAGCCCTTGTCGCTTCGGCACAGAAGAGAGAACGGAGATGCTGGATGAGATACACGAGCAGATTGAAGATCGCACACTGGACATGAAAATTGAGTGCGAAGAAATGCTGAAAGAAGTTGAGAAAGATGCCGAAAAAGCAATAGAAGAATTGCAAGAGGAGGTAAAGGAGACGTTGGAGCAACTGGAAGAGAGTGTAGAGGAAAACACCGAGCGGCTGGTCAAGCAGGGTCTGCGAACCAAACTTGAGAACGCCAGTTTACGATTCGATGGCACCGTATTTCTCGACACTTAGAAAGAAGAGAGAGCGGGCCTGGTGCTGATGAATTATGGCACGAAACTACGAAGCACATATACTCGCATCAAACGTTTGTGACAATCTTGACATCTCGTCGACAAAGGTGAAACTTCAATATGACTGACTTATCTTGAAAACTGTCCTCTGTGCTCTTAGAGCTCACGGATATAACACAGCTTATCGACGGAGCGGTTAGCCGGGACGCAGATAATATGCCGAGCAGCTCGGAGATCCACGTTCTTTGTCCGTGGCATCCGAGCCGTGTGCAATTCAGCCGCGAATCTGTACTGTACGGGTGCTGACCGGGACATTTTCGTCGAGGCCCCGGCCATGTGACGGAGCTCAATTTTTGGCGCACAGAAGGATCGCAAAGGACCTTGAACGGGACCCAAGCTTTGGGACGGGATTCAGTTTAGGGTTTGTGGCCGTGAGGGAAACTAAAAGTTGCCATGGCGAAAAGCCTCCTTCTAGAAACGTGTTGGACTGTGGGGATGGGGATCTGAGCCGGTGGCTGTATGACAGAATAGAAATGAAATGAGGCGTTGCCTATAAGTATCGCCACTGATGGAAGAAGGGGGTCGGAGTGGCACAAATCGGGGGCGAAGACGCAGCTTGTTACTTGATTGTGTGAGAATCATGTTGCGCATCGCGTCTAACAGACATACGAAGCAGTTCCTACCTTACCGTAGATAATTTCCTTGTAGCGGTAATACTATGATGATAGATGATGCCCCGACTCTCGTAACGGGGGAATGAACCGCCATCGTGCTAACACAGCACACCCACAAACCGCTGGTGTCGGGCCCTTGGAGTTGTCCGACACTGCGTCTCTGCATTCTCGGGACAGCTATCCGTGCCTCGACATCCGGAGACTAATACTGATTGATATAGGGAGCGTCGCAGCCCGTGTGCGCAACTGTCGCGGGTTGCCTATCACGGCTACTACATGCCTTGCGTGTCTTATTGCGACGCGCATGAAGAGGACTATCTTGCACATTCTGGAGGTCGCAACCCACGTAATACCGCTGCGTTTCCGTTAGGATTGCGGCTGAGGGATTAAAGCATCCGTGTTGCTTGAATCTTGGGTGTCAGAAGCCTGCATATCGAGGCCAGTGATGATATCAGAGACCTTCTGTTCTGTATTATGTGCAGACAGGGCGAACGCTGAGCTAATCCTTTGCAGATATCCGTGCTGGCAATGCGACTCCATGATGAAAGCCTGAGCCACAAGCTGCCTCGGACGGAGACACAGGTAAGCCGTCCGGGCTGAAGGGGCTTCAGCCTCTCGGCCTACTGGAGCAATTCGAGGGCCCATCTCGCGCCTTCAGCAACGGACCCTAGAGGCCTAGGAGCATCTCCAGGGACCGCCGATGGTTCCGGCTTCTCCCTTGGATCCCCACGGCTCGGACAGGGAGTTCCAGCGAATGGGAGCCGGTTTGTTCTCGCCGCGGCCAATCAAGGCGCAGCGTCAGCTTTCATCTTCACTTTTTCTCACCCTCGACTTGTCTGCTGGTGGGACGCGCATGCCTTTGCCGCCTTGCACAGGAACAAGAAATTGCAGGTTCTCGGTTCTTTTTTCTTCAAAGTGGGCGGGATGAGGCAGCTTTGGGTAAGGCTCGGCTCGGCTTTCGAGGTGTCGTGTGTGAGGTTGCGAACCCCAGACTTTTTTGGATGCGAGAAGAATGCGTGCACTGTATGTAAAGTACATGTATGTTAGTAGGCGGTTTTTGCCTATGACGCACGCGATGGCGACGATGACACGAAGGAATACGGCTAGGAAATGAAGGCTTCCGCTGCGTTCTAGCTGGTGCTATTTGCCGTCGTCGTCTCCAATTTAGTTATACTTTATGACTGAAGTAGATGAGTTAAGATGAAAGGAGATTGGGGGTTACAGGCAAGACGAGAGGGAATACGTGTCTAATAATATCAACTGTGAATTTCTTCATCTGCCAAGGTGGGTAGGCAGGAGAACTCGTAAAGAAGTTGCAGCAGTAGCGGCATCTGCAGGCCAAGTACAAGCACAGAAAGTACTGCAATGCGCCATCACCTCGCATTCGCTTCAAGAGAGACTGCATTACCAAGCATGCAGCAAAAGATGGAAGAAAAACCACTCACAGTTCAAACAAAACAAAGTAAAAAAACCTGCTGCTATCCGGACCGCTTGTCATTCAGCCTGAGTCATCCTCGTGCCTCTCTGCAGCCTCTCCGATTCCACCCATGGGTTGGATCCCGAAGTCGTCAACAGAGTGTCCAGTTCGAGCGCGCTAGTCCGCCTTAGCCCAGCACAGCGCCTGCAGCAGCACCTTCCAGGCGGCTTTCAACGCCTCCACCCGCTGTTTAGTTGTACGTACCTAGCTGTCGCCGTACCCTCTTAGCGGCCTCCTCCTGCTCCAGGCCACCGGACGGCACTTTCAGCGTCTGGGCCGAGACAATAAGGCCGGCACGGGCCCCCGCCAATTTTTCTTCCGGCTCTATTTCTTCTCTCTCTTTTTTTCCTCTATCTCCAGCCAGCGCACACAAACGACACGAAGAAAATAAAGAAGATAGTCGAGGCCGGTCCCTTTCTTTTCGTTCCGGTTCTCGATTCTTTAGGGTCTTTTTCTTTTCTCTTCTTCCCATTCTTCCTTTTCTTTTTTCACCCTTTTCTATTCCAACAGCGCGTTTGTTTGACGGCTTCCTCGGCTGTCAAATGAACCTGCAATCGCCCACTATATTTTTCCTCCCCGTAAGTCCGGCCCCGATTTCGCCCTCCGTCCAGGCTTGCCTTCTCGTGCGCGCAACGGCGATATATCCAAAGCTGCATGGCTTGCTGCTCTGTACGGGAGCTTGTCGTCGGGACATGTCATCTTGCAGTGCCAGAGACAGTTCGACAACATGAATCATCGTCGTCTTGGGCAATTCGTTATGCGACTCGACCACTAACACGTCCATCTCATATAGTCACACCCTCCCGCCTTCTAAATGCCCATCTACTCCTCGCTGTACTCGAATTTTATCCGTCAAGGATCTACATTCGCCAAATCGGTTACCGCACACGGCTACGCGCAGTCCGTCGTAGCTGCTACTCATCCTCACGTTCTCAACTCGCAGAACCGCCCCGTCTTTCGCCGACTTTCGAACCGGTCCGCACGAGCCTCGGCTTTCCCTCTCTATTCCGCCTTCAAGGACGAAAAGGCATCATCGTCCGGGCTCCCGGTCGACCACCGCCATGTCTCGAACCATGGAGGTTTAGATGCCTACTTCGAGGCTCTGCAGAAGCAGCAGGCCGCTGGGGGAGAAGAGGAGAAGGAGTGGACACAGTTCGACTTTCCCAAGCGCATTGAGTGGAAGCCCAATGCTTCGTCAGTTCTCGCTGGCGAAAATGGAGTCGAGGCCAGCGCAGAGGCCGCCGAGCAGAGCGCTGCTGCGATCGAGACCATTCATGAGGTTGAGGAATCTCAACATCTGATGACTCCGGAGGAGGAGGCAGCGCTTGCACACATCGACGCGGCACTCGAAAAAGAGATCCAGGCGCGGAGCCTCCAAGCGGCTGTTGAAGAAGCTGCCGCTAGAGGGCTGTCTGTCTCTGCCCCCCAGTCTCGTGCGCGCACACCTGTACCTGCGATCGAAACATCGCAAGCCACAGCTGAAGACGGACGCACCGGTTCGCCGTCTATCGAGGCCCAGTCTCAGTCGTATGCCGACCAATTGGTGAAGCTATCCGATGCTTCTCGGTATGCGGAGATTCCGGCCGTGTTTGAGGCCATGCTGGCCACGGGCGTCCAGCCCATTGCCAGTGCTTACAATGCTCTGCTGCTGGCCGCAATTCATCTTCCTACCCAGAGGACCGAGGTCGTTTCCAAGGCTCTGGATGTCTACGCCGACATGATGCGCCGCAGAGTGTCACCCGATGGTCAGACTTACAACATCCTCGTTAACCTGCTCTCCACGCGCTCTCTGGAAGTCTCAGAAATGAAGTCGCTTCTAGAGGACAAGCGCCTGCGGTTTGGCGGAATGGATGAGCCCGGCAAATTCATGTTTGCCTCGCACGAGCTGGAGCACGCCATTCTGTGCGAGGATGAGCGTCTCGATTTGGCGGTCAAGCTGTTTGACATGTCCTATGACGCAGGCATGATCTCCTATTCAGCCGAGACGTATCGACAGCTGATTTCGGCCTGTGCTCAGGTAGGCCGAGTCTCGGACATGCTACGATTTTATGAGCATATGGAGCTCAGTGAGATTGTACCATCTGCCGAGGTCTTCCCTACCATGATCACTGCGTATGCCAAGTCTGGAAACCTCATCAGCGCTGTGGAATGCTACAACGAGTACCGCAGCCTTGCCATCTCTCACGATGCGGGAAGCTCGACTCTTGAGGATCGACTCGACGCCCAGGTGTATGCTTCGGTCATCAATGCCTATGTCATCTCCGACAAGATCGAAGGCGCAATGAAGTTCTTCAAGAAGATCGTGGACGAATATGGCGTCTCTGTCACCGACATGAAGGATGCCCTGGTTAACCTTGGATTCGTCAAGGGATTTATCGCGCGAGGCGTCTTCCAGGAGGCGCTTCAGTGGGCTCAATCCCTCAACACCAACACCCGAGATGAGGCCATGATAAAAATTGCCACGGTGGCTGCCGATAACAACGACGCTGCCACGGCGCTCGAGGCCTATGCCAACATTCAGGCGGCGGAGCTCCAGGACCTTGCTAACCCTTCGATTGCTCTTCTGGCCATGAGCGTGAGGCTCGGTGACGTTGCTTCGGCTTCCAAGTACTGGCACGTACTCTCAAGCCCCGAGATACGCGCCACGGCTGCCTTCATCGAGCCCACTGCCATGTATGCTGTTTCCCTTATTGGTTCCGGTCAGGTTGTCGAGGGCTTGGCTCAGTCGGAGATGATGTTCCAGAGGATCAGAGCCTCCGAGTCTAAAGCGCGCTCCCAGCTCGCTGAGGAGATTGACGAAGGTTCCGATTTCATTGCTCGCTATATGGAGTCCCGTGGCATCGTCGATCC